GCCCACCTCATTCCGCCCAGACGGCCGTCCCGTATACACCCTCCCGGCCATCGTCGACCCCTTCGGGTCGCCCACACAGCCCATCGTACTCTCCAACCCCGCCATCATCGCCGAATACCTCGAGACGAGCTACCCGGCGCGCCAAATATTCCCCGAGGGCTCCAGGGCAGTCCAGTCCCTCTTCGTGCACTACGTCCAGGAGACATTCGTCAAGCCCCTCCTCCCGATCATGGTCCCGCTCACCCACCAGCGCCTGCACGAGCGCAGCCAGACGCACTTCCCCCTGCGCGCTGCGACGCCGCAGCCTGCCGGGCCCGGTGTGCCGGGCGGCGCACCGCAGTTCCCGCCCGCGCCGCCCGAGGCGTGGCGCGCGGTGCAGGAGCAGTTCGATTTTCTGGCGGCGATGATGGACAAGAACGGGCCGCCCGACGGAGACGGCGTCGTCGCGATGGGGCAGGACCTCACGTACGCCGACTTTGCGGTGTGCTCCGTGCTGATCTGGATCGAGAAGGTCGCGCCACACGACGGCTGGGTGCGAGTCAGGCAGTGGAACGGCGGACGGTGGGGGCAGTTGTGGGAGCGGTGCAGAGGGTACATGGATGTTTTCTGAGAGGCGGACTCACTCGGCTCTGTAGCGCCTATTGCGTGGCGGGCTGGACTCCATCGGTAGCGTTGTGTATCGCTTCTAGACCCTGTGTCGCCTAATTCGATAAGTACATTTCCTCTGGATCCTTATTGCTTGTAGACGCAATGACTCACTTACTTACGAATCTAATGCTGTATGGTCGAGAAAATTTGCAGTGTATAATTTCATGGCGTACCGAAAGAGGGAACCCCCGGGCGCTGTGAATGGGCGCTGACATTCCGGTGATTTCTCTTGTTCGAGCACCGGTGTTTGTTTTTGATTGTAGCCCCTATCTAATGCACTGCGCGCTCATGAGCGCGCTCCATGGTACTCATCCCACAAATACCCATGAGCGTGCGGCTCGCACATTGAAGTACTTAGTAATACGGAATTGTCTTTATGGGACATGCGCCGTGATTTCCCAATTTCTTGAAACCCCTACACGATACGGGGGCATCGAGACACAATTTTTGGAGAGGCTAGTACGGACCTGGAGGGACACTCGTCGTATCATACCCCGAGTATCCGAAGGCAGCAAGTTATCGAAGGAACGAACAGATGACGTCATGAGGAGGTGGAGAGCGAATTCTAAACCGGAAGCATAATGGGAGTTTCTCCAGGGATCATCATCCTAGTAGATCGTGTAGACGTCGTGCTGGGCGACAAAGTCTGCAGATAGGCGTGAGGTTGCGGCGCCGGCAGTAGCCCATATGAAGAAATCCGCCTGCAATAATGGTAGAAGGTTCAAGAGGCGTGGCGGCTTGTGTCCTGTCCGTATAACGCACCCACTGGCCCATAAAATGAACGAGATGGGCGGATGTCTATAATTGAAGAAGCCATAAATACCCCAACCTGGTGACCTTGTCCATGCACAGCGGCACGGAGGTGTATTCTGAATCTTTGACTTGGCAAGGCGATCTGCCAAGTCCATGTGGGCCGACCGTCGATCGCTATTGTCAGCTATGTATACCAGACATATTTACCGCAGAGTACACGCGCCTTGCACGTGGATACCACCGACGACACACCGCCAACGAAACACAGCGACCTCACACTCACGATGGCTGTCAACAACCTAATTTTAGCGCCAAGGCGAACATTTGCTACCGAAGGCGTCGACAATCGTGAGACACCGAAAGAACCGGGATGACGGTTCAGGCTTTGCTGCCGTGATGTTGTTGGATGGGCCTCAGACGATGACCATAGACCTCACGCACGCCATAGTCGTGGCATGGGATGGGCAAGGAGGATGGTTGATGAGATCTATTCTGGTGTCCGTCAATCGCATACATGATACCGCGCGTCACCTGGTATAACGGGCGACCCTACTTCTTACCAAAGAGACGCCAACTGATCCACAACACAAGCGACCTGGGCAACCAAGCGAGGATACCTACGAAAGCAGCACCGCCGCCTAGTCTCATGTACCGTGGCGGCCGTGCGCTCAGCGCACGAGAGACGACTCGCCTCGCAAACTCGGCGGTGGGCAGCGATCCTGGCCCCTGGCTGACGTTCATCCGCTGGATAATTTTATCCGTGTACTCTGCATACAACGTATCTTCTGGCATCTTGAAGTGCGCTGCCATATTGGTACTGATGTTTGATTTGATCTGACCAGGTGCGACGAGCATCACGTCGACGCCGAGTGGCTGGCACTCCATGCAGAGCACCTCAGTTAGCGAGTGTGCGGCTGCCTTGGAAGCGCAGTACACGCCGTTCCAAGGCGTTGGGCTGTGAAGGGAGAGCGATAATGAGCCAGCCTCGGTAGTCAGATAAGTGTGGCTCACAATTCTCCGGTTACGGAGCTGATATTCACAATCAACCCCCGTTTCCGTTTTGCCATAGAGGGGATTACCGCTTTTGCGGTACGCAGGATAGCAAACGTATTCGTTTCAAATGTTGATTGTACCGTCTCGATGGGTACATCCACAAGAGTCCCTGTCATATGGACCATGTGAGCCTAGCGAGAGTATTTTCGACGCCCAATGTGACGTACCAACCGCAATTGCTCCAGCGTTGTTCACAAGTACATCAATTCTCCCATGCTGACCGAGCACCTCCTCGACAACGTCTCGAACGTTTTGGCCGTTTGTCACATCCATGGTGTGCTTCCAGGTCCGGCTCTTGTCGAGCCCCTCCATACTATCCAGCCTGCGAGCGGTGGCGTGGACCAGGCACCCCTCCTGCGCAAAGCGTTGGCATCTGTGATGAAATTCGACAAGAACCAATTAGCGTCGTTCCGCTAGTAGCATTTTGCAGAGCGCTCACAAGAAGTATCCTATGCCTCCTTGAGAGCAACCGGTCACAAGGACGACTTTGGCATCAGGCGAAGCCATCCAATACGCGCGGTGTGAGGTTGTTGTGAAGGGACGCGAGTTTACGAGGTGAAGGATGCGGCTACGCGCCGGGCCGGATGTAACCAACGCGGGAGAATCACGTGACTGATCCGCCAGTGCCACGCATCCGCACGCGAGCTTGGGCACCGTTGTCGCCAAGTTGTCGCACGGACGACATAGGCAAGAAGCGTTTAAAGGCTACCTCGATCAATAACGTAGGGCCACGCGCGCGCAGCAAAAGCCCGCTACCTAGACATTGATGTAATAGTTCGAGCGTACCCTGTAAAATTGCGAGTGTATAATATACAGCCATTATAGACAGGTATAGAGTAGGGTATGTAATACTACGTCGCACCCGAGCCCCGTATCACGGAGCATTCTTCTTTGCAGGGGAAGGAGAAGGGGAGTCAGCCTTTTGTTTGCCCTTAAGTCTTAGATGATGATCCGATACTCATCAACACATTGGTAAGAGCAGGGCTGGGAGTTCTTTTAGTGGGCGTTAAGGGAAACCTAACGAGTGAAAGTACCTCACGGATCTCCATTGGCCCACCGCATTAATATTCGGACAGCACCTTGATTTCCAGGAGAGGCAAGGACTCTATCAGTCGAGATATCAACATTGAAAATACTGGAAGGGCCAAAGAACAATTGTTGGATCTCTGCCTTATATCACCTATACTGATAGCAATGAGAGTGGGACCAACAAGATCCATAGAACCAGTACAGCATTGGTTAATATCCACATTGTCACGGGAACTTGACAACAAATTAGGTGCTTGCATTGAGTGAGAATTGTCCGCATGGACATGGGAATAGACATGGGCATGGATAACACATCCGCATGGATAGGCATATATAGTCTATGAACATCGCAAACAACTGAGGAAAAGGAAGACATTGGTTGATGATATGGAAATTAGAACGCCAGCACGGTGAGGGGGCGAAGCGGGGGAAGAGTAGCGACCGCGCTGATTCAGTATCGGGATCCCAAATATGCCTAAAGAAAGAAAATGCGCGCGCGGAAAGCGAAGCGGGGGTCAAAATATCACGTGATCTCGTTTGAGCTGATTTTTGGCAGGGATCCCTAGTACACGAGTTGCGCTGAGACCCACTACCTAAGGTAGCGGGAATCATCGAGTTCTCATATGCGCCCCCAAGCCCGAAATTTGAACACACTAACTAAAGGAAAACAAATGTACACATAAAAATGTGAGTAACGAGTGTTCACCAGCTTACAAGGCAAACAAAGTGTGTAAAACAAAACAAGCTGAAAGTCTGAAAACCATGAATAGCCAAGCAGTCGAGAAGATACAAATCATATAAACGTATAGTTATACGACCCATGTTGGAAGTCCGCCATACCAAAACAATCGATCACGCGAGCTTTCTTCGCGGATAAGCGCTACTAGAACATCCACGATTGTTCTTCTCCTCGAGTCGGGTAGCACAACACGCTCTTGCGAGATAAGCCAAGAAAACGGTGAAACTGGGTTCATTCAGATGCGTGTCCTCTTCTGCACTCGGGAGTATGCATGCCGCTCCACGCTCTCTCGGTGACATCGCTGACGGTGAAATAAGCGTTATCCGAATGAAGTCAGCTGAACAACGAAGCAGTACTCAACAGCATCTCGGGACCGGGAAATAGGCAACCGGGGGCCTCGGTGGGAGGATGGACAATGTGGTAAGACAGTCTTTCTTCCCGAAGCCAGGGACTCGGACTCGCGTTCATGAGCGGTCAAATCGGCGCTCAGCAACAGTTAGAATCATTCACACTTGCAGTGAGAAATGTACCTAAGTTTCAAGTGCCTGCGATGCGTGATGCACTAAGTTTAACTACAATTTATACGCACGACGTGGGTTCAAGGTTTGACTTGATGGATCCTGTGGAGCTCGGTATTGAAGAAGCTAGAAGCCTGATAGAGCCCACAAGGTCGCAATACCGAGGAGGTACCGACGGCATTTGATGAGAGTCTCCAAATTCCAAGTAAATGGGCGAGGGCGACGCCACCGTTCGAGAGGACCTTCTCGAGTCGAGGATCAAGGAAATTCGGTTGGTGCTGATCATTAAAGCAAAGTTTGACCAGTAGGGTGATACCAGGCACAGTCTCCAGCTCGCGTGGCGCCCAGTCGTCGAAGCCTCGTTACTAGTAATCCGAGCAAACTGAGACGGTATGCGCGCATGAGAAGCTCGCTCAGGAACGGCCCGATAGCAAGCCAGATACAACTCCGATCTATCCGCAGGCAGCCTTGTGAGAGATTATACCGTGGTAGAGCCCGTGCTGACGCAGGATGCCGTATGGAGTTGGATAGCAGGTGGTGAGAGCGGGGTATGATGTGGGAGTGCGCAGTGAGAAACCACGAAGGAAGCCTTTCCTAGCTGGGCTCGTTGGGCTGGTGCGCTCAGCCGCTCCTAGACCGACTCTTCGTCCAGTAACTGTACCAAGTAGCGAACAACCGAGGCAAGGAAATGAAGACAAATCATACCGACGACAGTCAGAAGAACCGTGAAGAAAGATGCCGTGACGAGGAATCGAGGCGTTGCCAAAGTGTCACAAATAACGCGTGTCGCGTGACAACCACGTCAACCACGGCGCTTATTAACGTTAACTCCTTCTTTTATCCCCACGTGCAACTCCCTTGACCGTGAGGGAGAACGTGTATTCTTGTGCCCCCACACCTGTACAGCGGCACCGGTATGCAAGCATCACGTTTGCGTAGTGCAATGATGGAGAGGGGGAACGAGGTAATGCATCATTGTGCACGGTGATCGGTCCTGCTTTCACGGCTGATATCATCGCATTGGACCAGTGAACTTTTCAATAGCTGATAGTTTTCACAGTCAAACGAGTCGAGGGCAGAAAACAGAAGCCATGACGCTGATCTGACAGCATCTTTTGGCCTTGGATAACGGTATTCCCTATATCCTCAAATGAGCTCGTACTGAGTACTGCTATCGGGGATCCGTTACCCACGTCCAGCCAGCATGGATCTGATAACTTCCTACTTGCCCTGTAAATGGCTGTTCTTCGCGACGGTTGCCGCGATAGGATGTCTTGCTCCCACTCAGATCGAACCTTCGCGGCCGACCCGTCGAACATTCCGCGACGTAACCGAGACTTCGGCAGCTCCGCTGATCCATGAGAACTAGACGCTCGGGGCGGAAAATGGACAAGGTATCAACACAGGAAGCGACTTTCAGAAACGAAAGAACGGTACATTGAATACACGAGTAAGGCGCAGCTTTCCCTCGACCGAGGCTATGAGGTTAAAAGGCGGTTTTGAGGTGCACCCCAGGCAGACCTCGAGAGCCTATTTCTCAGCTCCACCCAGCTTTCTTGCTCTGGCGACCATGGACTCTTCGACCGGCTCGTCTATGCTCGCAGCCGTTGCCAAGGCCAAGGGTCCAACTGACAAGACCTTGCGGGTCGCCCGGAACAAGCTCTACCCCATGCAGTCCTGGTATTGCCTGGCGCTGTTTATTTTCATTGTCGGCGTTTTCCAGTGGGGATCGTATCTGCACTCCAAGTATGCTCGGAGACACCGCAACGCGAATGGCGAGTCGGACCCAGAGCTGGCTTCTGAAAGGTCCGTTCGCGGAGTACGACGTATCCCGGCCGCCCTCGCCAACTTCTATCGGGTTATTGCCTTCCGCTGGACGCTAGAGATCGGCAAGAGCTACACCCTTTGTTTGTCCGAGGTCTTCGTGACCGTGGCCTACATCGTATTTCTTTACGTCTGGGCATTCATTAACAGTATGCTTTCAGTGTTAAAAGCAATGTAGTATTGTACGCTAACGTTCTTTTGTAGCAACCGACCTCGAAGGTCACAAACTCAACTTGACGTACTGGTGCAACCGCGCTGGTATCCTGGCTACTAGCCAGTTTCCGCTGATCACAGCCCTCGGAACGAAGAATAACCTCGTCTCACGTCAGTTCCTATCATTCTCACGAATTGATAGCCGCTAATTTCCGAACAGTTGTCACCGGAGTCAGCTATGACAAGGTGAGACTAGGTGAATCCCCGGAGGCGCAGTGCTGATTGATCGATCCTAGTTGAATTACATTCACCGCATGATGGCACGCGTCGTCTTCATCCTACTTTGGGTTCACGCCGGGAGTGAGGTTGTTTACGAGGCACCGTAAGTGATTGAGGAGCTGATGGTGACGTTGTGATAACTCACTTTCGTTCCAGTTTCCAGCCTTACCTTGAGCAGACGTGGCTCAGATGCGGCATCGTCTCTATCGTGGCGATAACTGTGCTCATGTTCGCCTCTCTACGTCCTGTTCGTGCCGGTGCCTACGAATTTTTCTTTTACACGCACTTCGCCATGGTCTTGTACGTTGTCTATAACCTTGTGGCAACGTGGTTACTAAGTTTATCTCGTGTAGGATCTTCCTCGTCTGCGCCTATTTCCACACTTCCTACGACAGGTGAGTTTGCTTCACTCCAAGTTTAATCACTGTGTTATGTACTCACTCCACGATAGCATAACGTACTGGATTTACCCATGCTTTGCCATCTGGGGCCTCGACCGCCTCATTCGGGTCGTCCGTCTCGTCGTCTTCAATCACTCATACTTCGGCTTCCGCTCGGGCTCAAACATGGATGCGACGATTGAGCTCCTCTCGCAGGAGTTTGTCCGCCTACGCTTCCACCGCCCCTCACACTTCCACTGGAAGCCGGGTCAGACCGCATACCTCATCATGCCTTCCGTCTCGCGCCTGCCGTTTGAGTCGCACCCCTTCACTATCGCTAGTTTTGACTCGAACCTCTTCGATTCAATCGAGGACAAAGATTCTGCCCGGTCAAGCGAGAAATCGAATCGGATGAGTCTGGCAGAGCACGCGCTCGGGTCCAGTATGCCATTCTGGAAGGAAGTCGTGTTCTTTATCAATGTTCGCGAAGGCTTCACAGGACGGCTGAGGGAGGCCGCTCTCAAAGGGGAGAAGGTCAAGGTGTTCATTGACGGACCCTATGGCCCGTCTCCCGACCTTGGCTCCTACGACACCTGCGTCCTCATTGCCGGTGGCTCTGGCGTATCATATACGCTCCCGACTTTGCTTGATATTATAGAGTAAGCTTTCTTTCCATCCTGGCAAAAACAAGGGCTAATTTTGTTCGCCTTCAGAAATGTTCGAAGTGGCAAGAGTGACTGTCGTCGAGTCGTCTTTATCTGGGCTATCCGCGACGCTAGTGAGTATCTTATGACCGTGCCTTTTCAGAGATTGACCTTGCTTTAGATCACATCCACTGGATTGATGAGACCCTCGTCCGAGCACTTCAGCTTGCTCCGCCTTACCTCAACGTCTCCATCAGAATCCATGTCACAGGCGCTTCTGCTGCAATTGCTGAGCTCCACCAAGACGACGCCGACTCGGAGTCGATCCATGACGATAGCGAACATGAAGACGGCAAGGCCCGCGAGAAAAGCAAAGACTCCCTCGTGGCTCTCTCGAACGTCTCTGTCGAACAAGGCCGGCCAAACCTGGACGTTATGCTCAAGGAGGAGGTCGATGCTACTACCGGAAGAATGTCTGTCAACGGTACGTGGACCTCTAATTCTGCCTCTGTGCTGGACTCATGCTGATTTCTCTTTCTTTAGTCTGTGGCTCTCAAGCTGTTGCACGCTCAGTGCGCCATGCACTACGCTTCCCGGTCTCAAGTCCCTCGAATATTCTGAACGGCGGACCCAGCGTCACGCTTCATATCGAATCTTTTGGGTATGCCTAATTTTAATCTACGTTACCTCCTCGAACCCTCCGTTCGTCTCCATCTTTGGACGTTCTTTGGTTCTGCCTTTCTTTCTATCCCGTCTATTTAAGGGGACCATTTGTACTGTCGGCGGAAACACCTACTGTATTATACCTGAGATTGTAGATCTGTCTCCCATACCATTTGTCTTCCGGAGAGAAAAGATGGCTGTAAGATAGATTGGAATGATACGTCGCAGCAACAGCCTGTACACTTGAGGCGATACGTGCATACACACGCCTGAGAAATAGTTCGTTGCCGCCTGCAGGCACTGCTCGCTGGCCAGTGCAGACTTTCCCAGCGGCAGCTATTTATGCTCACACGAGAAGATCGAGCATTCTCGGAGGATCTCGAAGCATGGCGATCATTGGCTCCATGGTGGCCGAACGACGCATTTGACAATCAAACTCGGTCATTCGTGGGACTAGTGCAGCAGTGTAAAGCTTCGGCCACATGGTTTCCAGCAAACTGAAACTTTCGCGGACCGGTCGGCAAACGTCTTTCAGGTGCCGTGAATTGTTGAGATCCCTTGATCCTATACGGGCGATTTCCTGCGAAAGCAAGGCTCACGCTTCGAAGGAAAACGATCTTCCTTGCGGAGTTGAGGCATTTTCTTCACAGACATGTCTTCGTTTTCACTTCTCGTGAAAACGATGAGGGATAGTGAAGGCTTTCTGGAATTCATCGAATCTTCTACATTTCCAGTAGAAATCGAAGCGATTCATTATTTAACCGGTCAAAAGTTTGAGCTTTGCGAGAGCTATATGTGGGCTTGGAAGAACTGATGGCTCATTTGCTGCGAAAACCGAACTGCTGAGAATGCCTCGTCCGACGAACGTCTACTGGCGTCCAATCACTGGGCCAGCAAAACTTCCGTATGACCTGATGTAAAAGCTGAAGATACGATGTTAACATGCACACGTAGATCTGTGGCTGGGTGTGAGCGTGAGTATCAGCCTTCAGTCCTGATGCCCAAGATTGAGGTAATGCGAGACAACTGCAGGAATTGTCTCATGGGGGCGCTACTACTTGTCACCCACGTCAACAAACACAAGCTCGCGAAATAAGCAAATCCTCACCCCGACAAGCTGGGTCCTTCCAAGCTGTCTTAGCAGCTCGTCGTTCCTTTCCGAGCCTGCCGGATGCGGCCAGGACAGATCTTCCCATTTCCGAAGAGATTTTGGGCCCAGCACAAATCACATAATCGCAAATGACGCATAACAAGGGGAGCTACATGGTAGTGAAAGGCAGCATTGCGCTAAGGCTGACGAGGAGATCACCCTCGATACACCCGAACGCGAAGTTTGAGTCAAAAGACCAAGGATATACTTAGACCTCACGACGCTCGTCGTCAGCGAAAGGCCAATCCGTATACCCCAGTGGCGAATGGTTACCCATGAGATAAAACTTGGAACGATCCGGAGGTGTCAGAGGCATATCATTTTGCAGTCGATACGGGAGGTCAGGCTTTACAGACCGGGTAGCCCGCGTGAACAGAAGGCGAAAACATGAAGGATAGAGACGTACGTTCGAGATGAAGAGCCTGCCAAAAGCAATCAGCCCTCCCTTCTCTTCGGCCTCGCGGATCGATAAGGCTCTTTTGAACCCTCCAGCGGCGATGTATGGTCTGTCACCCCAGATCTGACGGATGAAATCTGAGGCATCTGAAGACGTGGGGTCTTCCGCAGCATCCGAGCTACCGCGGGGTTCTACAACGTGCAGATAGGCAAGTCCCCGCTCGGCAAGCTTGGTTGTAAGGTATGTGTATGTCGGGACCGGATCTCTCATACCCATGTCTGATACCCCAATACGTTAGTCTGGCGATCATGGCACAGAGAGTGTAAGACGAACTTTGAAACTCGCTCCAGGGGCTCATCCTGAAGGACGTCCTCGATGCTCCAATGGCCTGGACCACAGCATCGACGACCTCAAGAGCAAACTTACATCTGTTCTCGACACTCCCTCCATACTCATCATCGCGAATGTTCGACACATCCTGCACGAACTGGTCGATTAAGAACCCGTTCGCACCATGGACCTCAACGCCATCGAAACCGGCTTTCATAGCATTCTTCGCAGCCTCGGCAAAAAGCTCGATGTACTCTTGTATCTCGGGAATCGTCAGAGCACGAGGCATACCACCACCGCCCGTAATGTGCTCGCGGATCGCAATGGGAGACGGCGCTATCAGAGGAAAGTCACCGTCAGCGGCAAGGGCGCGAACGTCCGCCGCTCGACCCATGGCCCATATCTGAAGGAAGATATAGGAGCCTTTGGCGTGCACGGAATCTGTCACCTGCAGCGGTGCGTTTAGCATTGAACTATTCACAGCACGTTTTACACGGAGAACATAGGAAGGGAGGGAGCGAGTAGGAAATGGAGTGGTATACCTCTTTCCACCCGGCTACCTGCGCCTCGTTCCATATACCCGGGATGTTTGGTAGTCCTCCTGCCTGCGGTGCGATCGATGTCGCCTCCGTAATAAGAAGCGTGCCGGGCGTGCTGCCCCGTTGTGCGTAGTAAGTCGCTGCCTGGGGGCCAGGAACATGATCTTTATACGCGCGGGTACGTGTCAACGGTGCAAGTATGACGCGATGCGAGAGTGCAAGGTTGCCAACGCGAATGGGCTGGAAGAGAGCAGGCATCTCGGCGGAAGTCATAATGTTCTCACTCGTGGGCTACTGAGTAGACGGGACGTGGTAGAGTGAAAACAGTCGTCAAAAGCGCGCATATATGCATCAGAATGACCGATTTGTCGGAGAGCATTGATAATGTCGAACAGCCTTTGAGCAACAGGTCTGTGCAAGGGTTGACTCGACGTCGCTCGACGTCGACTACTGAGTCAGAGCAAGCAGACGCAATGTCTTCAGCAGCTTCGGGACCGCAAAAGCTATGATTGTCGTATTGACGAGATTGTGAGCCCAGCCAATGAACACTAAGGTGCCATTTCCCGGTTGCTTCGCAGTTTTGATGAGAGCCGACTGTCGCCGGCGTATTACCAAGAGTGGCGTAGTCGACTCTGTCAGGAGGGAAATGGTGAGGGGAGAGTTTGAGGGCACACAACCAACACTTGGAGGCAGATGAAAACACCCTCCAACGAGAACTAAGATATAGCGTGCTGGACGATGGTAACGTCACGATTGGGAACCAGTGTGAACTACGACAATGGTAGTCATTTAGAGCTGGAGCAGACGTTGGGCGAAGCATACCTCGTATCATTGACATAATTTACACATTCCCAGCCTTAAAAGAGTAGCAGAGGTACGTAGAGGATACGCTTTAGATGGACACAATCTCATACTTGATTGATGTAAAGTTTGAGCAAGAGAACTGTTCGCTGCTCTTGCCATCAAGTTTCGATCTCCGCCTCGAATATTACCCTTTTCGTCAAACGTCCCTATCGCATAGTACAGCTCGTTCTCAGCCAGCCCACAAACATGTCAGCGCAAGGTGAGCTCATCGGTCATTCAAAGGCGATTATATACAAAATAAACTAATTGTTCAACAACATCCACAAATCTACTGTGTAAAAGGGTAGTCGGTGTACCCCTCTGGCGTGTGGCTGCCCATCATGTAGAACTTCGAGCGGTCATATGGCGTGAGGGGGATGTTCTCCTTCAGGCGACGAGGAAGGTCGGGCTATGGAAGGAGCCGAAATTGATCAACCTTAGATCACCGGAAAATTATACAGTGAAGAACATACGTTGGAGATATAGTGCCTTCCAAACGCGAACATGCCGCCCTTCTCTTCGGCTTCCTGCAGTGCGATGTCGCGCGTGTTGCCACCCGCAGCGATGTACGGTCGGTCACCCCATATCTTGCGGACGAAGTCATTCGTGCCTGATACTTGCGTTGATTCGTCTGCACGCGGCTCGATGACGTGTAGGTATGAAAGTTCACGGGCAGCGAGCTGCGAGGCGAGGTAGGAGAAGGTAGGAACTGGGTCTTCCATGCCCATCGCTGTATCCCCCGGGCATCGTCAAGACAACTTTGTGAAGTGAATGGAGGCGAGCTTACACTGGAACCTGCCCCAAGGGCTCAATCTGATAGCAGTCCTATCCGCGCCGACCTTCTCCGTAATGGAATCAACCACCTCCAGCACGAACTTCGCCCTGTTCTCGATACTCCCGCCGTACTCGTCCGTGCGTGTGTTGCTGACGTCCTGCAAAAACTGGTCGGGCAGGTAGCCATTCGCACCATGGATCTCGACACCATCAAATCCGGCCTCGATAGCGTTCTGAGCAGCGATGCCGTATAGGCGTATATATTCCTTGATTTCGGGGATCGTAAGCGCGCGAGGGACGGCCGAGAGCTGGCCGGTCATATCGACGCAGGGGATAGCGCTCGGAGCAACGAGATCGTGCCCTGTAGATGCGAGGTCCTGTGGGTGGGCGGTCCGCCCCTGTGCCCAGAGTTGGAGGTAGATGAAGGAGCCTTTGGCATGCACAGCGTCGGTGATCTAGTTCGTTTACGCATCAGCACATCCTGGAGAAAGGACAGTGATGAATACGGCCACACACATGTTTCCACCCTTCCTTCTGTTCCTCATTCCAAATGCCTGGCGCAAAAGGCGTGCCCTTTGCCTGAGGGGCAACGTACGTTGCCTCGGAGACGAGGAGCGTGCCGGGGGTGCTTCCACGTTGAGCGTAATATGTCGTAAGTTCCGGACCAGGGACATGGTTCGCATGATTACGAACTCGCGTCAGAGGAGCAAGAACGACGCGATGTTGGAGGTCCATCCGGCCAACCTTGAGAGGTTGGAAGAGCTTGGGGACCTTCGTAGAAACCGTCATTGCAAAAGTGGTGCTTGGTGAAGGTTAAGACGGGACAAAGAGGAGTCGGGTCGGTTCGTTGGGTCTATGTCGCCATCAACGCACGGTTTATATGCAAGGCCATCTTTGAAGGGACACCTGGGGGATGTTCGACAACGTTCAAAGTGATGAGGTGAGAAAAGCTGACAATCGCCCGCGTAATCCGGCCGCGCGTCGCATCCTTGGAGACGGCAGAAGAACGACATCGCCTAAAGGAACCGATGTTTGTCAGATCATGTCACCTCGCAGCACTCTCGCAGCTACTGCATCCAATCAACGCCAATCTTTGACAAGCTTTGACAGAGTAGGGGAGAGAATCCGGATCAAAAAGTTCGTGGTGCCCTGAATGCTGATCAATCAGTAGGCATGGAACTACTCGATGTCCTTGAAGGATCGGAATTTACCCTACTGAGATAGTACATTCACCGGTTCCGTCGTGAGTGCTTTCGCGAGCGTGAGATGCGATAACGATAGCTTGAAACTGAAGAAAAAGACATCGGAGCCAACATCCGTCGTCCTTGTCATCATGCCGTGCCGATGTAGTCCGAGAGCTTCAGTCAATTAGGTCTAAACTCTGATGTTAGGGGCCTTCTTGATATAGTGTTCCCCTATCTCGTCCCGGTGCGGTGTTGATGGTCTCTCGATTACCTGGAACTTTAATTATGCCTCGCGCTGCGTTATAGCCTTGGTCAAGCCTTGGTGGATTGAGGCGTACCTTAACATTTGAGGTGTTTTTATTCGCAAGATATACAAAGCATACGGCATGTTCAGTTATGTCGCTGGAAATGGATGTAGAAGGTTACCTCTACTGATACTATCAAGTTTCATCTAAGTGAATTCAGCTTCGATTCCTTTCTTCAGCTACCATTGATACACATCGTTTAAGGTACTTAATGTCCAATATTCTCGTTTCATACAAGGTTTATTTATTTATTTGAAAAACGGACTACTTTCGTTTGTGAATGTCTGTGGCGCAGTATCGCGCAGTGTTTCGGCGCTAACTAGTACAGCACAGAAATGAGACGCAGCCATCAATAAGCATTCACTGAGGCGCAGCAGTATTGCTTACTGACGCTGACAAAGTTGCGCACAGCATACAAGGACGTGGAGGCGCTCGTTGGGGGTATATACATCGCAAGTACTAGCGGGCCATCACTGACCTCTGACGAACGATGCGGCGACATAACTCGAGCGTTACATGGTCCACCAGCAACTTCTCAATCTTAAAGTGAATTAAAGAGCCCATGGCATTTGTGAATCTATCGCTCGTTCAAGGAGCAAACATTCGTAAGAGTCATTCCAAACTGCATAAATTCCGAGCTTGGGATTATGGCGGACAAAGCTACACGCCAGACTCACCCGACTCCATACTTTGTACAGTCCATTGCTTCATTCCGCCGGTAAGGACCAACTTCCATTATTCAAGACGAGCTAAAGGACCCTTCTTTCATCAGCAACGTGCTGGGTAACCGGTAAGGGCTAGGGGGCTCGCGAGTCGGTGTCATATTTTGCCCCTGCAAGCCAGGTACCTGGTGCGTGTAGAGCCGGACGGGATGCTTCAGCTTATGAGTCGCACAATGTAACCGACATTCAAGTATATCGCTGGGGTCCCTCATCTCGTAACATTGGCGGTATAGGCTAGGCAAAACGGACACGGTCCAGAATAAGAGATCTATAATGCATTCGAGCGCCCTGAAATAACTTAACCATTAGCCAACGATATATTATACGTATACTGCTAGCCAATTGCAATTGAGCATGTCAATTTACTACTCTAAAGTTTGCCCTCCTCCGCGAACAGCCAGTCCGTGTATCCTTTGGACGTCAGATCACCGGTCAAGTAGAACATCGATCGGTCAGGACGCGTGAGCTCCAAGTTCTTCTCCAGGCGCTTGGGCAGGTCAGGCTACACCAAAGGGCAGTACATCAGCTTACTTGACTAGGACGGAAGAGGATGACCACACACGTTCGAGATATACAATCGCCCAAATGCGACGAGTCCGCCCTTGTCCTCTGCATCCTTGATCGCATTCTCACGCTTGAATCCACCAGCAGCGATGAACGGTCTGTTGCCCCAAATCTTGCGTATGAAGTCATTTGACCCTGGGTAGTCCTCAATCACGTCGTATCCCTGCAGCCGAGGCTCGACAACGTGGATGTACGCGATATCACGTGCGGCGAGCTGCGTCGTGAGGTACGAGAATGTCGGGATGGGGTCCACCAAGCACATGCCTGCATTAGCACCATCGTTCAATTACGATGCGCACACAATGTCGCAGAGGGGGGAGAAACGCACCGTGAACGCTACCCCATGGGCTCAGTCTAATCCCCGTGTGCTCCTTGCCCACAGCCGCAACGATAGCATCGACCACCTCGAGCGTAAACCGTGACCTGTTCTCGATGCTCCCGCCGTACTCGTCCGTCCTGTCATTACTTACGTCCTGCAAAAACTGGTCGGGCAGGTACCCGCTAGCGCCGTGAATCTCCACCCCGTCGAACCCTGCGCGCTCGACCGCGTTCCTCGCCGCCTGAGCATAGAGCTTCGCATACTCTTTGATCTCGGGTACGCTGAGCGGGCGAGGCTGCACTGGCACGCCGAACACCATTTGCTCGGGGGTGAGCGCGATTGATGAGGGCCCCACGACGTCATACGACTCGCCGTTAGCTTTGAGCTCGCCTTCATCAGCAGTACGCCCGAGAGCCCAGAGCTGGCAATAGATGAAGGAGCCCTTGGCGTGGACTGCGTCTGTGACCTACATTCTCATTATGCCTGGATAAGCATCACAAAACATGTATGTGTAGAATGCAACGAAACGTTGATCCACAAATTCACGAAACGCACCTTCTTCCACTCGTAAACCTGCTCATCGCTCCACACCCCGGGCGCATGCGCGATGCCCGTCGCACAGGGTGCGATAAATGTCGCCTCGCTTATCAGGAGTGTTCCGGGGACGCTCCCGCGCTGGGCATAGTGCTCTGCTAACAATGGGCCTGGGACATGCGACGCGTGGTTCCGCAGACGTGTGAGCGGGGCGAGGACGACACGGTGCTTGAGCTCGGAAGCGCCGACGCGAAGGGGTTGGAACAGCGCAGGAGACGGGATGGGCTGAGTGATGGTCATGGCTACTCCTTCAAATTTTGTGTTTCTAGACGAGTAGTGTGGGTTTAGGATAGGCGAAAGATGATAAGGTGGAGAGAAGAGCAACGCTGTTTCTTATACCTCGCCAGAATTGCATAGCGCGCTTGAAATTGGGTCGCACCTGGGAAAACCGCCAGCGATAGCAATGCCGGTCAAAACGGGGTCTGTGGTAGCACCCACCTTACTCAGCATGCGTCCGACTCATCGCTCGTCGAGGTTGATAGGCGTCGGTGACCCTTCAAGCTTCAAGTATCGTATTCAAGAGGCAGCTGACTTGACGCGGCGAACGGAATTTCCCGGAACGCCGGCAAATGCACATACTGGCATCGATTCTGTGTTTGTCAGCTGCACTTAAAACGTATTAGCTCTCAGTAGGCCTATCACTCTTAGCAAGAACGGTGAAGTCGAATGCATATACTTTGCCTTGATCTTGCATCAAGATGATGTCGAAGGTCTTGAAAGAGCCGAGTTGAAACGTTGAGGTTTGATAAACAGAACAAAGATACTATTGCGGCAGTCTACACGGTATCCGGGCACACCGGCAAGCAACACTGAATAATGGTCGGAGACCTGATAGGTAAGCAGCCCGGGAGACGAATAAGAACCACGTACTCTATGGCATAAACCCTTGTTCCCCTTTCCTGCTACATCCGCATCTCGACCTCACTCTAGGCCTTCTTGACCATCATCATCGCAACCGGCCACTCGATATCCACCTCGTCCGTCTCCTTCACCTCCTTCGTACCGTCGCCCGACTCGCGCTGTACGCCTTCCATGAGTGCCTTGTAGAATCGCGTAGCGATGTCGCCTTCGGGCTGCTTCGCATCGGACGGGTTCGCCTCGCGGAAAGTGTGCAGGGACGACCACGTCTGAAGGTAGCCATAGAACTCGAGCCAGGTCATCTTCTTGCGCAGGATGACGGAGCGTGGCGAAGGAAGGTCGGGGTAATGCGAGCCTATGATATCATGCGTTAGTAGGGTTCTGATAGCGAAGGAGTGGGCAAGAAGGCGAGGTAAGAATGGTGCCAGGACTCACCGGTGAAGAACACGCGTTCAAAGTCGCTGAACCCGCCTGGGACGATCGTGTTGGGCTCAGGTATGTCAAGTAGGTGGTTTTCAAGAATCGACCTGCCGGGCTGTTGCCAATAGGGGCCTACGGAGTTGAGCTTGTCTGTGCCTTGTGCATATTGGTTGATGAGTGGGGTTAGCGAAGGATGGCGAGAAACGCGGAACTCTGAGTAAATCTGCAGATAGACGAACAATTTAGACAATTGGTCAAGACGGGCCAAGGAGTGACGATGAAGGAGCATATGCGCACCCAGAATGACGCACTGCCACCCTTCCGCAGCACCCGAGAGAGTTCAGGCCACATCTTGTTCCAGTCGAACCAGTGACCGGCTTGCGCTGGAGTAAGTTGATTTGAGTTCAAAGAGGACTACAGGGACGGACGTCGGTGTGTGCGACTCACCCGCTATGACGAGATCCACGCTTCCATCCTCCACAGAGTCCAACTTCTCCGCGGGAGACTGAACGAAATCAAACTGTTCCGTCGACACCGTCTGCTTGCTCAGCATCTCCCGCGCACCCTCAACCATCTTCGCACTTGGGTCAATTCCGGTGATCTTCCGGAAAGGTGTAAGCTCGACCGTCGCCTGCCCTGGGTCGAGCGAGTGAGGTCAGCCCGGCCCTTGAAGAACATCAAGCATACAACGTACCTGTTCCGCATCCCAGATCTAGTGCCCTGTCCCAGCGCGCCCCCTTGTTTCGCTCGTGATACCGGAAGATGAAGTCGAAGAGGGAGCGAGGATACGTCGGGCGCGAGGTTGCGTAAACGGCGGTGTCGAACGTTGCTTTGCCGAAGGTAGACATGGCGGAAGAGCGTGCGGAGAAGCGCGGACTAGGATGGATTGGATATGAGTTTTAGGGGCCAGGTGACGATTGTCGTGCTATTTATGTTAATGTTGGTCGGATTTTGTCGGCTTTGTGAGGGGGACGGACATGATGTGTTCGCTGACCAAGGTGAACGGTGGTGGGCCCTATTGCGACGTGCCGCTTTATCCAAGACTTATTGCGTCTCCCCCGCCGTTCATTCCAAGTAACTAAACGTGTGTAGGACCGGTATGTGTTATGCAGCCATGGCATTGGCGTACGCAGCGGGTACCAGCGTCGACAGTGTGGACGACAAAGAGAGGCAATGGGGATGTTGCCGTCGCCTGACCGGATGTTCCCGCGGCTGACCGCCGGCCAGCTGCGTCCGATAGCTGACTCTGGCCAACGTTTCAGCCACCAGGATGTCATTCCTTCCATTGCTAAGCTATATCCAGATGTCTAGGGCAGTGTAGACGATAACGACTTTGTTCGTACTGCTGAAACCAACAATCGCAAGCGAAGCAGAAGTTATGCCACACGATTTCATCATCGTGATCATCTTGATGCGTGTGCCCAGCCTGCGTGCGTGTTACGTTCACCAGGTATTCATTCGGGCAACAAAGTTTCAAGAACCAGCTTCGAAATAGAACCAAGAATTCTCAGTATCAAGCCGTCTGTTATCGATTTATCCACTGTCATAATCATGATGCACTCTGCGAGATCGACTCCCTTGACTAACAACGTCCACGCAGGGCTCCTGTCGGCATTTAGGATGAACATCCCGCAACACTTTGTTATCGTTTCGTTCGGTAAGGTATCTGCTCATCTAATAATGGATCTTTGTTGCTCACGCCTTAGAAATTACCAACCCTCTCGCCATCATATAACCCTCGCTGCCGCTGAGGCTGAGCCACAATGATATTGATGGTAGTTGGCGTAGAGATACGAGGAGCCCTCTACCCCTCGATATCTCAGAGCAGGTATCTTTCTTTCGCTCCCACTTTCACTTATCCACCGAAGCGTCTTGTAAAGTTTATCTCTCTAGGCAGGTTTGCCCTTTCTTCAAAACTTCATTCAGAGTCAAACCACTCAACTCTAATAGCCGTTTCTCAGCCTTAAGCTTCTACGTTATGGCAGAGGATACAGAAACATCGGTTGACGTTGAGGGCCCGTCCGCCTCGACTACTTTGAAGCCTGATTCTACCCCAGTGGTCCAATCGACGAAGAACCAATCACCTCCTACTGACAGCACGACAGTGCCCAAGTCCTCTGCATCCCTTGCTCGCGTATACTCCCAAAGCCCATTATCTGCCATAAACTCAGTACCATCTACGACCCAGCAAACACCGCGCATCCCTCCGCCGACCTCCGGTGGATGGCGAGCAAATAAATCACACCAGCATAGACCACCCTCGAGCTTGGCAGTCAATAAATCCCACAACACGATCAATGATGGAGCGGTGGTTGGCGCTGTAATTGGTGCCGCCGCTCTGGTCTTCATCACCGTCGGCTCCTACGTGCTGCTGAAACGCAGATATCACCATCACTTACAAGCAATAAATAGCCCCGAGCACCAAACGCAGTGCACAGAAAACGAGACCACGCTCGCCTCCGACTCCAAATTGGGGATTTTCCTGCCGAGGGAGCAAGACGGTTATGGGTTCTCTATCTTACCTAAACTTCCCTTTCGCTCCAAGTGGCTTGGTAGTCCTTCGACTTCTACTTTAACATCGTCGGCGAATGGATCACCGCCTGAGTACGCGTCTTCTCAGTGTGTGGATACCACTCACACAAGTCTGTTGGGTACTTCATCTGGCCACCCGGGTGCTGTAGACTCACGAGATCTCAAGAACTGATACTGCGGTACATCACCGATCACTACCTAATTATATCGCTTTCTTGGACTTGTACAGTACGTTGATCTTTGGACTTATGTTCGGTCATATTGAGTACGCTTCCACTCTCCTTCCCAACGGTATTATGTACAGTGAGACTTACCCCTGAACTTGCTTCATGACCGAGCTGTTATACTACTATTTCATGTCGGTAGCCACAAATACTCCAATTTTTACCGCCACAAGTTGCGCAATCAAACGAACTTCAGTTTAATTCATTATTTTACTTTGATGTCGTGCCTGGTGCATCAGAGATGTCTCCTTGTGAACTCTTTTCATGTAACACCGGTTTTGTCGTTGACCTGTCTTGATGTTCCTACAGATCTTTAACATTTCATATCCGACAGATCGCGAACAGAAGCTTGTCTTTTGTCTAGGTCACGCCTGTTTCCTCTCGTACCTACATGACACAATATATCCTATCAAAGTACTATCTTATTGAGGCGATGTTTATATCGTTTTGAGCACATTTCACTCCTTCATTGGGCCTTGGTAGATTCTTCCCGGAGATAGCAAGCCGTCAGGTCCATGGCTTCAGGCGGAATTCATCTTGATGGGAAGGCCAGTTGTCTCTGGCCGCTTTCACATCGGTAACATGATGATCTGGCATCCCCAACAAATATAGGCGAGGCGAACTTCCCAGCTTCATTCTAGGGCTACTTACCATCTTTAGCATTCTCTGCAGTACTGCTCTGCACAAACCGCAAATGAGGATACAGCCATACCGATGTCAGTCAGAATGGACTTTGGCGCGTCTACATGTATTAACTAGTACCTCGCGGTGCCGCTTGGCTACCATCTGTTAATAATAATTCGTCCACTGATGATGGCTGAGCATCTGATGGTTGGCAATCCGTGTGATATATTCCCTGCAATTTCTGTCTCCTGTGAGTGGTTTAAATCACATGTCCCTTGTTAAATATCCTCACCATATAGTATCGTCTATGCTGCTCACCTTTTTAGTCCATTCCTGCTATATTTCCATCTAGCTAGGAGGTACTAGCGTCCACTCATTTGTTCACGTCCTCCACACTTGTGGGCGTATCTATTGCCAAGATCAAAGTCCTTCATACAGGTACTCTTCTATCGCGAAGATAGCATACGCGTATGTTATTTTCTTCTCAGATATTGAACGAGGCTGTTCTCATCCTATCTCTTTCACTAAAACATTAGAAATGGGTGGCATTCCCGGAATCTTATCTGTTGTAGGCGCTGTTGTGAATAGCGCCATTTCCGACGCAGCTCAATTTAGTTGTGAAGTTATTGGCTCATGTCCTACGCCGAATGATCAACCTTCATCTTCGTCCACATCGGCCATACTTGGAACCACGGATGCATCGGTTTCGAGATTTGCTACACCCAAACCCAGCCCGGCCTTCGGAGCGTCGCCTTCGACGGTGGCACCGTACCCTTCAGAAGAACTTCCGCCTCAACCGAGTCCCACTTCCACCGCTACACCTACTCAGACTTCTTCAACTATTTCACTGGCAACTGTATCTTCAGATATCTTCACCGTTACCATTTCTGAGTCGGCACAGTCTGTGGGCTTAGGAAGAACACCTTCATTGGACAAAACCCCCGCATCCACACCCACCATTCCTTCAACGCGCAGTTCTTCTCACAGTAACAATGTCGGGGCCATTGTTGGCGGGATATTAGGCGCAGTGATCTTTCTCATGATTGCCACAGTATGCTATATCCTTCTCACACGCAGACGAAGACGACGTCCCCAGTCTCCATCAGCAAACTTCCGGTCAGAGTGGTTACAGATTGAAGACCGTCTCCCCTGTAGCCTCAAGTATGAATCAGCAACTTCAAAGGAAGATGAAGGATACGGGTTTTCTGTATTTCCCAGACTCTTTGCTCGCTCGAAGCGGTCTGCTGGACCCTCGGCCCAGCTAGTAGCGTCTACCGCGGAGCCACCACCGGCTTACCAGCCTTCGGATAGGTCGATTTACTGTGGCAGTGGCACTTTGAGTGGGGTTTAGTACTAGTAACATACAAACCTTACACATGTGTGTCGTTGAAAATTGAGACACGCCCGAACCTCCATTATCGTTTTTAGCAGCTAGTTGTCAGCTAATTTGTTAGAAATGACTGGTCGATGTTTTTATTCCTACCGAACGCTGGATCTTCTACTTTCGTATTAGTGGTATAGAGAACGAAACCGATAAATGGTACTCACACCGTGACGGTATCCGATAGTAGTGCAGCCCTTCTCGCATTCACGTATCTCGAACCGTTTCCAAGTCAACTATTGGATTATAGCTTAGGTACTGCAGTAAAGTCGTGAACCAAACTGGCTTACATCTTTGTTCAATACGATGCCATTCATCGCTTTGAACCGAATCAATGAAGCATCAAACTCACATGCATATATATTTCTTCTCATGAAATTCTCCGCTTCATAGCCCCTGGTACGTCTCGTTTATATCATGATGCTGATGTGAACCCTGATAGCTCTCAGGATGAGTTGATTTGGTGAGATATCATATACCCACTGGTACCTTGTCTTCATTATACCGGCTTGACCATTGTTCCGGATATGCTAAGCCATTACTCGTAGTGTCATGGGTATATCACGTACATAACACAGTACTCCTCTGAATTTGATCGACTGGTCCCATTCTCCCTTCTTCATCTACGTCTTTGACTCAAGCACTCAGAATCCGCACCCTAGCTGGTGCAGTCCTGCTTGTACCACGCAGTGTTCGTCATTAAGTGAGTGCTTTGCGAGTATGCAATCCAGCGGTGTTGTGGTAACACGAGTTTCTCTGCAAGCCTCAAGTCTGTCATTACTCTATATATAATGGACGCCCATAATAAACCTTTCAACTCTTTTTCCTGGGCCGCTTCACAGTGTATCGCACATAATGGACACCCACCCCCCGTCCCCGTCCACAAGTCCTGGCATTGGACGATGGTTACATATGCTCCTAGTTGCTCATGGCTCACAGGCACGCATACTCCCTCGCCTTCAGAGTCTGAGAACGTCCCAACTTCAGATTCTCTGCCATCTCCAACAGTAGACTTGTCAGCTCAGCCATACCCCGCAGACACCGTTTCCTCTTCCAGCACTTCACTTCCATCCCACTGTCCCACATGCACTCTCTCTAATTCCCCGGCGCCTTCGAACACTGCGCCTGTTACACCAGTTCAGACCACTGTTTTCTTGGTGACCACTATTTTATCCACGGGGTCTCTGAAGGATGGCTACCGTTTCACGTCCGTGGTTGCTTCCTCGGACATTGTCATCAGTACAGTCTACATGTCCGGATCTAAGACGTCCACAGCCATTCCACGTACTTCTGAAACATCGCATGTCGGGGCGGTGGTCGGTGGGGCTTTGGGAGCTATCATTATAGTCATGGTTTTTGTGGTCTTTCTTTTGTGGCGCAGACGTCGAAAGCAAGCTGCTTCTTCGACTGTCGACATGGCTGTGAGACCGAAGAGTGTCTTCGGATCTGACATGGATCAAAAACGTCCGCTTCCAACTGGCGAAGACGGCGGCTACGGGTTCTCGATCCTCTCCAAATGGTTCTCTACTTCTGCTGCTCACCTCCCCCCTCATTCAACTCTCAGGGCTCACGAAGGTCCTTCCACTTTAACCTTCATTTCTTGCGACGAGCCGTTGCCCCCGTACCGGCCTCCCCGAAGCGACTCAACACAACAGGCGTAGATCCATGAAAAGCTGACGCAGCCTTTTCTCTCGAATACAGCATCTTCCCAGTAACCCAATTTCGCCATTCATTTTAGTTACCGTGTCCATGCGTCTCACATACATCTATTTATGTGTTTAAACCTATACATGTCTTCTGGTCGGATTCTCGGACCTCATTGCGAGTTAGCTGCTCTATATATACGCTCGTTTCTGTAATACCGGCCCACTGTGAAAACGGAAACAGTCGAATTTCGACCGCCCTTTCACCCTGTTTTTGTGGGAAATTAGACCATGATAGTGGTTTAATTCACCAGGTGCTGGCGTTTATCGACCCGTTTCTGGGTGAATTTGTACGGGTGAAAATCGACTGAATCATGCAATATTCACCCGGTTCTAAAACTCAGACGAAACTGTTGTTTTTCGACCATTACTCGGGTGAACTTGCTGGGCGTTATTCTACCACATCATGGGCATAAAACCCTACTAGATGGGGTGAAATTCACCACGCACACCATGAAAATGAATACAAAATAATAGCAATCCGTTTTATTGTCACACTAGCTAATACAGGAACGCGGACGTAGGTACCGATATAGTGAGAGGGCAAGAGAAAGGCAGAAAGAACTCACATATCAGTCAATTGTGGACGCCTCTCACTGGCGGGATGGAGACACGGGCGTGTAACGCTTGAGCGTGCTGCTCCTCATGCTGCTCTGCGAGGTTTGGGTGTATCGCTTGCGGCTGTGGATGTTATGCTGGACGATTTAGAGGTAGCACAAGATGCTAGAGTTCAAATCGTTAGCAGGACAACGTGAGATGAGATATTTAGGCTTACCACGGAGTGCGCGGAGCTCATTCTCGTGCTTGTCATTGGCCAAGGTCCTATTGTAACTGTTAGCTTCCAAGCCGGACCACACGGGATTCCTGTACGTGCGGAAGGTCAGTATATGAGTACCCTAGCAGCGGGCGAAGACGTGTAGAGCGACGGGACTTACGAAGTAGACAAACTGGGAGCAATTCTGGGCAAGAATGGCGAGTCCGGAGGACATTGTGGTGGAGGGCAAGTGAGGTTTATAGACAAGCGATGGGGTTGGGTTGCGCAGCTATATACCTTATCAAAACATATCCCATTGAGTCCACTACCGCCCGTGCTGCGCCCAAGGTGCACCACCCAGTGACAAATCAAACCAACTACGTGGGGCGCATTAGTCATGTATCCCGTTATGCTAAAATATGCTAAGGAAGTCATACCACTAAGTCAAAACTGGGTTCACGTCGAATGGAAGGCGAAGGCGAGTGTTGTATATAGTACTCGCGAGATCGCCATGCAGGAGGGTGAGGGCGATGGATGGCGCGGGCGGTATTTCAACCAGAATGGGGGTGATTTTCGCCCATTGATGACGACATGATCGAGCATGGAAACGCACCTAGGTATTTTCACCCGGATACTGGGTGAAAGAAGATTCGACTCTCATTCACCCATTTCCCGTTTTCACCCCCATTCCGGGTGAATGTGCTTTTTCATCTTGGCGGGTGGGTGAATTTCCCCTGTTTCCCTTTTCACAGTGACCCATTCATACCCAAGCCTGTCATTTTCGGGATGTAGATGCGTAACTCGACCCACTGTGCTTGAATTGTTATATTCAGAGTCGAATGCTTCCTTACCTCTCCAGTGTACAGTGTCTTGGGTATAACATGAACATATCTCTCACGGAAACATGTTTTTAAGAGGTCGCTTGCGCTGGTAGTCTGGGCTCAAGCGCTGAAAATCCCAATGAGCGCTGATCGATCAACAGAAGTCTCTTTCAATTGGCTACCTCGGGCGCTGTTGTCACACAGGCGCCCGAGGCGAACTTCTTCTAGAGCCTCGAGGTGTAAGCATGCATCCTTGTGCGCTTGTGATGCTCATGTGCCATTCTCACCTCAGCGCTAGAACGCTCTGGAATCAGAAGCCCAAAGCTCCGGGGGCACCGGTCGTATATATTTACTTCGCGATGCACCATGTTATGGTCCACTTTGCCTTCCTCCCTCTCTTAGCTTTCGTGCCCTGAGGTTTATTACTCCTTTATCACAGACATTTACTGGAATCTGAGGCGCTTTTTTAGACATTGTTTCATGTCAAATACGAGAACACGTACTTCCAGGACCAGTATGTGTCTCCATCTATCACTGCTGTCACAAAACGGTCCAAACATCATTGTTTTACAGCAGCTGCCTATACCGGACGACACGCTGAAGTCGAGTTGTGCCACTACTGCGCCTTTGAGAGAGTTGGATGGCTCAACCTTGGTTCGATATCGACAACGTCATCGATCCCATAGGGGAAATCTATTCATCAGCGCCTCTAACGATAACATCTCCGCCGGCGCCATCCATCCAAAACCGTGAAGAAAGTCCTTGGGAGCCTGCACCTTCGGCCCTGCTGACCCATTTGCCATCGTCTTCGGTTACAGGCGCTGCCCGTATGTTTGGTAAGAGTACTTTTGGCTCTGTCGAACGTGATCGAGCTCAGCCACTTCATCAGCGGAGCGGCAAGCCGATATCGATGTTGACAAGCATACCTCGACACCAACCGCCATCATCGTGGGAGCGATAGTTGGCACATTGTGCGTTCTCGTCGTCGCAATCGGGCTCATTTGGGTCTACTTGAAACGAAGAAGGAACATGGCCTCATCGAATCGACACCGCTCCCTTGATCTTCTCGACACCCCTGCTGACAAGAACGCGTCAAAGAACAGATTCTCGTTGTTCTTGGGCCGCGATCGGCCGATATTGTCGTCAGAAAGTTCGGCTCTACAACTTGTCCCACCGGCCGCAGGCGAGCCTATGTTCAAGGAAGACGGAGTGGACGAGAGCAAGAAGCCGATGATACCTTTATATCATGGGAGTGGTCAGCAACTCTTCGTCTCTTGGGATAGTGACCGTGGCTCTGTGAGCGAGTTGAGCGTGCACGCATGAGGTGAGATTTACTGCTTCAAAGACGTACTGGATAGACCTACTACCTTACATTACCATCTTCTTATACATACTCGCAGCCAGTGTACCACTATAATCTTTCGCCTTCTTTAGATTGCCGCCTGGTGGTAATTCATGTGACATCGCGTGCAGTGCTTCCTATTCTGGTTTTGCTTTCCTATGGCCCCGGCGGCGAGTATTCTTTCCTTGGGGACATAAAAGGTGGAGATTGAACGAGGATCGCAAAGGCTATGTCTAGCCTCGCGGGCGTCATGCGACAACAGGAGGAAAGTGATGGATGTGGTTGAGATGCTGGTGCGACGCGTCGCCATCCAATCGCATCGCCACAGCACTGTTAATTCACACGGTTCAAGCGTAGCCACCGGCGTGTCGCGGCTCTGCACCGCACCCACTACTTACACCAGTGAATCGCGACTCCTGCTCTTTTTCTCATACTCAGAACGACTGAGTTTTATCTGGTCGTATGATTTATCATGCCCATTATGTCTCGATCCCGGTCCCCCTATGCACACCTTCTCCTCGCCGCGGTTGGCTTCCTTATCAACCTGGTCTCTGCCTAAACATGGTCGGTTTCAGCGGGAAGCATCAAGATCAGGTGCAGTGTCCCCAGATATGATGTGATTCGACTTTCATCTCTCACCTTAGCTGCTGGTATCCAATGTCTCCTGTGGTCTATATCACTTTCGAGCGGATGGGCGTGTCTCTCAGATGCGCGTTCTTAACGCCTAACCTCTCACGGATATACCGTTCCTTCCCTCTTTCATATTGGCTAACTGAAGTTTCTTCATGTTATCCTCCCCTTCGTCTCAAAACTTGCGCCGTCATTCGGCTCTCCTAGCCAAGTTGGACTTGAGCAACAGTAGCCCTCTGTCGTCAGCGACATCCGTACTCGGTGAGACTTCCCGTGCGTTACCATCCTTGGCCATTCTTTCTACTTGCATCATCATCTCACAATCGATAGTAATCATCCGTGACGGCTTTAAGCTTGATGACTTTCAAGACTCTGGTAGTTCCACCGCACCCACCGTTGTTTCATCTTGGTTACCTTCGTCCTTTTCGACATCAACTACAGTCCTTACTGAAAGTTCAGCGACTACTAGCGGCGTGCCGGACACATCCACACAGTCTACTATCCCATTCTCATTACCCCCCACCACATCGTCCACGTTATATAGCCCGGTCTTTAGCACCTCCACCCCTGCGAGTACTGAGCCAGGCTCGACTGGCCCTATTGGCCCTCCAAGTTTCCAACCGAGCTCGGAATCTGAATCATCGTCGCCGTCATTATCACCATCTCCCTCTAGCACGTCTCCCAGTGTGGGGTCTACTCCTTTCCCGTCATCTTCATCCCTTCCTCTTAGTCCCTCAACGATCCTCTCGTTTCCCGTCCCCGGGCCGAGCGTGGTTGCTGATGAAACTGCGCCTCAACCTCCGCCAACTACGTACCCAAACTTACCTCAAAGTCCAATCTCGCCTTCACCACCTTCCTCCTCCGCGCACAGCTCATCCAGAGCCTCCAATACACCTATCATAGTTGCCTCCGTCTCGATACCGGTTCTTGTTCTTTGTATCGCGCTGCTCTGGTGGCGCCGACGTCGCGCTCGGGAACGTGACGTCATTTCTTCATCTACATCACCAAGCCAGAGCACTCTCGTGCGCTCTCAGAGCTCGGGCGGGAAGAGCGTGGGCTCGTCCTTCATTCAATATGACGACTCTGTGTATTACGAAACCGACTTTAATGCTCGTCGTACACCCGATAGCTTCTGGGGCGCGCCGCCGTTACCGCCTGGGACCGTTATGGACAATGCATCGGAATACAGTTTCGCTGCGAGCGGTGCAAGCTGTGATAGCCAGTCGGGTATCAGCTATAGCAGTGAGCGCCCTTTATTGTGATGAAACATGGACGCACGTACCCCGATATGTTACGAGCTATTTCTATTCAGGTGTTTTCGCACAGAAGTTGTGTTGTTAGACTGTAGTGCCACAGCTATTCTTAAATCGTGTCGATGGAAGCATTGCATTCATCTTCCCATGATGGGGCACAGGAACAACGTTCACCCGCGTACGAAAAGGTCTCCGACCGGCGAGCATCTCGAGCTTTGCCAAGTATTTATGGGTCCTCCTATCCCGAGCCTGATCTTCAAGTTGCGGGTACCTGATGGCTGGTGGTTGCGGCAAAGCTTGTTGATCTTGTGACCTGATAACCTGGATCTGGTACTCACGAACCAAATTTCGCCGCAACGGCAAAAGTTCACAAGGAGAGAATCGCTACATAACGTCATCAACAGCTTGTGGCAAGGGGAGTAAATCGTGAAACCTTGTTTATCTTTCTTCCACAACCCGCCACTCGCTAAGGGTGATAACAACGGATCTGAAGGAGTTAGGTTGGCGCTTACGTTCCCTTTTCACACGTTTGTCGCGTTCTAGAAATATGCACAACATGGACAGACATTTCAAGCTTGCTATAACGTCCGTCCGGGTCGGGCTCCCCCTGAAATTGATCGCCGTTCGCGTAGAAACGTTTAGGGTCGTCAAAGCACTGAAGAGTTCCCATCATCCTGGTTATGGAGACAGACATAGCTGTGAGCATTCAGGAAGACATGTGCCATTACATGCGGCTCGTACTCCAGAAGTATCCACATCATGGACTCCGGAAGTATACGGCCCGCTTTCGATAAGAATTATACACTACCTATGAAAACAATGCAACAGCTGGACGTCCCCAAACTTTACCTAGATATAATCATACTCTCGAGAAGTTATCATCAGATATCTAGCTGACATGTGGTACTTAAACTAAAGACACTTCAAATATTACGCAGTAGGTACGGTATGAAAGAACAAGAAACTTGAGAAGCAACGATCCATTGTAGCAAGGTTTTGGAACGATGATAATGAGTTTCTGGTTTGTACATCTAAGGGGAAGCGCACGTCAAGTCCTTTTGATTGGTAACATTAGATACCTTGTCTATTACGACCCGTTCATCAAGTTTCTCTCTCGTAGCTAGAGACAGAGGGGTAAGAGCGACATCAACGATGGCCTTTGGATGCTCGAGTGGGATCCAGTGTGATACGCCCTTCACTGACATTGCCGTAACGTGCGCGAACTCAGCTGATTGTCCGCTGTAGTAAACGGCACCGTTGTCGAGATCGCCGGCGAGTATCGTCAGCCTGACGTTTTCTGGTGGCGCCTGCTTGAGAAGATGCTTGAAATTCCAGGGGCAATGTTGCTGTGTGCAAATGATGTTAGCATTTGGCAAGCATAAAACATTAATGTGGATGACTAACGTCGAACAATGCATCAACTAAATCAGGATCGCAGAGCTCGTCGCCAAATGCTTTCCACGCAGCATCGCTGATCTTCCACGTCGGGAACATCTTCGTATACGCCTCAGTTCCCGGCGGCTCTCTGACTGCAGTCGTGAATAACACTCTATAGAAGTTCAATTGCTCCGACGTGAGGTCTAAAGGCGGATCAACGATGACAACATGCACAGCTCGTGACTCTGCAGAGATATGGTGGATGAGTCCGAGCGTAATGAGCCCGCCGAGCGAATGTCCAATGATAAGGTCCGGACATGCATGGGAGACGTATGGTATGAGGGCTTTAACAAGTGCGTCAAATGAATACTCCGAAGCGCGTGGGCCAATACCATGCCCAGGGAGCTCGGGTGCCACCACGTAATAGCCTATCAGCAAGGTTGTGTGAGGGTTGATGCTGACGGGGGAAGAGTAGAACACACCTTGCTCGACAAGAAGTTGTGCAACATGGCACCAAATCTGTGAGGTGCAAGTAAATCCATGCACCAGCAGCGCGCGTTTCGGTGCGTCAGGGTTTCCCCAGACTGAGCACGGGGAGAGTGTGTTCATTGTTAGATAGAATGGTCGGGGAGATAAATGACCGAGTGCACGAGCGATACAGCTGTAGGCAGCGAGATTTTATAGAGTGCGGGAAAGGGGTTGTCGGAAATGAACAGCAGATAGAGAACACAATAGTTATTGCAAGATACGGTGTGGCATGCACGATCCCTCTTATACGAAAGATTAAATCATGTATGAAAGGTTACTCGTTCAGGGAACAATTGCGGTAATCTGCGGGATCTCGTCTGTGCATCGCACAGCAAAGTCAAAAAGCGGAGAATGGCCGCGATGTATAGTATATCAGGGAGATCTAGTGGCAGAAGCACCTCATGTTGTGAGGTAGCGCCACCGCTCTCCTTGATGCGACATACATTTGCAATATCACCAATGGTCGGGTCCGTGTTGTAAAATGAGTTACACCGAGAAAGTCGCTCTGGCTGGAGAAGGTTATAGTGAGGAAGCTCCGCGAGGCGTAGACCGATATAGACCGTGACTCAGATTAGAAACGCCTCCAGAACTAAGGCCTCGGATAGAATCAGGTTAATAGACTGTATACAGCACGGTTATCAGGAAGACTGCTTCTAGCAAAGAGGTCAGCTATGACTCAAGCGAACGGAGCTGTTTGAGGACTCGGGCTCAGCGCGCCGCAGAAAACTCGCAGTGACTCACTATAACCTAGACTGAATGCGCCTTTCTTCCTGCTGGGTGGACGGCTACTGAACAATGAGCCGCTGTCATAACCAGGCCGCATTACGTTGATGACAGATAGCAAAGGTAATATAACAGCGGGTCTCACCGAATGACAAAGTGGAAGGGCTACGGGTGCTAAAATGATTGCGAGCGCCACGGAAGAAGATTGAGGAAGGGGCTGGATGCGATATCATCGCCAATCGCGGTGCTTTAGCAAAGCTGCCATCATATTTTGTAAGAACCACAGAATACCATCAGTAGCAGTCACTATTTCAATCGATATTGCTGGAGTAGCTCACGGAGACTAAAGGCTATAGGCGTCTTTAGATTCTTGATAGTTACAGCTGGTCAATGCCAGCTGCTCCGCGTCCGGCAACTAGATAAAGCCGAGATCTCGATGAATTCCGTCGGGAAGCTGTCGCTGGAAAGCTGGTAGAATGAGATTCAGCGTCCCGCGAAGCTCCATGTGCTCATTTAAGAGAGAATAAACGTGGGCGGAAAATGCGGTACGTAGATTGTCTGAAGTGCCATAGTCCGAGATTTCTTCTACTAACTTTGAATGGAATAGATATGCTGTGGGTGGCGCATCACGGATAAACTTGAAGCTTAGATTCTCAAGCGGAATCCATTGAGTACTTGGAGAGGCGTTTGGCCGATGTCAAATAACGTTCCGCCTAAGACCAATGCAGAAGAAAGGAGATGCCAACCACGGACATGATTATGAAATTGAGTAGCACATGCTTCGAGGGGAATGCCTGTTGTATAAAGCGCATGTCAGCCACAGGGTCTGTTTGTCTGATATGGGATGACGTTCCAGAAGTTTTTAGCATCCGTCTTACATATATGACTTACACCAGTCATAATTATGCCCCAGCATATGTTTGGATGCTATTTGCTTAATCAGAGAGATTCAGAGAAATAGGGTACGCTAGTAAATAATTCATAACATGCATAATGAACTTGATGGGCACACCTGCGATAATGTCGGTAGGTACCCACATTAAGGTTAAACGTCAACAGAATGTTGAATGTGTACATCGACCTAAACTCGGGGTTTGTTCTAGTATTAATTGGAAAATGGTGGAAATACGATCTCCGTCTGAGACATACATGTTCCGAGAGATGAGATGCAGTTACCTCCAGGCTGCTCACTGGTAGGCTCGAGTTTACGGTGGTCACACGCTGGCTAAACTCTGGATGGGTAATCTTCCTGCATGCTATTGACATGAGACGTGTCCACAGTAGTAGGAAGCACTGATGCAGTGGTGCTTGATAGTATATGGCAGCTGGTGTGGCTGCTACGTTGGAGAATCTGGCCTCGCTCTTGGGATGAACGTCGGCCACATCGAGAAGAGGAGCAAAGGCGCCGGTGCGCTTGGTCGTATTTGGCTGCCGAAGTACCGCCACCCTCGCCACGCGAGCGTCTACTAGTCTGGGCTACATTCTCTCCCACACACTCAAGCACCTAACTTATTCATTTTTTCCTGACCCATCACTCGTCTCGTTTGTATCATCTTTCTAGCTATGTATAGTCACGAGCTGTACAAGCCGCTCGAGGTTGAAGTCCCTCATATTCGGTAAAAGCACCAAAGGTGTATATTGGTGGGTGGATGGATCAAGTCTGCAGTCAGATGGAGATAATCAAACGGGATTCATAATTCATTTCATGAAAGTTGATATTAATTGAACGAGAGATATAACGCTTTATAGTCGAAATACAAACATATAAGAACGCACAAAATTAGCAGGATGTCGCTGTGTAAAGCTACGATAAGTGCGAGAAAGAATCAACAAAGATAATACTAGCCTCTGAATCTCCCAGGCGTACGCAATCCAGGACTCTAAGAAAGAACGCCAACCGACACTGAAACTTCCAACTCGGTAGGAGCCCGCGGCTCCTCAACGATCGTGAGCTGAACGTCTGACTCGCCCTCGTACGTTACACCAGCAAGAGCGACGTCGACGATCGCTTTGGGGTCTTCCAGAGGCACCCAATGCGAAGCGCCCTTCACCATCATAGGGATGACATGATCAAACTCGCTCGTCAGCCCGCTATGGTACACTCCACCACAGCTGAGGTCACCACCGAGCATCGTAAGCCGGACGTGGTCGTGTGGCGCCTGTTCAAGCACATGTTTGAATGTCCAAGGGAAGTGTTGCTGATAAGTCGCTCAGTCGGTAAATTATAACGGGAAGATGTCATTAAGATTAGCTCACGTTGAAGAGCGCATCGACACAAGCCGGATCGCATAGCTCATCTGCAAACGACTTCCACGCAGCATCGCTCAGCTGCCACCTCGGGAACATCTTCGCGTACGCATCCGCTCCCTGGGGCTCACGCACAGCACCCGTGAAGATGACCCTATACATGTTATATTGCTCTGTCGTCAGATGCACCGGCGGGTCGACGATAACAGCGTGCACAGGCTGCGACTCCTCGGGGATGTACTGGATGAGCCCAAGGGTGACGAGGCCGCCGAGGGAGTGACCAATAATAAGGTCGGGCGAGACGGGCGAGACGTAGGGCACAAGGGCCTTGACGAGGGCGTCAAAGGAGTACTCCGATGCACGCGGGGCGATGCCGTGGCCGAGGAGATCGGGTGCCACGACGTAGTAGCCTGTGGATGGGATCAGATGGGGTTGATGGTGGACTGGAGAGAAAGATAGGAGACCTTACCTTGGTCAACCAGGAGGTGGGCGACGTGACACCAGATTTGAGAGGAGCAAGTGATGCCATGGACCAGCAGGGCACGCTTGGGAGCGTCGGGGTTTCCCCAAACAGAGCAAGGAGAAGGGCTCATGTTGGAATATCGAACAAAAGGTGAAGATGAAGTTGTTTAGAGTACAAAAGGTTAGACCGCGAACTTGCGCTGGACCAAGAGAAGATGCAGTTGGAAAGAGAAGTCTACGAAGATCGCCGCGTAGAATGTAAGTAAAAGTGAATGATAAAGACTCAGACTGGGGGCGCAAGCCTCCCTTTTATACAGGTTTGGGACCGCAGTGCTCACCAGAGCCAGCAAGCTTTCCGAGCAGAGCGGCTGCGGGAGCCTGTGGCGTCGTTGTGGTGAATTGGGCTGACCAGGCTCGAGACCCAAAGGAGGCCAATCAGCGAAGATGAAAGTGATCAGGATCAGAGCCGAGAACATACGATCACGGGCCGCACGTCATACGGCGATGGTCGATAACGAAATGCTGTTCGTTGATAGACATATGCTACATTGTGGGCACAGCGCGCGCACCCCGTAACTTTGCAATACGTGTTGTGACGTCGAATGGCTTAACGACAAGCCATCGAACATAGTAGAGCCACCAGTATTACACGAGGAACAGGTGGTTTCAGGATATAACGAGGGCATGCCGAGGAGTGGCGGGAGATATGCGCCAAGTTTAGACCATAGCCTAGATAACGAACGCATGCGCTGTTCCGAGGAAAGCGGAAGTGTAGAGAGCGGTGGGAACCGAAAAGACCGGGGACATAACGTCCGTCTCGCAGTGCATGCAGGTTCATCGGAGCGTTATAGCACTGGAATAAGTATAATGTCAGAAGAAGCTGTCTTTTCCGGCTGGAAGTCAATGCCTTTAAGTCATTGCGCGCGCTAATAAACGCGAACCATTCATACCAGGGTCGTGTCTGCAGTGTACTCGAGAAGTACCAGACTTGCTCATCCTAGTGGATGTCAGCCTTCTGACGCGCCAAACCGATGCGAGCGGGTCAGCAATCTATCTGAGACTGTCTGGCTATGCTCGAATCTTAGCCAAATATTCTTGCCATTGCCAAGACGACACTCACTTTCAGAGACCCTCAGTTGGTGGTCGAAATCAACCCTTTACGTGTCTTGGGCCTAGGTAGTGCCCCTGAACGGTGACGTATGGTTGAAGAACTCCGGTTTCTAGTGTTATTAATTCTAGATCTCTTGCAGCGGGCTCCCTGTAAATAAAAGCAACAAAATAATCTCAGGGGCTAAGACCCTTCAAATCAAACCTACGAGAAAGGACATAGAACGTCAGCCCTCGACGCCCGTAACAATTGTTTTTGGGCACGAAGATACAAGATATTTTTCATAACGAGACCTCAATGCTGTGATGAAATAATGAAGACTCTGCTTGGATGCGATCAATACTCACAGCCTTGTACCGGGGGAATACGCGTATTTTAGCAGTTGGGCAGAGCTCCGTCGCACCCGAGAGTAATTATAGCACTGTCTCTTCTCCGACAACCAAGGAGAATGTAAAGGTGCGCGCATGAGCGTTACCAGGGGACAGGGCTACTCAGAGATCAAAATTTCAGCAACTGTGAATCTCGAATGACGAACCGAGATTACAAACTAGTGGAGGATTGCGTGCTGTAGTTGTGCAATATCCCTAGTGATGCTTGCGAGACTCTCACGGTTGTATAGTCTTCTCCTAACGTCCATCTTCCACACTTTACAGAGAGCTTTCAGATGATGATTCCGACAAAGAGGTAGCCACGTCCATCGACCAGCTGGTGAGTCGGTTTGAGCAAACGGAGATAAAGACCACGATGGCCGCGCCAGAGTCAATTTCGACTCCGAATCAAATGTTGCCTCGGCAAACATAGTAACCGACTCAGCCGAAGCAGGCTGGGAGTTTTGTCCTGTGTACTTTCCGAACGTTTTCCAGGTGCCATATACATGTCCTGCTCAAGCGACCTCTGTGTTCAGTGCGCCTGACGGCGCAACAGTCCTCGGCCATGCAATCGTGCGTCGGCCTGATTCGCCACCGGCGCCACCGGCCGATGTCAGCGGCAAATCCCGGAGATGAGCTCCGATGCAGGTTGACCCAGAGCGCGTCAACGCTTGCGCGGTGTGCTTCAACCGCGACGAGTAACCTCCGCATCCAACTCGCCTTCCATATTACCCGTGCGGTACCGGTGCCAAGCGACCGTTTTTTGAAGACTTAGAGAGTTTTGGACCTTTGAGGAGCATACCCCATCCGCGGGTCTTGATTTGATCAAGGAAGATCTCGCTGTCAGTGAGTACCATATCCGTTCCCCCCTCGCTCGTCTTACGTCGAGATGGCATCTGTCATCTTGCCGAGGTGTTCTATCATCTTCTTCTGCCGTTTACCATATTCCGAGCACACGACCATCGGCTCGGGAGAAGAAGTCCACATCGCATACACGGCCGCCATATCCTTCCGAAACGTCCGTTTTTGACCTTCAGCTTACGCTCGTTTTTTCATGAAGGAGAATCCCCTGTTGCCCGCCAGTGCTTCTTAGACCTTGTGAGCGCGTTCGCGTCTGAGATAACCCGACGGTTCGCCCCTACCTGCGTGTCTGCGGCCCATCGATCTCCCCTGCAACACGCCGGCATTCTAGACTTGACCCCCCTCGGCTTTCGGAATCTTGACCACACCGGTAGAATCCTGTTCCTACCAGACCTTCAAGCTTCAAGCTTCAGGCAGCGCTGCTCCTCGTAGCACATACGCGTCATCGCAGGTCTTGCTGCTTGAGGCGTTTCGCCTGCTTTAATCCGCGTTGTTTTTAAGTGCCCGTTACATCTCCAAGAATATCCTCTCACTCGAATCATCCCCTTCCTTCACGGAAAGTTGCTTGCGACATTTATTTCACCTAGACAGATTCGAGTCGTTTGCGGAGAGATCATCGCGCATATACACGTACTCGCATACACCGACGCACACGGTTACACTCGAGCCTTGCTGTTCGCACCAGGAGTAGCATCGCTTACTGTATCGCCATGGACATCAATACCACGATATGGGTTCCCGCTTCATCGGAGAAAAGAGAGAAGAAGGCACTTCTCCTTCACGAGCTCACGTGCAGTGCGCAAAGTTGGCACGCGATCGCGCGCGAACTCGTCCAGCGTGGTATGCCTTCTCTTCTCGCCTTAACGTTGTGCAACTGGGAGTCTTTTACCGCCTCCGATTCTCCTCGCCTTTTTCCAAAATTTCTTTGCACACGCTGATTGCGGGGTTCTCTCAGATTACACAGTTCTCGCACCAGACCTTCCAGGTCACGGTCTTGGACCCCGCCTCGACTATTATGCGATATCAGAGATCGAGCGCGTCGTACGGCATCATCTCACGTTCGACCTTACGCTTGTGATTGGTCATGGCTTCGGTGCCCTTGTCTTGCTCGCACTCATCCCCGCACTTATCTCGCACCCACGCCCGCCACTGATCGTTCTGATCGACCCGCCACTCACGCTCGACAAGACTGCGATAGCCGCTTACAAGACCATGCTTGGCGTTCCCGGAGAAGCGACGTATCCAAAAAATTACGAGGATGCGTGGCCCAGCTGGAAGCGGGAAGACAAGCTCGCGAAAGCGTATGGTGAGATGAGCTGTGATCCTGAAATGATCCGCCAGCTATTCTCTGTGAGCCATATTCCTTCGATTAGAACCTCGTTTAGTGATTGTTTCTCACTACTGCTACGTTGCATGTGTGTGACCTCATTCAGAAATCCAATTGGTCGTTCTCGTACCTCCTCTCCATCGTCCCACGGAATGTCCGACTCCGCATTATCCACGGTGACCCCGCTCTCGGTTCCTTGTTTGGACCCACCGACTACGCATATACACAGTTGGCTGGTAAGAGCGCGTGTCACACCTCACACTGGATCGTGCAAGAGGACCCCGATGCAATCATCGACGCCGTCATGAACCTCGAGCACACTGGCTGTCGGGGACCATCATCCCCAGAGCCGGTCGCATCGCTCTAACCCAGGGCCCTCTTTGCCTCGCGCTTGGGCTGGACGGCGCTGGGAGCAAAGGAGGGGTCAGGGGTTAATAGGGGCCTCCGAAAAAACCGGACATGTGCTGTGCGCAACGGAAGAACCCGACAGGCGCGACCGAGCCTGCCCGAACATATGGGGATGGGCAACCACAGCTAGCTGGAGCATGTGGGAAAAGTGTCTCGCTTACCCGATTAGGGGCATTCGCGGTGAGACTGCTTCGACAACATTGAGTAGGCAGCATTCAAAAATCAACTCATTCTCCAAGCGTGAAGCTACAAAGCCAGGGATGGTACAGATCGAAAGGTAAATAAGATGTACATAGTTTGTTAGTATGCAACGCCTTGCGTGTTTAACACGAATGAGATACATGAAAAACATTTGATTTTGATGGCCATTCCTCATCCAAAAGCTGGTGCACAGACGCGTGAAACTAACAAAATGAGAATTGGAATATTATAACACTACCTATGAGGTCAGAATCATTGGTAATTGCACAGAAAATGTGTAGTTGATCCATCGAGGAGGACGCGACAGAACGCGTTTTGGTGGCTGTGTAGACGCGTCCCATCTGCATCTGGTGCGCGAAAAGACATCAAAAATAAACGAAAATTGGTCGTTTTGCACGCACCGTGTATCAGACCCACTCAAGATCACACACTAAACGTGTAAGAGCGTTTACTCACCTCCGGAGACACCTTCTGACACGAGGATTATAGTCAATATCACCAGGTAAGCAGCCAAAATGCGTCAAAATGCGTCAAAAACATCTAATTTGCAGTGTAGTACCCGGTACCCGGTGCCCAGCATGCCTAGGAAGGGGATACAGCGTTCAAAAGCCCAGCTAGAAAGTGCAAAGCTTGGGCCGAAGGCGCGTTGGGGGAGCAAAACACAACAGTCAAAGGAAAACTTACAACCCCAAAGATATACACGAGCAGCTGAGAGAACAGCCCTTGTCGATCTCCAGGGGGCTGAATGTGAGCTCAAAGGGACGAAAGAGAAGCTCTCTGAGTCCAGAGCTGAGCTCAAGAGCACTCGGACACAGCTCCATGGGACAGAAACACAATGCAGTGTTCAACAAGAAGCACTGGAGCATTCAAGCATGCTGCATCAGTTGTCCTTGGAAGAGATTGACCGGAGGGCTACAGTTATTGACGAGCTCGAGGAGAAACTCCAGGAAACAAATGGGGGTCTCACATACACACAGAATGAGCTCGAGAAAGCGAAGCAGAAGGTCAACACTTACCAGCAACAACTCCGGATGGCCAAACAGGCTGCAAAGCGTTCGAAAACAGCACAGAATAAGGTCACAGCTTACATGAGACTGCTGGAGGGTGATATCATGCCACAAATCAAGCGTGAGGCTTCGATTCAGCTCGCACAAGAGCAGAGCAGGTACAAGCAGGAGGCCAAAACACTACGAGAAGAACTAATACAGGGTCAGCGCGAAAGCAATCAGCTGAGGAAGCAGCTCACGGATTCACGGAAGAAGACACGCCAGCTCCAGATGCAAGCTCTCAGGGCGGCACGGGCTCTCACCAAGGCCACTGTTACTCACCGTGTTGAGGCAGCGGCACGGGGTGCAACTGTACAGCGCATTCTTGGCCAGAAAGGCTCGCGTGCTGTTTATTCCCCAGAGTTTCGATCTATGGTCCGTACACTTGCAGTTGCAGGATGCGCGCAAGATAGAATCGGCCGGATTATGCAGAAGCTCTATAGGAATGTTGGAGTTAACATTTCGAAGGCAGTTAGTCGACGTACTGTTGCTCGCATTATCCTGGAGGGTGGCATTGCTTCACAGCTGCAAGTTGCGACAGAAATGAAGAATGCGACAGGTATGCATCAACTGCTAAAGTAGATGGCTTTATGCTAATGTTATTTTAGCCATCACCATCAGTTCAGATGATACAGGTCACCGTCACATCAATTATAGCTCGAAACATGCTGTGATTACCACAGTGAATGAGCATGGCCACTATGAACATCTTGTTCGTCTGCTCGGGGTTGATTCGACATTAGACCATTCAAGCGCAACTCAAGCAAAGGACTGGGAGGCAAAGATACACACCTTTGCATCCGTCTACAATGAATTCCATGACAACCTGAACACTGAGGATATTGGGGATAGCGGGACCTTTGATGTCATTCAGTTCACATCAAAGCTTCTTGGGATGAACGGGGATCATGCAGCTGATCAGAAGGCAACGTTCCGATTTATCCAGGACTGGAAAGAAAGGAACTGCTACCTTGGCCTTGGTTATGAACTTCTCAACACCGGCACTTATTCCCGCAATGACTGTAGATATACAAGTGCTTTGCAAGAGGCGGAGGCAAAGATGCTGCAAGATTCGGGTGGTTCTGAGGGATGGGACTCACTGCTGCCTGTTGATCGGGCTCTGCGACAGGCAGAGATGCTCCACACGTTAGCGATGACATTTGGGAAGCTTCATTTTGGAAGTCTCTCACCGGAGGATCAGCGTACTCGCCTGCTCCTTGTTCGAGCAGGTTGCTGCATGCACAAAGACCTGAACTGTGTCAAAGCTGGCAACACGTCTATGATGGCTTACTGGGACAAAAATAATGTTGCAGGTCCAGTAATACTACCAAACCGGGACAATGAAGCGACACTTCAAGATGTAGACCCAGGATCAGAGCTCACCAATGCGCAGACTCGTGCAATGGATATGACAACTCGGGGTGGAGTCAAGGCTACAAGTTTAGCCGGGGCAATATTCAATCACAAAGACGATAAGAAGGGGCTACAGGATACACACCTCCACTTCATGGAGAAGGTCAAAGGCCCTGGACAGCCTGTTTCTTTTCCCGACACCAGCAATACCCGATATCAATCCCACTGCCTTGCAGCAACGGAGCTGTTAGAATGGACCCCAGATTATATCCGCCTCCTTGAAAACGTGCGCGACAGGAAAGAGAAACCAACCTTCTCGCATATAGAATTGAATCTCTATCGTGCTCTTCATGACCCACCAACGCTCAGCGAACTTGCTGTTCTTGCTCTCTATGGCAGTGCCATTACCATCCCATACATGCGAGCAGTTCGAGGGCCAGGAACTAAAAATGTCAACATCCTGGATCTAGGACCATTTCACGAACGCCTCAAGGAGCACCTCAGGTCTCTCATTGATAACCCAAAGCTACTTACTACAGCTGGGAATCATGAGTGTGCCACTTTTGATGGAAGGGAGTGGCATAACAGGCATGCCATCGAGGAAATCCACAATATGGGAGACAGCCTGCCGTACCTTCAAGATCTTGTTGTAGCCTTTCTAAAAGGTGCATTAGATGGATGGGAACGCTTCACATCAGAGTTCCGGATGGATGGCCCTATTGCACAGATGTCAGAACAGGAACGAAATCTTGCCTACATGCCATCAACTAATGACGATAATGAGGGCTCCTTGGGATCATTCCGTCAGTTCAAGATAAGAAATCCGCGAACATCTTTGCACCAAATCAATGCTTTGGCAACATATAAGAAGAATGGTACCGAGGAATTCATGAGCAAGCTAACACGGGAGCAACATGCATTGCTTCTGAAGAAGGCACGACTGTTAGATGCTGCAGGGCTCGAGAAGAAACGAAAAGAATCACTTGTCAGCCATGGAGAGAGGATTGCCGAGGAGAAACGGAATGCTCGCACTGCGAAAAAACGGGAAGAATTGAAGCGGGACCAGCACCTTGACTCGATCACTGTGGTTCGAGAGGATGCTGCCATTGAATCACTGACTGTTCCGCAATTAAAGGAGCAGCTTGATTGGCACCGGCGTCTTGACAAAGGTATCCCGAGCAACTATAGCCTGGGACGAAAGGGTCGGCTGGCTGCTGCAGTCAAGAAAGCTGTCGGGGCGATCCAAACTCGCGATGCTGATCAAGAAGGCTGATCACGATAAGACAGGGGCAGCACTGCAAATTGGAAAGACAGGACTATAATTTGATACGTTCTCATCTTTAGCTACTCTAATACAGCTAAACGATGTTATATGGCTCAAACGTATCGGTTCTTGTACTCTCCTGCAGCCATTTCGGTGTACTTTAACGATTAAAGCCCTGAGACGAGCGGTGGATAGGATCGTCTCAGCGGAGTTTGAATTCTCGCAGGGGAGTATTCGTGGGAGTCGTCACACGCGCTGACGCGCGTGTGCCCACCCCCAGAACATATCCGCGCCTCCGGTCCGAGGCGACCACATCACGTGCCGTGGGTGCCCCAGAAAATCTTTGATGACATTTGCGGCGATTAGACGAAGGAGAGCATCGAGCGAAACAAGCACGGCACGCACACGGCCCGTTTGGTCCGCCGCCATGCCACTTACAGGAGCTTACAGGGCGGCCATCTGCGGTACACATCGCACACAAGGCGCCTGGTGTCTGGACAACCATGTGGGGTGTGGGGCGGGCGGGTCTTGTTGAGCTGAGAAAGAGGTTTTTCTACACCTTTTTAGGTTCTGTCTGGATCGCGATAATGCAAAGCGTGCCTTGTTTTATGTAACTTGGGTGATTGGGTTGTTGAGAACATTTGAGAACGGGGTGAGAAGCATCGAAGCTAGCTGGGAAATGGGATGTTGAAGAGCCTCGGTACGCCGAGATGAAGATGAAAATACGGTGCGATGACACCGAATTCGACGGACGAGATGCCAGTGGCAAGCTCGGTTGCGCGTGAGGACAATAACAGCTGACAGTCGGATCGACATCGGAAAGTGTCAGGCTCTGTCCGGCTCGGTGCTCACAACACGCCGTATGTGGTGGGTCACTTGTGTGCTAATACGTACTTGCACATGATACTGTTCGGCGAGCTCGCTGGTTCATTACTGCGACGTTATTCTGGATAGAACGTTGAGAAGAACGGGTGGAGCGCGTTTCATGCCATACATTCATATCACTAAACAAGCGCATACAGTCAATCAGCCAACACGACATAGGCGCATCGCGGACGTACAAAGTTCGCCGACGTTTTTCCCCGACCCTCGCCGAAGCACTGTCAAGATAAGTAAGGTAGACCCACCTGCGACACGCGCATGCTGCATGGCACCAGGAGCTATTCAATTGCGCTCTCGTCCCTTGACATTCCTGTCCATTTTCTTAGCTTCTTGAACGCGTGTTATACTCCAACGAGGCCGAGACGAGTAACTGGCCATTCGACTCACGATCGATCGAGTTTAACATTAACTTTTAACTGACAGAAGACATGTAGAAATGATCATGATCGTGGAAGCTCGTGGAAGTCGTCCACCCGCTCGGCCGGAGGCTTCTTCTTTGCAATTTAGTATGTACACGTGGATGCATCTCGCCGCGTCGCGTTGCTCAGTGTTTATAACATTTCACTTCCTCAATGGAATAATGTTGCTTTTCACAGTTTTTATTGGCTCAAGAAGAACGAGCTTGGCGGATCACTGAGTGCGTTACAAGTCTTCTACTACTTTTGACGAAGCTGTCTACTATTCGAACAAGTCCGCATCTTAGCTTCGAAACAAGCACCTACTTCCCAAGAAGGCGAGTCTTGTGGTGTGTTTTCAGACTCGAACAGTGCGTCCATCTCGTAATTATCGGGGCCTGCTCAGTCACCCCTGGATGAAAGATTTTGTGCTCAGGAGCGGAGTGCAGCACATGATACACGCCGTGAATGTCAGTATTGAGCGTACGGAAGACCTGTCCGAAGGGCCGTATGTGTATTTCATTAACATGCCACCGTCGACGCTCGTGTCGCGACCCTCGCCAGACGAGTGATTGAACGTTGTACGCTTTGCACTGCTTTGTGAACGTTCAGAGGGTGTCAGTGGGTGACAGTAGGTGCGAGCTTCTCGCATCGAATATGCCTGATAACGTGTGCCCCTGCAAAGGATGCTAGTACATCGAATGTCACAAACAGTTTAAGTCGCAGGGGCGTATCCGAGCAGCCTGTCATTTCAAAGACCACTAACGGTAAGTATATTAACTCATATCACTGCACATAGCCACAGTCGCATCTTGCACAACCTGGAGGGTTTCATCCACAGAATGCTCCAATGTCGCGCCAAGTCTCTTGGAGCCTAGATCGATCGTCTCGGTGAACACAATATTGACCGATGCAGTACCTGTCAAACTTTGGGACAAGTTGAAAGCGTCAAAAGAATCCGTCTTCGTGAGCCCAGGTGAGGGAGGTCCATAAACCTCCCCCGCTGGGGTAAATGTGTTTCCTTCCTTGCTTTCGTGCGCTGTTGCTCCGGGGACGCACGGTCAGTCCCCGCTCCGTTCGGGCGGATAATTGGCCCCAAGGTCACGGCGGAATCCCCAGGACGACGCGAGAAGCTGGCAAGGAGGCACTTGTGTACGGCACCTGTACGGCGGGCGGGAGAAGTTTGTGAAAGAGTATGAAGGGAGATTGGGTGGACGACGGAAAGCGAAGATCAAGGCATATGGAAGAATTGGGATCGGTTGCAAGAGGAAAAGCGGGAAGTGATCGTTTCCGGGTATGTGTCTCGGGTGTTTGCTCTGCCGTGGAAGATGACATCGATGATCAGCAGAAGGCGAGAATATCGAGTGCACGGACCGTTGCAGTCTCGAGCGGAGGTTGACAGGCGATGGCGGCGGGCGCGTTCAGGGGTAACGTCATCGATACCGAGGGGCGGTAAAGTATGGTACAGTATACAGGCGTCAGAAGGATGTGCTAGTGGCTGGCGAGAATAGAACGTGAGGAGGTTTAGAGTTGAGATCCCCATCTTGTTCCCACAGGACGGAAAGCGGACGAGTGCAGTGCGGACTGAGGGTCCGGGAGTTGCACGGGCCACGGGAGACGGGAGACGGGTTGGCGGCAATTGAAATATCCAACGTGAGCGAACCCCGAGTACTAACCGTCACGCCTGCTTGGCGTATTCCCCTTTTCAGTGCCTGTCACGCATGTCGCCCGTCCCCCCGCTTCGGTGCTTATACACATCTCGCGCTAATAATTGACCTATTGGCTCCAGTCAGACGGTCCTCGTCCGTCCTGCGGCTAACCGCACGGATTTATAGTCTGACCCTTTCTCTCTCCCCCTCCTCATATCTCAAGATCTCAATCTCAATCTCGCCTTTGAGCACGTGTCCAACATCACAGTAATATAAGCCACTTTCGACAGCGACACTTGCTCTGTTCTCGACTTCCTGACTCCCTCGCCATCGCTTCACCCCACACTCAGAGCCAGCTCAAAGCCATCGCGCTCCCTCGAATGCCTCGCTCTCAACCCTCCATTCCTGGCATGCCCAACACAGTCCTCCCCAAGTCCGTCTGGGGCTGCCCTTCCTCTCCCAAGCGCGCTGTCCTCATCCACGGCCTCACTTGCAACTCACAATCATGGCACCGCGTCGCACATGGCCTTGCTGCACAAGGTAGACTCTACTTGGCCTTGTGGTGCTGTCTCCCCTCACCTAATATTACTAGGCTACTTTGTTGTCGCACCTGATCTTCCTGGTCATGGTGCCTCGTCGCGCTCTCCGCGCTACTCCTTCTCGAGCATCGTCAAGGAAGTCGAACAACATTTTGCAACCCTCGGTCATGTCGACTTGATCATCGGCCACTCTTTTGGCGCTCTCGTCGCACTCGCACTCCTCCAGTCTCTTCGCTCGGCCCATCGGCCTTCGCGTGTTATCCTTCTCGATCCTCCCCTCGAATTCAGCTCGTTCAGATATTCGCAGTTCTTCCAGATTTTCCGGGATGCGACACGCCGAGCAACCACACCAGAAGATTATCGCGAGGCGTTTCCGAATTGGACGCGTGAAGATGCCGCGTACAAATCCATGGCTGACGCAACCTGCGACCCTGCAATCATCGATTCGCTGTTCGAGGTGCGTCTAGATCTTTTACCCATTCTTCCTCCTGACGTCATCTCACATGCCGGCTCGGCCGACTCACAGGAAAACAATCCGTGGTCGTTCTCACACCTCCTGCGACACGTCCCTCCTAAAACGAAGATTACCGTGCTCGCTGCCGACCCGTCATGTGGCGCGCTCTTCCGAGCAGAAGAAGCAATCTCGCACCCTTTTATTCGGACGCTTGTCCTTCCACGATGTACCCATTGGGTCCCACAAGAAAACCCACGAGCGATACTACAGGCCGCGATGGAGCTCGAATCATGAGAAACCTCATTCTTTCTTTTGGGCAGTCGGTTGATATTATGTCATGCATCATTTATACCTGGGATACCATTCTGTAAGCACATGTTACCATACGCACGCACGATAGCATACTCGTCCCCCTCGACACTTAGCGATAATTAGCATCAATCATCTTGCGACTACTGTATTGTTAATAGTCTGACAACAAATGCCCCATGCACATCATCTCTTTTCATGTCAATCTCTAAGTGAATGACCAATTGCAAATGTGAAACCCGAGGGCCAGGGGTATTATAAGCGTCTTCGAGGATCGCCAGCTCCATATGTCAGTGCTTTTGACCAACAAACGTGTTCTCGACTTCGATGATCCCGTAAGTGCACCAGGCACCATCGGTTATAGCCGAGCGGTTCCCTTTCGGCCACCTATGATACACAGCCTATTGCGCATACAACCACCCATACCACAACCACACCGCTTCTCTCCACTTCCACTAGATCTCTGGCGCCAACTCTCGTATGTCTTATCGCGCATACACGCCACTGCTCCACCCCTCTGCGGTGAGCCTCGAACGTAGCACAGCGACAAACCCAGAGCGCTGCATCCCTGGAATCCACAATCCACATCTTCGCTGATGCTCCATACAATGAGGCTCAGAGACGTACAACATGCATCCGTCCATCCAACTGTCAACATGTTAACAGGCATATCCCGCCGGGTATGAGACGCGAGCGCGAGGAATCACGATCAACGCTCCAGAGCCCTCATCGTCATCATTAATGTACGTCATCGAGGAGTGCATCGGAGGAGTGCCATCGGTCGTCTAGAACATTATGGGATTCAACCGCGCTGGGTCCGCATTGGTGCCCGAACGGGGGCGCCTCGCGCCCAGATACCGCCCTTGAGCTTGCCTCAATGTAACAGGGTGTGCTTACTCTTTTATTCACGCTAGATTTTCTTGTGGGCTGGTGAAACACATCTATACAAGCCTATAGGTCAATATATGACACAGAGTTTCAAGGAAAATGCCAGGGAGAGCGCACTCAGCGCATGTTGCATTGAGGGTGCAAGGGCGGTACTATCGTTCCGGATCGTCAAGGTGTCATTACATTCATTCCGTGCGATAACAAGAACCAGGAATTGAGACGGTGGGAAACCCGCCGATGCCGTCATGGTACTACGCAAGCAACATGATCAATGGCCCGGTTGATTGCCGTGCTAGGAAACATTTGGCTGCTGGTGTTCTGGGCTCACGGGCTCTCTGTGCTTGACGCGGACCGTCTTCTACCGCTAGAGGAGTCAGCGTAAGGGTCACAAACTTGGATCCACTTGACCGAGCTGACCGTCTACTACAGCTCGGTTCAACGTATAGGCTGTGATTTGACTGTTCTCATCATCAATCATAACGTACATCCATGGTATCCGCCATCGAGTGTCCCGTATACCTCGCGATGCGCGGCTCTATCAATGCAGAGATGGCTCCATATGCATCTCGACTATGATGCCATTTGCTGCCTTCTGGTGTTAGCTTTCTGTACAGTTGCCATACTATGCCTAGGTGCCCCCAATGAAACAATGCACCTGTCATGAAACACAAGTATTGGTGAAGGGACGTGTACACAATGCTTATATTTTGTATGTGTTTCACAACAGGTGCATTGTTTCATCGTGGGTACACGCATAGTACACGCCCACTCGTACCTGAGAGGACGATCATTTCTGGTGAGTCATTGTTGATACAGAAACGTTGTCTAACTTTCACGCAATCATTGAAGCGACGTGCCAACCCTCGATACCCCGTGTGCCTAGCAGAGCGGCGATCAAACATGTGAGACAACGCCTCCCAGCGTACACCTGCTACCTAACCTAATAGTAGCTTTCCCAGATGGTGTGCGACGAGCCCGCACGACGATACGCCGAGAAAAATGGACATTCACCAGTTCAGTCTGTATTCTGATTTTCTCTTACGCAACCTAGGCTTGCGCCACCCTCTCACGACCATGTTCCACCGCGCTCCATTGTCATCGAAATGTTGGCAAGGTGCACATCGGCGGCACGCAACTCACAGGAGCTTAATACCTCGGAATAAGCAGTGTGTTATTATCGCATTGGTCCAGACGACTCAACGAATGATGGCTTTGTTCTGGAACTCAAAACGGGATTTCCTTTCGCCTTAAACCTTCAAAATTATTAATAAGCCATGTTGACGATGTTCGCTTCTTATGGAGTCTAGATTCATGACGGCGGAAGACGTAAGACCGTCCGATGTTAGCTGACGCTTTATCTGCTACTTCTTAGAACACGATAGTGGTGTCAGACGCGCCACACTGTCTCTTAGTCTTCTCTGGTGACCCGCACTACTGTCAGACACCGCCGGTGAAACCTTCCTGGTGCGGCCGGAGGCAGCAGTTTACGACACCCATCTACTCGCATGCTTTGGAACCTTTCTTCGCTAATCGATGACGGCTATGACCTATTCTGCATGAAAGTGTTACAAAAGCACGAAGGAACAACTGAGCCGCCAACACTACTGATCGAGGGTTCGGCGAGGCTCGGTGGACCAAATGGGCGGAAACATCTCCATTAGGGGATTTTATCCGAAATGCTCGCTGTCCCCTGATCGTCGGCTCCTCGAGACGTTCACGATTAAATTGAGGATCAAGCCCTCGCAAAATCCCCGTCTGCTATCTGCTTGTAGCGCATTGACAGGTGTGTCTGCGGCGCCATCGTGGCATCAGCTGCGTTGTCTCCGGATAGTTTGCGAGCCCACGTCACGGAGTTGCAAGGCCGTGCTGCTCACTTGTCATTCCGGACGATGTCAAGTCAGTAAGTAGATGTGGCGTGGGGTTCACTTGTGTGCGTTGTCAATTGTCAGAAATCCTGAGATCATCAATGGCGATAACTTCGGGTTCCTAGTGCGGTACGGCCAAGGTTGCGTCCGCCAGGTTCTCTCCTTTTCATCCATGTTTATATCAGAAAGCCTTCAAAAACCTCAACGTTCTCTCTGGGATCTCTGGCGAACGTTGGGTGCCTGTCACGGGTTTTTCAATTCGCAGCTGTGACGAGCATCTCCGTCGTAAGCCGGTGTACCTGCGGCGCAATTCAACAGAGTTTTTCTCTACTCGGAAAGGTCGCTATCGGCATTACCCTCGCTCATGTAACCTTTCACCTTATTGTATTCGAGGCCGTGTTTGATTTGTATTTTTTCGCGTTATTTTTAGCGACTCCGTGGTTAAAGAGGTTAGCTACCTCGAAGGGGAGAAAATAAACCAAGCTAACGTGTGGCATCTTCCTGTCCAGCGCTTTCTCTCTACATTTGGCAGGAGGATGCATAGAAGTCAATGCACGCATCCGCCAATTGTAAGTTGTGGCGTGCGTCACGGGAAGGATCGGTCTCTTGCACGCTCGTATCGAATAGAGGGGCTGAAACCTTACGAAAGACTTAAAAATCCGAATTACAGAAGGCCGCAATGTGATAAAAGTTGTGGCGTTATCTAGTTCTCGGAGGTACGTTATCTGATGAAGTGGCCGTGACGCTAAGTTTGCATAACCAAGTGTCTTAACACCTTCAAGCTTCAAGTTCTACCGACTATTACGGTAAAATCCCCACAAGAATGTCGAATCAAAGACTCGTATCTGATACCTCCGAGGCGCTATAACGTCAATCGGTAGGCTAACATGAAATAGGTTAGTGGATTCGTCACGACTAGGGCTAGGCTGCACACCTATAAATATGCTAGGTTTGAGCGGATAGGACTCTACGTATGTGAGTTCTTAACAGTCTTTATGCGCTTGAGTGCTTCATGGTACTATATACGTGTCCGATGGCGGTTCATGCCCATGTGTTAATACGTGGAAGCTGAAGGCCGCCGGGACCGGAATAGTAAGCACCTGTCACCTACTTTACAAACGACACCGTTTATCCTGGCACCAGCTGGCGGCATTTGAGAAGCATATCCCCGTCCTCATTAGCCAATCGTATCGCTGAAAAGTGGTAGGACGACTCTACCGGCGCTATAACTATTATACAGCCGGCGGCGGCCTGCTGTTGATATCCGATGCTTGGGACACACCTTCTCGACGATGCTTTAGACGCGCCATTGCTGAAATCGCATACTTTTCAGACTTAAAATATCCGTTGTAGTCCACCAGTCAAAAGCGAGGCTGTTTAAAGATAACCCGGTTTTACGGAAAATCGCAACGGAGTTTGTACCTTCACGTTCGCTATCTGTAAATCGGGCCAATCACCATCCAGCAGTGTTGCCAGCTCGACCGGACACGTAGTGTGATTACGAACTATATACTGCAGTACGGGGTCTGAGGAATCTTGAAGGCAGTAATATGGGAACTTTGCCCTTCTAGATCTATGATGTCATATCTATCGTGTGGACTGTGAATTGAGAATTGAAGCTTATTTACGGGAAACCTGGTGCGGCCGCGCGGGCTGTGAGAGATCGTCTAAGGGCTCAAACAAGCGTTCAAGAACAGGAAGAAATAAACGTTCCCTCGTTGTGGTGCACGAAGGTGCTACTTGAGACCGTCGGGACACCAACCACTATGCTGCCCCCTTATGTCCGACCAACTTTGAAACTTGGAACTCCGAGCACGTTGAGCACAGAGTACTTGCATTACTGCGCCCAGCGGTACCGCGGCAGCTTGACACACATAACGTGGAACGGGAGCTCTAACAGAAAGCCCGCGAATTTCGGTTCCCTCGGCGGGTGTATGCCAGTCATTCCTCGGACATAGCCTAGCATGGCATCCCTCTTTGCCAAGTGTAGGTTTCTGTGACTCTTATATTCAAGGCGCAAGCACGTCTCAAGCTCAGGAGCGCGAGCTTTCCCGAATATCGGATGCGATATCGTAAAACCCCGGGATTCCATGTCACATTTTGGGTCACCTACCTACTAATACACTGATCCCGTCAAGGGATGACCACTCGCCTTTGCCATTACGCTCCCTAGTTGGCGGCGCGCCTACCTGTAAGTTGGCTCAAACAGGGCTATGTAGCTATCCCTGGGCGGCATCTGCAGTTGACGATGAATCAGGTGTTCGTTCATCAGACAACGAAGAGACAGAAGCAGGTTGGTCATATGGTATTTTATGTGTAGCATCACACGCGTATGACCGCCTTTGATCCTTTGCGACGCGCCTTCATCCCAGATGTACCAATCACAAGATGGGCGCCCCACTTTGAAGAAAAAGCCGCTCATTAGACACTCTTCGCCCGCAGAACGTAGTTAACTTTACTTGTTGTGGGGTCGGAAGTCCTTTCCGAAACTTTAAACGTCCTCACACGTATGACTCGTTGCGATATCCGATATTGAGTGCTCATCTGACATGGAGGAATTAATGGCGCGCCCGCAGACAAAGGCGGTTCTCGTTTTCATCTGTAGCTAACTGATCGCCTTTGTTGTCTCCCTGACAATGACAGAGGGATGGTGCTGTGATGCTATGAGAATGTTACCGTGCGGCATATTACGTTGGTCGCGGTAGAGTTGACCCGGTCCAGGAACGGACTCAGATGGTGTGATCTATCCCTGGCCCGATTTCTTAACTTGTTTCCAGCGTGCGTGGCAGTCCCTGTGAAGATATGTGGACACAGCACTTCGCCCATTCATCAATCTGGCAGTGCGCTTTGTTCGCGAACTTGTAGGGCACAGGAGTGATGAGGCCTACAGTAAGAAGTAATAGTCCAGCCATCACTGAGGTACCACCATCCCTGCAAGTAGAAACACGCCGAAAAAGTGATTTTTGTGTCAAGGTGTGTCCGATCTTTGAGGATCAGATGTCAGACGTACCCCACACACGGTGGTTTAGACGGAACTTCTCTTTGACACTCGATCTCGTTCGGGTTCCTGGTAAACCTAACATGTCACACAGCGCACGCGACCAGAGTCGATCAAATGGTCTCTGTGCATCTCGCAAGGCAATGTTTTTGATTGACACATGCAGGCGCTCCGCAGCTGTCTCGCCAGGAGATTCTTCATCGCCGCCAGTGCTTGCAGTGGCCTCGTGCTGGTGCACAACTCGTTGAAACCATGATCAGGACCTGTCAACTCGTGGCTATAAAGATGAATACCTGGGATTTGAGAAGGCTGTCATCCCTGCACAAATGGAGTATACTGTCGCCTCTATAGCACCATTGCGAAGTTTTTAATGACTTCGAAATGTAACCCCCGGAACGAAGATAAACCGCTTTGATGGTAAGCCACAGGATGAACGTGGCTGCCGCACATTTATCTCGCTGACTTTATGGAAAACTCACTAGCTCATGACTGGTCCGACACGTTGCTGAGGAAGAGTACTGAGTTTCCTCGATATGACGGTTTTGGCCTACTCTCGGCGCTCTTTTCGTAAAGTGGTCCAAATTAGCGCCCGTGTTACCCAATGGGGCATAACAAGAATGTAAGTCGCAGCTACTCGCGTCGGCCTGATCCTGGTCCGGAATCGTAACTCCGCTGTGCGGTTGGACCGATTAATGGCCGAGGGGTAATTAGCGCTTGTCGAGGACGCAATCACAAAGCAGGAGCTTCGAGAATATCTGGACGGCAGGTGCTTGCCTTGGTGTAGTAAGCACACTCACACAAGCGATAGGATCCTCATTTTCAAAACCCCATTGGTCGTTGTGCAGGCATTCTATATATCTCCTTCGTGAGACCTGGCTCTTTGCGTCCAACAGATTCCAAACCTATGATCAGGCTATGTCATAGATTCACCTATTGAAAGCTTCACGGCGGTTTCTCAACAGCTTCTCCAATTCATTACTGGGATGACAGATGTCTGTCATCCCCGCAATTTGAAGCTTCTTCTTACCGAGCTTAACGGTGATCCGCACTCGAAGGGCTTCGGACCCGGCTCTCGCAAAGCTTAAGTATAGCACTACCTAAATTTAAGCCTTGCTACCGACTTCGTCGCATGAAGCCTTCTCACCAAGTGGACAAGAAGATTGTCTCCGACTTTGAGGCCAGCAACACGAAGGCAAATCCTAGGAAGGGCGTATACGGCGTTCCGAGTGTGGCAATAAAGGCTATAAAGGTTAGAACAAGTATGTGTTCTCTTATTATGCTCACATTCACTACGTCTGATTTGAGAACCATGCGGTGGCTTGAAATGCGTTAGCGTCAGCATGGCTTTGGACGCCCGATAGAGCTATGCCCACTTGTTTACCGTAGAAACGAAGAGTGTGGCACCAACGCAAGGGGAGTTTTCATCAGGCATCTCCTAGTAGTACTACATTTTGCGACACTTCTCATTGGCAATCACAGACATCATGTCGCCTACGTCTGGTTCGTTGTCTTAATTTGTCTTCTTCTCCTATTAAAGCTCACGTGGGTAGATCTACGTTCGTGTAAGACATCAGTACTTTTTCGGACGTGTTCGTACCAGGACTGACTGTCTACGTTTTCAAGCGCACGGTTGCTATGGATGACTGAGCGAGTTATCAACAACTCTTCCCCTTGACGTTCAAACAGGCGCTTGAACAGGCGCCACACGACCACTTCCGGCTCAAGATATTAGTTGGCGACATTATCTGCTGCGGGTGTACCACGCAGGACCGACGACCGAATTTGATCACATAATACCTATGATGGACGAGGGCGATTCGTACTGGGTGTCCCCGGCATTGACATTGCTCTTGCTGGTGCTGCGTGAGATGGTGAAGCGGATATTCAGCTCACAATCGTCGAGGAGCCGCGGGTTCCTGGAAGGCCGCCGAGGCGGTAACACTCAGTTCAGACGAAACAGAGCAGGACGACGATGTATATGCGAGACGTGGAGAATCGAGAATACAGGGAAGAGCAGGAGAGAGAGAGATCGAATGATGTCGCTCCAGTAAGGGAGCGACGCGTATAAATAGATAGAATCCGTGAATATCATAAGATCGAATCGAGAAATAGAGATGTTCGTCGGGGCGGAAGCAAACTCCAAGGAAGCAATTTAAAAGGGGCGCGGTCGAGAAGTCGAGGCTGCGGAGGTTTGAAATACGATCGGTGACTGTGGGGGTTGTGGCGCGGTTTGTGGCGTAGTAAGTTCGCGGGCGGGCTTACAGTTCCCACCGAAGTGAATATTTCCGCGCCAGTTGCTGTTCTTGCTTACAATGTGTTGCAAACGATAGGCAATTTTCCGTTAGAATAGGCGTTAGGCCTTGTTTACAATCGGAGTGTTTGGCAGCTGATTGTGAGGGTCGAATGAATTGAGCACTGCTAGGGACACACCTACGCGAGAGTTTCTTCTCGGTGCGTGAGCAATAAACGTTAATCAACTGTGGTCCTCAAGTGTGCGCAATACTGACAAAAACCCCTTAAAACTGCCTTATCGCTCGAATATGTTTAGGTTCTCGTAGGGGTACTTATAGCTCGAATGTAAATGCTGTAGGTTACAATCAGCGCTAGAAAGCTCTTGAAAGTTCGAATTAGAGGTCAACGTTTCTGCTGCGACTGCTAACTGCTTCGTTGATTATCATTACCACTGTTAATGGACTCGTACGCTGAACGTTCCTTCTACCTCCCAACCTGCATTTATTAAAAAAACGTATGTTTGCGGGTAATCGATATCGGAACGGAACATGCACACGAGGTGGTGATGGATGCGCCGTGGTAAAGCAGTGGGGTGAATTTACACCCACTTGCAACCACGATTGATGGTAAAACAAGAACTGGAGGATACGTGTTAGTTTGAAGACACTTAGAATTAACTTACACGATAGGTTACAATTAGCGTAGGACTGTCCGTCTAGAGGTTACCTACCTCACCAGGACGTTAATATGAGACTTCATTCATTCATTCATTCAAACAAGAAATGGAGAATCGCCGACAGGCGCGAGATAAAAGTCAGCAGCGTGGGTTGTCTGAGACGATCATAGGCTGGCCACGACGTCCCACGCATGCAATGCGCGTCTGGACCCTTGTAGAGCAGAAGAGTTTTTGGGATTTATTGGTACAGCCAAACTACGATCTCCTTAAGTCTTGACGCCCGAGCGTTGCTGGAACTCGCGTCTCTACCGCCCACCACGTTCGTCCAGTCCAATGCTTACGTTGCTAGTCTTAGTCTCAATCTAGGCCCCGGATCAAAGAAATCGGATCTTAAGCATCTGCATCAATCACAGGCCTGCTAACGTCTAGCCTAGAGCCCTAAGCATTTCGGCGAATTGGGATGGTACCGAAAACAATTGTTTCTGAGCGCTGCTTGTATCGGGATCTCTGTGACATCAGAATTCAGTTCCTGGCGTGTGATCTACTTACCGTCTGCCGAGGTACCATGCGGCTCGGAACAACTGATCTACAGTGCTGTAGGCTCCTCTCTGAGTCAAATTTCAGAGCGGGACTGAGGCAGCCACTCGCTTGAGGCTCTTCGATTTTGATGACCGTTCGGCACCGAGGCGCTTGGGTCCGGCCGTCTTTCGAATATTCTGACTTTATGCCAGCTCGATCTCGGGAGAGAGGCTTGGATACGCTGAAACATAGAATAAGAGTACTGGGCCTTTGTGAGATACCCGAGCGCTGACGCGGGTGAGGCAGCCTCCACAGCGTTTGGATGTTTCCTAGAGATCCGGTACATACTCGATTATCCTCAATGATTTTGCCCGTTGTCGTGTTCTGCGCCATCGAGCAAAGAAATTACGCGGCATCGTGATATTTCGTTCACGCGCTTATCAGAGCTTATCCACACAATGGGCCCATGTGCCTCTTATCGTTTTCTATCACTGTCCGAGGAAGTGCACCAACTTCAGGGACATATACGCGCGAAGGAGAGTCTTCGAAGCTAGAACATCCTTGGCGGCACCTTCTATGACATCGCGTCAAGGTATCCACTTGCGCACAGTGAGAGAAAAAGTTTACTCTGCGATTTAGGCGTTGACATTGCAGATGGTCGTTGATCGCCAGAGCTAGCGGCTGTACGAATTCATGTATGTACGCTCGGCGGCAAAGCTTATCGTTTGATGATATCTGGTATAACATTCTTCCCGCTCCTTAGAAGTGATCTGGACCTCCGAGTCGAACAGAGGATGAATCAGCAGGTTGTCAGAAATCCACGAGTATCAGATGATTAGCCTGAGCAAGGACCCTTGGGTTCACGCAAGAGATTAGGAGACCTACGCCAGTAGCTTATATCCAGTACAACTCACTAGCTCTTCCAAACTAGTAGGTACATCAGGAGTTTTTTTTTTTTGGTGGAACTTATACCTAATTTGGGGAGGTCGGTGTATGCCGCCACCAAACCAGGCCGTTGGGGTTGCGGGCGAATCGCCCGCGAGAGCATGTACCATAAACCATATAGAATAAAACCGAGACCATGACCACCCAGAGGAAATGCATTTACGCACGCCACGCTAGTGGCAGTGTGGGACTCACCTTGTTCCGTCCCGGAGGACGGCGCGAGGTGATACCCACTAAAACCCCTGTTTCATGGATCCAGTTATCGGACAGTCTGTCCTCGTGCAACAGTGCACCACTCCACGTTTTCAGGACTAAGCTAGCCTTTATGTCCTTAGGGCCAAATTTGAGCTTGTTCGTCAGAATTCTGTCCAGGGTGAGTCGTTGGTTGATTTGTCTTAGTCATCTATTTCGTATCTCCCTTTCCGAGTGAGTTTCTGGCGGGTTCTGCACCATATTGTTGACTCGTTCGCAGCGTAGTTTCCAGATAAGGTGTGCAGATTCCCCGATCACGATTTTGAAGAAGCGGGAGGCGCCAACGGCTTTCTTTCCCTTTGCGTTTCGTATGGTGACGAGGGCGCAGCCTAAGATGGCGCCGAAGGTCAGTTGGGGTCAGGTGAGTCCTTTCAACCTGCACAACTCCCTAGGTACATCAGGAGTCGCTGGCTGGTATTCTATTCCGAGGCGCCTGATACGTCGGCTGTTCTACCCGAAGGTATGTGGCCTTTTAGTCTATTTCGTGTTCGTTTGTTTCATCTCGGTGCTAGCTATTTACGCATACGTGGAGCATCACTCACTTTCCTACGAAATACCTCCTGCATAGTACAAATTGAGGAGACTCACCAAATCTTTCTTGGCAAATACTGGTACGATGGGGTCCGGCGCTTGTCAGCCCCGGAATTTGGCGCTCGTTATCGTCGGAGCTCGGACCGGTGGCTGTGTTCCTTGCCAAAGTCCCTACAGGTCCCGACTGGATCCATCCCCGAATCCACTACGCCTAACCTCAACGTTCCGTTCAACAGTCAGCCCAACGATGCAGATTTATCCTACTCCACGCTTCCCCCAATAGTCCGTGATTTCAAGTCCAACCCCGCGTTGAATATCTCATTTATGAGCCTGTTTACCACGGAAATGGGGATCAGTACCCGAATTCCCATCACCATCAAGGACCTGTCTGGCGTCGACAGTAGGCCACTCTTTTTCACCCCATGAACGAGGCCCTGGTTACTCTCCTCTTCATCCGCAACTGCTGTCTCTGAGAGGCGTCTCAACTCCAGTATACGCCGATGGCACCACCAAACTTCACCCTGAGTGTCGCAACATGGGGCAACCCCAGTTCCTCGAAGAACGCACTGCTCATTCATGGCCTCACTTCGGTTGCGCAGACGTGGCATCGTGTTGCTAGAGACCTCGCTGGTCGAGGTGCGCCTTTCATCCTCAGAGTTCGATTCCTTGCAAACTGACTGGACCGGTATCGGGGGGTCAGGGTACTATGTTCTCGCGCCCGACCTTCCTGGACACGGGATGGCCGGCTCAACGCAGAGTTTCACCATCGCAGCCCTCGCCGAAGCTCTTGCCCCGCTGTTCTCTGCGCCCTATCCCCGCTTCGACCTCATCATCGCGCATTCACTCGGCGCCGTCACCACCCTCCAGCTACTTCATATTCTTCCACCCTTTTCGCAACATCCGGCTGCCCCAGTCAATTCATACACTCGCGTTCTGCTGCTTGACCCACCACTCTATCAATCCCCGCGTACCGTGGAGATGGCGCGCACGCTCTTCATGCAAGACGTCGCATCTCCTCGGTCCGCCGCCCAGCACATGTCGGAGAACCCGCGCTGGACGCTGGAGGACGCGGCGTGGAAGGAGCTTGGAGAGCAACTCATCACCCCTGAGACAATCGATCATTTGTTCAAGGTACGCTTTAACTCTGTTGCTCGACCTTCTCACTCATAGCTCCCGACAAAGGACAACTCTAACTGGTCGTTCGTCCATCTACTCAAGCTTCGGCCCGCCACGCAAAGGAGCGTGTACCTCACTGTACTTGGCGCTGATCCGCACCTTAAGGACCAGAAACCCAGCTTCCGTGTCGAGCAGGCGCAGCCATACCTGAATCCAAGACTTGACTCCGGCATAGTGTGGGGTGCTACGCATGGGATCCATCGAGAATTCCCGGAGGTGGTTGTCGAACACGCTCTACGTCGCTTAGATGAGAGAAACGCCGTCTCTTCTGCGGGGGAACAAGCGAAGCTATAGACCAGTTATCACTCGCTCATCCAACCCTCTTTATATCGTCATAATTTATAGTGAGTCAGACCTCCTCGGTGAAAACCGGGTTCTGATGTCGATGGAGCAAGTCTCCTCGCGAACCCAGGGCTGTTAGCCTCGTACAGCTTCGGCCTTTAATCTACTTACGGATCCGAGTGTATTGATCAGGTTCAAATATACGTTCGGATGTCGCACCACCAAGTGCTTGAGGCTTGGCACCTGCCTTTCGCTTCCTGTAAGCGCTATGCGTTATGTTCACACCTTGCGTACCCGGTTCAAATAATCCTTCCCGCGAGACGAGGATGAATCCAATGTAGCATCAAGCCCCCTTGCGGTGTGCTCAGAAAAGGCCGGTCGGGAACGACTGTAAGCTCGGCTGCCCCCCGTGAAGCGCCCAGACCGTGGGAGGATCATTGAAAGGCGCCAACCAGCGGATACGGTCTTGTCAACTTCACCACACTTACTGAGCTGTGTTCCTCGACCTGGACTCGGGGCGCTCGTCCCGGCTTCTTTGCATGATGGTCTAGTTTTAGCACTGACTTATCGAATCACAGGCGTATCATAGGTTACAGCATCTCCGCCACTCTCGTCGACACGGTGTCCGTATCTTTCCCTCTCTCTCTTACTATCTATGCTGGCTATCATTTCCCCCCTCAGCGCCCCTACCACCGAATCTCCATAAGCCTCAACACCATGGCTGAAGTTGCCAGAACAGAACCCTCAGGTGTGGAGACGGTCGACGGAGATCTTGAGACCCTTGTTCCTACAATGGAGCCTATCATCAACGAGTGTCCTAGGTGGGTCGCGCTTGTATAGCCTTTTGTCGACATGTATCCTGACCCAACGTGGTAGGTTCTCCTCATCGGAGATTTTGGTGTCGAAGTATCGAGAACTGTTGAATAGGGAAGCAGAAGATGATGAACATGGCGGCATGACGACTATGTAAGCTAACCTCTTCAATAAATTACTTGGTCAACGAGGATGTAGCTCATGTACTGTACTTACTTAACTTTATAGGCTTGCAGCCCGTGACCACAGTCATAACTGCCTTAGGACCATGGCACCCAGCTGCGTCAGTCACAGTGACCACCGCAAATGCATTGATGCTCGGAATCTGGCTCCATACACTGTACCAGAAGACGTACGCTTGAGCTCACGTTCGATATCTCCATGCTGACTCCGGACGTCGCCCTACAGGTAGTTCAGAGCTATAATAACTCGCAAGTACGGCGAGGAGTGCATGCCGATATTGATGCATTCGTGATCCTTGAGCAGACTGTTTTGACGGACAAGGATGTGCTGGACGAGATCAAGAGATTGATTGCGAAATACCGAAGAAATGGGAGAGCGTACAAAGATTGGAACAAGCATCGGATTGAAGACGATAGGCCACAGATTTCGGTACATATCTCGTTCATGCTGACATCTATCATTTGGCTTACATTTATCCTTGATAGGTGTGATGTGCGGAGATGAAGCTCCAGACTTCGTTTTCATTGCGGTCCCTACTTATTAAACCTACCCTCCTGCATACTAAATGTCCTTTCTGGGAATACCATTATTACCAGGCCCTTGTTCCACATCCAGAACGCGATGGATATCTAAGCGCTGCTGATGTGATTAGTGCGAGACACTCAGGTTCAGAGGCTATTTCTTTCCCTCAACCAGGTGCCAGTATTCTATAATTATCCTATTCTTTTCTTATCAACAGTGATCAGTGATCATGGCTCGCCTTTACAACGAGGCGACTATCTGCACACACGTACCCGAAGCTCCCCATGACGCGGACAAGTAAATGATGTAATTCGCTATGTGAAAACCGTCGTCTCACACTTTCAGCATCTCAACGTTCTCCGAGAGATCAAGCGCTCAAAATCTGAACTTGGTATGGTGTCATTTGCCTTGTTTGACGCTATAGCGTCTATACGAGCGCCAATCTTCTCCCCGTGCTAAAGAACGGCGACACATAAAGCTGGGTTCATTTGCCGCCAGCCCTCAAACCCTTCCAGTCATACGAGCGCGCGCATTTCTTGTCCACCCACAGCTTCAGAAATCATGTCGGAAACATCGGCTACACCACAAACCCTACCACAGCTCACGACTTCGGACATCTACACAGTCCGCATACTGCTCTCCTCTTTCCTCCCCGTCGAGCTCATTGACATTATCCTCGACGAAGCCGACTACTGGTCGCATAGCAGAGTGGAAGCCTCGATGTGCCGCAAGGACTACGGTCTTGACGATGGGACCGACTACGGGGAGATATTCCTCTTCACGATGCCGCTCGCGCACCCGGACACTGTGGATCATCAAGTCGCCTCTAAAATCAGTCTGCCAGCAAAAGAGGTATCGCAGGTTACGGGGGAGGAGATATCCAATGGGTACAGCTCGAGTCTTCAAGTAGGTCTTAGAAGAGGTGAACACCCGTGCAGGCGGATCGTGTTCGAGCTGCATAGCAAGGAAGAGCCCGTCATGAGCCGACGCGCGTGGTCGCGATGGGCCGTGACTGTCGTGCGCGGCCCACCGCCTGCGCCCTCGCTTTCATATGTCTCCGACAAAGCATTATCCGTACCCCTTCCTACACCCCTTCCTACGTCCGCTGTCTTGGTTAGTGAGCAAGAACGTAATCTGAAGGGACTTTCGAGCAGTAGAGACGTGCACTATTTTGATCACGCCAAGGTGAAAGAGATGCACAAAAACGTGGCGTGGGACTGGCAGGGCACATTCGATGGAAGATCATCAGAGCCGGAAGAGGCAGGGGTCATGGGCAGAGGCGGGCACTCGACGGAAGCGGAGTTTGTGAGAGGGCTGAGGTATGATGACCGGATCGCGTTGTGGAAGCATGCACCACGGAATAGCTGGGCGCGCAGAGAGTATAGTGCGACTGTCACAGTTTACTGGGCTGTTTGAGATCATGGAAAGGAGATATGGAGGCGGACTGTTACAGCAAGGAGACGTCCTGCGGATGGCTTCCCTTTAACACGACGCCATGGACATAGCGCAACACGCTGCGAGGGCTGAGAGTGGCAGTCTATGGGACTATGGTCGAGGGATCTCATCGTAGAATCTGTCGATATTAGATGAATCGAATATTCGTGATGTCCGAACGAAGGCTTCTGCATACGGTAAGAGGGCGATACACATGGATTCAGCGTGTTGGCCATACAGTGGACATTCGTCGATATTTTGGACGACGAATTCGTATGCATGCGCTTCAGCTTCTTAGGCGGTAATGGCAGGATGAGCTTATCTAGGCAGGTCTTTCACGTGTTCTGAGTAACAGCAGTTTATAAGTGTGGATATATCATGTAGTACTCGGTAGAAACAAATCCGCCCCCAGTCCGTTTAAAGCACGCACCAACTGAGAACCAGCTCAATGCTGGACCTACCAACTCAATCACTTACACAGCCGCTGCTCACATCCGCGGACGTTCGCGCCGTCCGTGCGCTTGTCACCAGCCGACCTGCTCTGCTACCCATCGAACTCATCGACATCATCCTCGACGAGGCTGAATACTGGACGCATAGCGCTGTAGAAATCAATGGCATCCGTCAAGTGCACGGCGTCCATGAATCGCTGGGTTACAGCAAGGCATACTTATCTCGTTACATTGCCCCTTGCGCACCCATACGCTGAGGGATACCACACTACGTCTCCAGGAAAGCCGCCAGCGGTTCAGCTACATCAGGAAACGAAGGAGGGGGTGGCGAGTGACGCCAGCGGAGGTATCAAGAGGGGCGAGCATCCGTGCAGGCGCATCGTGTTTGAGCTGCACAGCAGAGACAAAGGATGGTCGGACTATCCCGAGCAGCACGGCACGTACGACCGCACACGGTCGTGGTTTGACGTGAGCATCGTGCGCGACTTGTCGTCCCTGCTCCCACCCTCCAGCTCTTCCAGGTCGCTTGATACGAATGGTGATGATAGCGTTAACAACAATGTCGGCGACGAGCGCGACGGTGGCAGTGACGAAGATGACAGGGATCCTGATGACCGCGACTCCGACGACGATGACGACGGCGAGGACGATCCACACGGCTTCATATTCGCTTTTGGTCTTCTACCTCCATCCGCTCCTGCAGATTCAGCGACGAACCGCACCGTGGAGGCGATAAGCGACAGGGACCTGCAGCGAAACGTGCACGCCAAGGCTGGAGACACACGTCACGTCATAGTATGGGACTGGAAAGACACCATAAAGGACGGTTCCCCGGAGGCGCTGGAGGCAGAGAGAATGGGCGGAGGTTGGCGCTCGATGGACGGGGAATTTGTGAGGGGAATGAAAGATGGGGACCAGATTGCGCTTTGGATGAACGCGATTGAACAAGGCTGGGTGTGCAGGGTATCTAGAGCGATTGTCACGATTTACTGGGCCGTTTAAAAGAACTCGGTGGGTGGGAGCTTAGCAACACCTGCGTTATGGTTTGTGCTTTACGTCCACACGAAAAACGCTTGTTTGAAGGAGTAGAAAAGTTTAGACTATATGCGCTTGGACCGCGTCACCAGTGTCAAAGGATGCGGTATAAAATTATATTTTCATCAATTCAGCGTACAAGGACATTGTGTACTACATCAACAGGGCTCACTGTGATAAGCATCCAATCCAGGCTCACCACAAGCTGTTCAAACACAGAGCACCGAGGTGCACGGATCGGCCGCCGTACCAACGCAGCAGGCCACTTAATCCCAGTTGTTATCTTGCTCCGGGCCCGAGACGAGTGGTTTACCGATCGAGGTCAAGACACAGCCGTTGCCGATGATTGAACGAGTGGTCGGTAACATTTTGATAAGCATATCGCCGAGCGAGTAAACAGAGTACGGACGCTTTAACGTTGATACCTAGAGAGACCTACTTAGTGACTCTTAGTGAGCACGTTTAAGGAGTATTCGAATGGACCATCGGAGCTAGAGTCCTTTTATAGGTGCTGTGCTCCAGTGTATTTGACACCTGTGTAGTCCGAGCAGTGGGACGGATCCTGCAATGTTGCGGGGCCTCGAGATGATTTCCAAGTTTGTGGGTGGGCAGTGGAGGGGCTGCGCTCGGACGACAGCTAGGGTTGACGGCAAGTGACATTTGTTGACGAAAGGTTCAACGTTGATTGTTGGAACGAATGTGGAGAGCGTCAAGGTGAACGGTCTCGTGCACCGGACGATGACCTGGAATGACGCGGTGCGGAGAAGGCAAGTGGCATGCTGAAAGTGTGGGGGCCTATGCCGTCAGAGGCCTACAGAGAGACCGCATATGGACCAGGTGTGAGACCCATGGACCTGTATTTCGGCACATCGCGGACGGGGTATCGAGGGTCTCCACAGCCATTCATTTTCGCTATAACTCTCCGATCTCTTCTCACCCTTTGAACCAACCATCCAACCAACATCATCCACCCAGACAAACGACCCATGGACGCCTCCTCCTCCGCCTACCCCCTCGAACCTCCTCCTCAATGTATGTTTTTTCTTCTGCCTTACTCCTATCTCCACTCACAGCGTCTCTTCACCAGCCTCACCCGCGTCTCCCGGTTCACCCCCTGTAAACCTGCACAGAGTCACATCAAATACAGCTCTCCTTACTCCCCACCGCGAGCACAGGGAGACGCCTCGAGAGCGCAAGTCCTCAAATCATGGATCGCTCCACTACAACACACGCCTTGGCTCGCGTTCCCCATCCTCAATACCCTCCTCCCCAACTTCAGCGTAAGCCGTTTGCTTCCGCATACATACACTTTCCGCATGTCCTAATGTTTTACGTCTTCGCTTATTCGTTCCCTTGATCTGTGACGCATACAAACAGTCATTCGTCGACAAGTGCCATTTTCGAGCGCGACATTGAGCCAATCGGCCCACCCTCACCCCCCAATCCCACCCACCCTTTCAATCCGCATCGGACGGCCCGTTCCAAAGGCACTGAGCAGCTCGAGCAGAGCGTTCCCTCGGTGCTCGACAGCGCCGCCGCCGTCCTTACCGCATCCTCGCCAGCCGAAGAGGAACAGATCGCCGTTGTGACCCCCGCGCGCGACACGCGCAGCGGATTTGCGAGCCCTATCGGCAGTCTCAGGAGTCGCAGCCCCAGCCCGACCAGCTCCCGATCGCCTTCGTACACCATCAACCCCGGTCCAACCAGTCGCACGAGCAGCCTGCTCCTCAGCATCCCTACCGCCCCTTCGCTATCGCCGACTGCGGGTAGTCCGACACAGCCACAGGCACCAATGCGTCCCATGGTCCAGACGGGCGTCAACTCGCAGCAAAGCCAAAGCCTAGGTCATCAAGCACTGGCGCAGGCGGCCGTGCCGCACACGAAGGCTGGCAAGGCCAGTCCCGTGGTGGGCACTCCCACCTCGGCGTACTACTCGATGGTCTCGGAAGAGTCCTCCCCTACGACGACCACGGTCGAGCACCCGCCCCCTTCGGAACTCTCCCCGCCCATCTCGGGTCTGCCAGTTGTCTCAACGCCCACCGCCTCCCCTAGATCCCTTCTCACCGCCGCTCCTGCTATCAGTACCGCTAGTCCCGGCGCGAGTGCTTCCCTCTCCACTTCGCCTTCCTCTGGCTTCATGGCCGGTTCTCCGATGGCCGGCCACCCGCTAAACCTTTCCCACCCACCTTCACCCTCGAACAACGCGTCGAAGCGGCTCTCGTTTATGGCGTACAGCGACCTCCTCGCGTCTACGCCGTCGTCCCTCGCGCCGTTGTCGTCGTTCACCAGCGGCGCGGGTGCCGTCGAGGCGCCCCCGCATCTTCCCAGCGTCAGCGGTTTCAAGCAGGCGCCGGCGCACGGTACCGCGAGCGCGTCGGCCAGCCCTGTGGGGTCTATGCGTGGGCCGCCTGGAAATAGGGACAGTGTGGTATTGCTGGACAGTCTTGGCGGCGAGTGGGAACGTGAGGGTCTCGGACGTGGCTTGGAGGAGAGGCTGGAGGCGCTGATGACTGTGCCTGGCCGGGCATGATTCTTGCGGACATCGCTCGAGGTGCCAGCTCTGCTCGCCTGGGGCCCCTGTTCATTGTTGTAACACGCTGAAGCTGAAGACTAGAAGAAAGAAACGAAGAAGAAGAAAAGAAGAAAGAAGAAGCCTGTTCCTGCAAACTGTTTTGTTCATCTTATCGCTATATCTATCATATTGCACCTGTATTAATTCCCCAAGCTCTTCGCCAACCCCGGATCCTTTTCCCCTCCCCTCCACCATGCAACGCCTCGCGTCGCCGCCCTCTATCTATGCCGTCGATGTCGCTGTCCACGCCAACGCCGCGACACGTCTCTTCAATTTCTTCGAAGTTCCGCGCTCTACATATACACATGCCCGGCAGGCCTTGCTATTTTGCTGCTGCCTTTTAGTCCCTTTTTGATACTCTACGCTATACCTCTGTGCCAGTCCATGGATAGTCCTTGTGATCTGCTATTTGTTTTATTCGCTCGTTCCGTTCTCGCTTCTTGTGCCTCAGAATGTTTATGTTTCTTTGCCTCTCACGTTTTTATAGTGTCGCTCTCCTCTGCTTGTTGTTTGTTGCTTTTCTTTATTCGTTTCGAGAAGCGCGGCGTGCTAGGGTATGTCACACTATGTTACGCTGTGTATGTACATACAGGGCTCCGCTGTGCTCGTTTCGGTTTGTTGTTCGTATCAGGGTGCGGTCCTCAATGGGAAACGCTGGACCGCTGATAGTCGGTGTTGTTGAATGTATGTTTTCTGGGTAATTTTACTTGTCGGCCGACTGAGACGCGACGTGTTCACAGTGTGCACTTCCGCGACAATCACGCAGACGTGATATCGCTGCTTGCATATGATTGTTGCTTACACCCCGGCGAGGCCATGATGGTCGTGTGCCTGCATTCTTGGATGAATCGACGTCCGTGGATGACACAATCAAGTGCAGAACTCGACCGGGAACGCCGATGGTGTGGTATAACGTTTAGGTGCGATGGTCGCGTGCCTAATGGTATTGCATTTCATATGACATGCTCCGTACTTTTAAAGTCTAAAATGAAAAGCCGGGAGCGTTGTCGCTCGTCGAGTGATCGGGGCCGGGCGTGTTCCTGTCCCTCGGGAAGCGTTCGACGGACGATGTGCCAAGCTGGAGATACGTCGAGCGCTGAAAAGCTGCTGGCTCGGGGGTGAAGATAGAGACAGGCTGCGAAGCTGAGGTGGAGCAGAGATAAGAGTTGGAACGGGCGCGGCGCGTGCTGGTGATCCTCATGATAAACACGAGAGATTCTCGAGGACTTGAGCTTCGAACATGTTGGAGGGTCTTGTTGTGGTGGCTAGCGATGAGATACGGTGCCGGTTTGGTGTAACGTGGACGCATCCTTGTCTATCTCGCCCAAAGCCTGAGGCACGTTTCTGCACGCACGCGTCGAGCCCGGGATTTGCTACGAGCGGTATGGAAGGTATAGAGAGGGGCTTTGTGGGTGCTGTTACTGGTGCCGCGGGTAAATGGATTGTAGCGGAGTTCCCACTCCACCTTGCCATGAGTTGCCGACAAGAACTGTCCTTGTCATCTTCATCAACATCAGACAGAGCCTCGACTCTCTCTCTCGCAGATCTCTCCTCGTAACCATCACAACTCGCAATCTCATGCAGAGCAGTCATCATCGTGCTGTCCCCGACCTGCCGAGCGCCTTTGCTCGACTGTTAGCTGCTGCCAGCGCATCTGCCTGCGACGACCTCACGGAACATATCCACCCATTTCTTCGCCTTCTCTTGTCGTTCCAGCGCCCGAGATAGCCTTAACTTATCTCTGGGGTGCTCCGAGCATCCTCATACACGCGAAACAGACTACGTCCGAGCTTCTGCGTGCTTCTTCCGGGGCGATGGCGTTGCCTCCGTGCACTCCTATCCTTCAAGATTAGCCAGCTGACTTCCCCGTTCACCCCAGATTATTATCATCGTGGCAGCTAGCCATGAGGATTAGGCTTTGTCTGCATGTCAATGTTTCGATCGAGTGGTAAACTTTCATCTCTGGCACACGTTTTGCGGGGATGCACATGCAAGACAATGATGCAGCATGTGAGACCGTGTGCGTCCATCGTCTTCTCGACTCTCCCGTGAGCTCACCCTTCCTAATCCTGCTCGGTCTTGCAGACATTCCGAGACGGTTTCCGCTCGGCAAGCTATCACGCTAGCACCCATCCGCGCTGGACCTCACCTCAGCTCCTCTCTCCAGCTCACCAGCCCTCGTTCCCCGCAGCTGCGCGGCACTTGTTACACTTGTAAACACATGGACCCAGATCAAGCGCTGGCGCCCGTCCACATTGCGCATCTCTGTTCTCCCCCAGACGACGGCTGAAGCCAGCCCACGGATATGATGTGGCATGCGCTCAGCGTGTCACCCTCCATTGCCTTCTCGCTCGTTTCGTGCAGGTGGAGCGTCATATCCTGTCACTTGCTTCCCCAATTTGTCATTCCTCCGCGTCGTCTAGTGCGACATGTCCATCTCTTGTCTTGCGATCTTGGGAATTCGGCTTCACGACGCTTCGCTGGCCAGCCCCGAAGCTCGAATGTGGCAGACACTACCACCGGCGTATAAGAAGGGGCACGATAAGCATCAGGAACCCCAGGCACTTTCTCTTCATTCGCCCAGTTCTCTTTTCCCCAGTTCGCATTTTCGACATGGTCTTTGCTCAGGCTCTCGCTGCTGGCGCTACTCTCCTCGGCCTCTCGGCCCAGGCTTCCGCCTTTGACATCACCAAGAACTCGAACGTATGTGCTCTCACGTTCGCGTCGCGTCGCGTCCTTCATCTCTAACGCGTCTCACTTTTGCTCTTACACAGTTGGCCGTATACTGGGGCCAGAACTCGTACGGCGCCGCCAACGGCGCGGGCGCGAACAACCAGCAACCCATTGGGTTCTACTGCCAGGACGACACGATCGACACGATCCCGATCGCGTTCGTCACGCAGTTCTTCGGCACGGGCGGCGCACCGGTCATGAACCTCGCCAATACGTGCAACAACGTGGACAACAAGACGATCACGGGCACGGACATGCCCGACTGCTCGTCGCTCGCGTCTGACATCAAGGCGTGCCAGGCGGCCGGCAAGGCTGTTACTATCTCGCTTGGTGGTGCGACTGGCTCGATCGGTTTCACGGGTGACGACCAGGCGACCCAGTTCGCGCAGACGGTCTGGGACACGTACCTTGGTGGCAATGGTACCGTGCGCCCCTTCGGCGATGCCGTCCTTGACGGTATTGACCTCGACATCGAGGGTGGCGCGACTACGGGCTACACTACCTTCGTCACTGCTCTTCGCAAGCTCATGACGGGCAAGACGTGAGTTCTCTCCTATGCCTATCCAAAAAGGCGGCGACTGACGGCACTATCGACGACAGCTACTACATCACCGCCGCACCGCAGTGCCCCTTCCCCGACGCCTACCTCGGCACGACGCTCGACGCCGTCGGGTTCGACGCGGTGTACGTGCAGTTCTACAACAATTACTGCGGCGTGCAGAACTTCAACAACACCAACGGCTGGGACTTTGATTCGTGGGACAACTGGGCCAAGAACACGTCGCCGAACAAGGACGTGAAGGTGTACATCGGCGCGCCCGCCGCGCAGTCCGCGGCGTCGCAGGGCTACGTCGACTCGGCGACGCTCGCTGGGATTCTCCAGTCGACGCAGAAGAACTACACGTCGTTTGGCGGTGCTATGCTCTGGGATGCGTCGCAGGCTTATGGTGCGTTTTTGCTGCGATGAGCGGGGTTGGGTATGATGCTTATTGTGTGTGTACAGCCAACAACCGCTACGACAAGGCCGTCAAGGCCGCTCTGACTGGCGCTGCTGCTCCCGCTGCGCCTTCGTCGTCGAAGCCCAAGCGCGAGCTTAACCGCTTCTTCGGCCGCTGGGATTAAGCTTCTCCCTCCTGAGCGTCTTCAGCCCTCGAGTCGGCAGGCTCCACGGCTCACCGCTGCAGTCGTAGAAAAACGCCCCCCGTCACGTCCCCCTACTATACGTACTATACGTACTACTCGATCATGACTCGGATGACGACGACACGGATGGATGACTCCATGTTCTTCGTTCTGCCACCCTGCGCAGTGTTGTACCATTTATTATCTATTGGCTATTTACGGAGCCGCGCGCTGTGTGCGCGGTGACCACCCTGGCATCGTTATTTATTTAATTCTGGGTTTTGCGTTCTCTTGTGTGGAAGGCGTGAACGCGTTGTTAGCTGTGTAAGCTTGGGAAGTACGATTAAAGGTGTATCTGTCTGTGCTGGAGTCGAAAGTGCTGCAGATGCGCTTCAGTCGGTCGTCCTTTGCCGGTCGGGCCGAGCCTCTCGCATGTTGGCGATCATCCGCTCATGCATCCCTTGTCCCTCCAACTTCCCTCTCGTTTTGCTTCGCCACTAACGCCGACTGTCCTTGCGCGAAACAATAGCCTCTTCTCGACGACGATAATGGAAGAACGTGAGCGTCTACCGGACACGTAGCGCTATGCGTGTGGAGTCGCTCACACTCGGCGTTGGACACATGCGCTGCTACAGGCGTCCGGGCCATCTGGAAAAGCGATCCATTGAAGCCGAGAACTGCGAAGGAGGATCGTATGAGAGCAATGAGGTAGATAGGTATGTGCGGAGGTGAGAAAAGTGTGGACCTGTGCTCCAACTGGTGGCGTTAACCTTCCATAATCGCCATGCAGGAATGAATCGGCTACTGCTCAAAGTAGACCGCTGAGGAGCTCTGGTGTTATTGTTGGGACAGAGTACCTTCTGTGGTGCACTCTGTGGGCCCGCGCAGCCGGATGTGTGTTGGTATAAGTTGTGGGTCCTTGCATGCGCAAATCTCCATCTTTGAGCTCATCGGTTTTGGTAGCTTATCTCCATCGACACGATGCCACCCTGTAACGCACTTGAAGCCTCTTGTTACCCCAGATCCCCTCTGCCGTGCACATCCTGGGGAGCTCCCGACGCTCCTAAGCGGGCCCTGCTAGTGCATGGGTTGACGAGCTCATCGCAGCTGTGGTGTCGCATCGCGCTGCTGCTCGTTGCCCGAGGTAAGTTTACGCCATCGACCCCCTGGAGCATGAGTATCCTTATCGAACCCTCCAGGCTACCATGTCGTCGCGCCCGACCTCCCAGGACATGGCATCGCCCCGCGCCTCCCCGCGTCCTCTTACTCCCTCGACGCCCTTTCTCTCGCTCTCAAACCTCACGTCACACCCGGCCCGCCAGATCTTATCATTGGACACTCTCTCGGCGGAATTGTCATGCTCAACCTCCTCCACAATGGTGCTATATGCCCGCGCCCAGGACGATGCACACACGTGGTCATCATTGATCCACCGCTTGACCTCACACTTGAGCAATCCGACTTCTACGGGACCATATTCAAGGCGTCCGCGAGGCGCTCGCCGGGAGCGGAGGCGTATAGGGCAATGTTCCCGAAGTGGACGGAAGAGGATGCGGCGTGGAAGGTGCGGGGAGACGAGATGTGCGACGAGGCTTGTGTGGATGCGTTGTTTGATGTGAGCCTACCTATAATACCGTTATATTTTCTGTTAGCTGACAGAGTGGGCCTCAGCAACATCGACCGTGGGCTTTCAAGTATTTGCTCGAGAGGCCTCCGGCGGAGAACGTCAGGCTGACTATGCTCGGCGGCGACCTGGCGTGCGGAGGCGTGTATCATGGAGGTCAGACGGCTGAGTTCGCGCATGTTATTCCCAAGAGCGTGAAGGATACTTCACACTGGATGCCGATGGAGGACCCGGAGGCTATCGTGGATGTCGCTCTGGGGGATGTCGAACCCAAAGCCGCGCGGGAAGTCGGGAAGGCGAAACTGGCCTTCCCGAAGGTACTCATGGCGCTCGAGCAGGCGATGGCGTTGCTAGTGTCACTTTCAGTTCGTTCGCTGAAGAGATTGGTCTAGAAGTGTAGTATCCCGATCATAGTTGTCTTAGTGGTGTAGAAGATAACACCGTTGCTGTACAGTAATCCATCCGGACCGAAGATACGATGTTTGCTTCATGAGAGGATGTGTTTGTATCACAACAGACAGGGCACCATTTCCCGTCGCTCGTGACACACCCGGGCCGCAAGGCTTCTTCGGGAGTAGCAGTGAGAAGCTCAAACGAGGATGTGCGACCGAGAGAGCTTGTGTGCCAATAAGCGTCGAGGTAGCCAGGCTCGAATTGGATTGGTCTGCGAATAGGCATCGCTCCCGGGGCGAGGTTATCACAAGGAGCTAATTTAGCATGAGGACCTTACCATGCCAACATGGGCGAAGGTATGAACGCGTCCGACCTATCCGAAAGACAAGCGGATCGAGGAATGCCACAGGGATTGAGCAAGAGACGAGATACTTGCCTCACTAGGTATAACACTAGGCAGCGTCGGTCGGACGTCTCGCGGCCGCTGGCACCATCGGCCTAACAAGGTTGGCTCCGAGCCGTTTTATGCTCCGGTCGTCGCTAGCATGGGGGCCGCATGCAGATAGGCCACGTTTGTCGACTTAGCAAGCTGGCGGAGGCGGTCCATCAGCTTTTCCTATCGGGTCGAGAGTAGGCCACGGCTGTGGAAAACGATCTAGGGTGCACGTCTCACACCCGATAGCTCCAGTGAAGATGTGATTTTTCTAAGAGACATTGGAGAGTTACTTCATAGTCAAGCAATGTGATAGAATAGCGGCTAAACTTTTGCGTCATAAAGAGGTCATGTCAGTGCAAGGTGGATGTAAGCGTAAGAGAGCGGGCGGCAGAGGAAAGAGGGGGAAGAATGCAAGAGGCATGTTCTCACGGTTCGGGCCGTTCCGCTTATGATCTCACCCTTGGATAACGGAGATATAATAAAGACCATCTCTTTCCTCACCACCACCAGCTCCCCCAATCAGCAAAAATGACCACCTCCCTCGACTACCTCAAACAGACCGGCACCGTCGTCGTCTCCGACTCTGGCGACTTCGAGTGTGAGTATCACTACGCATCAGGGTCGGGCGGGCGAGCGACATCTCGGCCCCTGATTTCATACCCGCATATATGGACGATATGTTGATCTTGTCTCATCTTCGCAGCCATCGACGCCTACAAGCCCCAGGATGCCACGACTAACCCGTCGCTCATCCTCGCCGCTGCCAACAAGCCCGAGTATGCTCGCCTCGTCGACGCTGCCATCGCCCACGGCAAGTCCAAGGGCGGCAGCCTTGATGACCAAGCCAACGCTGCCATGGACCGACTCGTACGTTCCTTTGTTTTTCATGGAAACTTGAGTTCTCAAAATGTCACAGCTCGTCGAGTTCGGCAAGGAGATCCTCAAGATCATCCCCGGCCGTGTCTCGACCGAGGTCGACGCCCGTCTCTCCTTCGACAAGGAGGGCACCAAGGCCAAGGTGCGTTATACCCCATATACCTATTCCATCCGTAGACTTATCAATACCCTCATCTCTTCAATAGGCCCGGGAGCTCATCAAGATCTACGAGTCCGTTGGCATTAAGAAGGAGCGCATTCTGATCAAGATCGCCTCCACCTGGGAAGGCATCCAGGCTGCCCGCGAGCTCGAGCGGGATGAGGGCATCCACTGCAACCTCACCCTCCTCTTCGGCTTTGGCCAGGCTGTTGCCTGCGCCGAGGCTGGTGTCACCCTCATCTCGCCCTTCGTCGGCCGTGTAAGTTGTCATCCGATATATTACAAAGGAATGTGATACTCATCCGATGGGTTGGAATGTAGATCCTCGATTGGTATAAGAAGTCGACAGGCAAGAACTACGAGGGCGACGAGGATCCCGGTGTCCAGTCCGTCAAGCGCATCTTCAACTACTACAAGCAGTACGGCTACAAGACCATCGTCATGGGTGCCTCTTTCCGTAACGTGCGTGTTACTCGCTCTCTACATTTGATCTTTGGTTGACATCCGCGCCTCTACTTGCAGACTGGCGAGATCAAGGCCCTCGCCGGCGTCGACTTCCTCACCATTGCGCCCGCCCTCCTCGAGGAGCTCCGCAACTCGACCGACCAGGTCCCCAAGAAGCTCGACGCACACGGCTCGTTCCAGCAGGAGCCCAAGGTCACGTTCATCGACAACGAGCCTGAGTTCCGCTGGGAGCTTCTGCAGGACCAGATGGCGTTCGACAAGCTCCACGAGGGCATCAAGAAGTTCGCCGAGGACGGCCAGACGCTCACCAAGGTCCTCAAGGAGAAGATCTCCAAGGCCTGAGCGCGCGGCTGGGACCCTGGGTACGATAGGCGTGACGAGATGAAAAAGGAGTGTTTGTTTGTATATTAGGTGTAAAACCGGTTCATAGACTTTCTGCAATCCTTTTTGCGCTAATCCATGCATGTTTGTATTTGACGAATCCGTTGTTCCTTGGTGTGATATCAGTCGAGTCCCCGTGGATCGTCATTCATGTCATTCATGTCACGTCGGGCTATGACGCATTGTGACGCCATGATGATGTTCATGTCGACGATTTGCTAGCTGAGTTGCGCCCGCTGCGTTGATCATAGTCTTAGCCTGGGAAACCAATCGAGACGATAACCTGTATTACGCCGCACTAGTGAACAATATATAACATCGATGAGGATGGGGACGAGGATGGGTGAGTGCGTATAGGGTGGGCGAGGTAGAGTACGGTTGGGTATGCGGAGTACTAGTACCGTAGGTAGTGGGGGGTCGTGAAGTGAATATATGTGGTGAGTCGTAAAGTGTGGACAGTGGATGCGGAATGTAAAAAGTGTAAAGTGTAAGTGCAGCGGACAGGCATGAGATGGATGGATGGATGGATGGGAGTCATAAAATAAGGCGAGTATCTTACTAAGACAGATCGAGAAGTGGAACGTGGGGACATGAAGAGGAGGAGATATGGAAGAGACGAGACGAGGAAAGTGTCCGACAGCAGACGAATCTAAGTATACAACCGACCTCGACGGGGCGAGCAAAGAAAGATCGGGACCGACAACAACCAATCACACATAACCCGTAACCCAGGGCTCACAACCACAACGCAACGCACAACGCAACGCACAACCGCAGACAACGCACAATCACCAACCACCCGCACGAATCCAACAGCAACAACAACAACAACAACAGCAACAGGAGGGAGACATCACCGCCTCCCGCCCGTCGCCCGCCTCACGCGCTCGCGCTCCTCCGCATCCAGCTCAAGCACCCCAATCACCTCGCTCGAGCCCTGACTCGCCCCGCCGCCGCTCCCGCTCCCGCCACCGCCGCTGCCGCCGCTGCGCGCGCTCGTCACGCTCGCGTCTGGCGCTAGCCCGCCGCTGCTGTAGCTGTAGCTGTAGCTGTCCCCGCGTTCCCGGCGGAGCGACGATGCGCGTCCGAGCGCGACGGTGCGCAGCGCAGGGGACGAATTTGGGCTGCGGCTCATCGGTGGGGGCGGGGGCGGCGGTGTGTAGCCCGGTGTGGCGGACGAGAAAGATGGGGGAGGAGACACGGCACCGCGGTCTCTCGCCAGTGGCGAGCTCTCGCTCGGCAGACTCGTCAGTCCGCCGCGGGGCGATTGTCTCGGTGACGAACGCGGGGAGAGCGACGGCGGGAGGCCGATGCCGTTCCCGCTTCCGCTTCCGTTGCTGTTGCCGCCGTTGCCGCCGCTTCCACCCTGGGCAGAGGGCTGGCTGCTAGAAGCAGGCGACGAAGGCGCACCCAGCCCCTCGAGCGACGCCAAAAACGCAGCGTTCATCTGCGCAAGCTGCGCGTCTACATCCGCCTCCCGCGTCGCCACCGGGCCCCTCGACCCAGCAGCGCCATCTACCACCTGCGATCCCGGCGCCGTCGAATACGACTGGGCCTGCACTTGAGCCTGTGCTTGGACCTGGGACTGGGTATGGACCTGGGTCTGCAGCCGCGACGGCGTGTTCGCCAGCGTCCGCGCAGACTGGGCAAACGACGAGTTACGCGCCGAGCTCGCGGGCTCGCTCGCCTCGGGCACCTCGCTCGGGACGCCGCTGGGCATTCTGATGCCCGCGGTGTGGCGCGCAAGACCCGACGGCGAGGAAGGAGCGTGCGCGGCCGGTTGTTCCGTTGACGAAGGAGGGCCGATTGTGTCTTCGGATCCTTGCTGCCTGCCGCCCCTGCTGGATGGGCGCAGCGAGGCGGGAGCGAGACCGAGCCCCAAGGGGCGCCGGGCGTCGATGTCCTGTACGAAGAGCGAGATGTCGTCGTCGTCCGTCGGGGCGCCGAGGTACGTCGGCTGTGCGTTGTCCAAGAATGAACGCAAATAGAAGGCAAAAAGGCAAAAACGCGGAGACAGAAATCAACACAACAAAGTCGTCAGCGCCTCCATTCTACAGCAGCCCACAGCGCACGAAATGACTCACCGGTGGCGTAGCACCCGCCTCTCTCCCCGGTCCTTGGCCCGGTCCTCCTACACCCCCTGCCCCTACACTCTGTCTTCCTCCCGTACCACCACCACCGACAGCAGCAGGGCTCACAGGCCTGCCTTCTCCAACACCTCCAGCACCAACCCCTCCTGCAGACGACGGCGACGCCCCCATCGCCCCACCCGCCGTCCCACTCCCCGCACTGACATTACTCGCCCCGCTCCCCGCATACCGATGCCCAAAGCTGCTCGAATACCGCTTTCTTGCTGGCACCCCCGCCCCCGCCCCCTGCACACCGCCCTCGCCGCCCTCCGCACTGGCCGTCGACCGCGCCCCGAGCGAGCTCGGCGCAAACGGCGGACTCGGTCTGTTGCCCAACGAGCTCGGAATCATGACTGCTCCTGTCCCAGTCCCAGTCCCCGTTCCGGTCCCTGCTCCCGCTCCAACACCAGTACCGGGGGTGGCCGAGGATACAGTGGGGAAATTCGAGAACGTGCTCGCCGCGGGCGACGTGGGGCCCTGTCCGACGAGACCCGCCCCGCCTGCGCGCGAGGGTAAGCCTGCCGCGAGCGGCGAGGACTGCCGCAGTGATGGAGACGGGGAGTGGAGCGATGGCGAGCCGGAGGAGAGTGTGCCGCTCTTGAACGGGTTCACGGGTGACAGGCCAGGTCGACGGATGGGCACACCCGCGCCTGATGCGGTTGTCGGTGAGCCTGGGAGATCCTGTGTGCACATCGTCTTTAGTTAACAAACGAGGGCAAGAAGGGAAGAAAAAAACGCACGACACTGCTCCGCGTCCCCAGACTCTCCTTCCGGATCCGCGCCGCCAGCCCCGACAGAGCGTCCTCGCCTCCCGCACCCGCACCTCCGACGCGCGAGCCCGTCCACGCAGCACTCGACTCGGGCCTCGACGAAGACGCCACGCTCAACACCGACGCACCTCCCCCTCCCTCTCCACGACCCAACGCAGCTCCCCCAGGCGTCGACGTCCTAGTCAGCGGCACCGCCGCCGCCCTCGGACTCGCCCCCATCTGCCCTCCGGACGCTTGCTGATGATGCTCAGGCACCGACACTGTCCGCGCGTGCATCGACGTATCCCGATCCCTGTCCCTGTCCCTATCGCGGGGTATGACGAACTGCTCCGCGATAGCCGCTGCGCTCGCCGAGAGCGGACTGCGCGGGCTCTTGGGCGGGGACCGCGCCAGGCCTGAGACGGGCGTCCGGGGGAAGCTGCTCGGGTGTCCGCCTGCGCCTGCGCCTGCGCCGTATGCGCGGGGCGGGCTGCGGCTCAGGCCCGCTGCCGTTGCGCCTTGCTGCGCCTGCTGCTGGGACGACAGGTGTGACTGGGATTGGGACTGGGACTGAGATTGCCGGGCGAGGGTGGGCGTGAACTCGGGTCCTTCGTCGAGCGAGAGGAAGCGCGAGGAGAGCAGGGACTCGAGCGAGTCGAGCTGGAACGCTGGGTTGTCGAGGTAGCGTGTTGAGAGCGTGAGGGTGCCGAGCGGGTGCGGGATGCTGGGGAAGACGTGTGACGACGTCGGGAGGGGTGCGTGGCCGGGGGATATCCGTGTGTCTGTTCCCCGGAGTTATCAAACCATTCAAATGTGTTAGGAACGGAAAAGAGGGCACTCACCAAAGTCCAGAATGTCCTCAGGGGGAGGCGTGTCGAGTCCTCTGACTCTCAACTCAATACCAAGGAACCCATTCCGATTAGGCCCGGGCATGCGTCGCCCGCGAAGCAACTTGAAGAAGCGCCAGGCAGGGAGAATACGCAATAGCGTGTAGAGGCTCCTGAAGAGCGGAATGCCGTGCTTGTACGTCGTCGACGGAGCCACCGCACCACCCTCTGTGCTCCCAGCCGCCGACGCGCCCCCCTCGGTCTCGTATACGCTCGAGGTCGTGCTCGTGTCTCCTGTTCTCGCGGAGCTGGATGATGCCGCGGAGCTGGCTGCGGATATAGATGGCGAGGAAGACGCAGAGCCAGGGGAGAAGGCGAGGGTCCAGCTCTCGAGGAGGACGAAGCGCCTGGTGGGCTCGACGCGCACGCGGGACGAGTCTGGTGCGTGGTAGACGAGCACGTGGCTGGTTGCATGGCCTGTGTGCTCGGGTACGGCGAGGAGGACGTCGAGGACGAGGGTGCCTGGGGCTGGTGATGACGAGGAGGGGGATGAAGACGACGAGGAAGCAGAGGAAGAGATGGAACGGTATGTGCGGAGGTGGTCGCGGTAGAGGTCGGAGTCGGGAGTCTCAATGTTGAACTGGATGTCGCGAGAGGGCGGGGTGCGAGGTGGTGGCGTGCGAGCAACGAGGGCGAGAGAGGTGAAAGCAAGTGGAAAGGAGGGTTCGAGAGTGGGTGAAATGGGAGGAACAGCGCGTGAAGGGGCGCGAGTGAGCATGAGGCACGACAGAGATAGGGAGGAGAGAGACGTACCCATTTGTCGGTCTTGGTCTGAGTACGCGACGACTGTGGCTCGTTCGTCTGGCGGGCATTTGCGAGGACGAGGGCTAGCTTAGTGTAGAAGCGGTAGGCGATCTGGTCTGCCTTCTGTATGTCATTGGACATTGCAGCCTGAGAGGAAAGCGGGGTGGAAGTATGTTGCAAGTAGTGGTGGGTGGTTAAGGTGGGGAGATGCAGAGGAATTGATTATGAGTTGCTATCCATTAGTGTAGGGATATCGACCGCGTCTAGGTGAATGCAGCAGGGAGAAGGAGGAGCAAGAAGGGGCACTCCGCCTCTCCGCAACATCCCATATCCGGCCTCACGCCCCTTACCAGGTCTCCCCTCCATCCCACCATCACCCCACTCTACACTTGACTCAATCTCTCGCAGCCGCACATAAAACGAGGTTCTGATTCAACACTTCTCGCTGTCTGCTGACGTCCTGTGCATCCCAATGTCACGGCGCTTACTGCAGACCACCCTCTTCTCTCCCGTCCCTCGCACCTATTTCCGTCAGCCACTCTCATCCAGCGCCTCTCCTCACCACCCCCCTTTGGTCCTTCCCACCCGGAAATGTGGCTCGCAGCCACCGTTTAATCTTAGAGAATGTCTGGGGCCTGGACTTGCTGTACGCTGCCCTTCGCACCCAATTTCGACATTCATCTGCCTCCTTTGACAACTTGCTGTATGCCCTGTGATAGGCTCGACGTGTCAAGATCGTCCTCATGCCCTTAAAGCTGATATGCTCTTGACTGGACGACACGCTGTACGCCCGCGCAACGCAGCAACCACATCTAGCACGGCTGCGAGATGTCTAGATAGGTGAGGTATGGTATACACGAAACGTCATCATCCTCGCTCCCGCCTCGGGTCTTCTAGGCACCATGTCTACGCCTTCATCCGCAGTTGTCAGCCGCCCTCTCACGCCAGCTTCTCTTCCTCCGTGCGTGACTCGGGGTATCATCCCACGTGCCTACGGTACAACATGCGAAGCTATTTTTTCTTTCTGGGGGTTCGCAATATCCACCGAACCCGTAGCGCCGGCTTCAGCGTCTGATTCCTACACACATAACTACTATACTAGCGCTCACGAGTTATAGGCAAGTTACGCCCTGACAGCCTCGCGATCTCATGTTCTCGCAGGCACATTCGGTTCAAGGATGAGTAATGTCATGTTGGGCACGTTCTGGGGTCCTTGTTCCGTGCTCAATCTTATTGCCTATTGGCAATGGCTGAAGACTCAATGCCACTGTAGATCATGGCTGACCCGAAAAGCGCTCACACACTGCCTTGAATACTGCGAGGGTGCCGAACCATGGACAAAGATAATGCCTCAAGACGCTACTGTCGGGGATATCAGTGAGTACCCGCCCGGTCTTGCTTTGTAGATGTAAAGTTCTCTGTCTTTAAACACGCACCCTGACGCCAAAATTTGTAGTTATCCCTTCTTCCACACCCAGCTCTTCAGACGGCCCAGTAAACAGTGACGACCGCTCTAGACGCTGTACACACCCAACCTCGGTCGAGCGCATTCATCCACAGCGCGATCTGGTCTCCGTACTTCAGTCTCCTCACAAACTCCCCTTCCATCGAGCGCCAGCCCCTACCCATTCTCCGCCTCCAGCGCCTCCCGGGAGCCTTCCTCGATGGTGTCTTTCCAGTCCCATACTATGACGTGCCATGTTTCTTCAGCCTTGGCATGTACGTTTCGCTGCAGGTCCCTGTCGCGCATTGCCCCCACGGTGTGGTTCGTCGCTGAATCTGCAGGAGCGGATGGAGGTAGAAGGAGCAGGGACGAGAAGTCGCGCACGACGCTCACGTCAAACCACGACCGCGTGGCGTCGTACGTGCCGTGGTGCTCGGGATAGTCCGACCATCCTTGGTCTCTGCTGTGCAGCTCAAACACGATGCGCCTGCACGGATGCTCGCCCCTCCTTATACCTCCGCTGGCGTCACTCACCGCCCCCTCCTTCATGTCCTGATGTAGCTGAACCGCCGGCGGCTTTCCTGGAGAGGCGATGTGGTGTCCCTCGGTGTGCGGGTGCGCGAGGGGCAATGTAACGAGGTATGCCTCGCTGCAACAAGGCGATTTGTGGACGCCGCGCACTTGACGGATGCCGTTGACTTCTACAGTGCTGTGCGGCCAGTATTCAGCCTCGTCGAGGATGATGTCGATGAGTTCGATGGGTAGCAAAGCAGGCCGGCTGGTGAGGAGCGCACGGACGACGCGAACGTCCACGGCTGTGAGCGGGGACTGTGTAGGCGGTTGAGCTGGTGGGTCCAGCATTGAGCTGATTCTCAGTTGATACGTGCTTTAAACAGACTGGGGGCGGACGAGCTTCGACCGAGTCCCATATGATATATCCACACTTATAAACTACTGTTACTCAGAACACGTATTCGTCGTCAACGAATGGCCACCATATTACCAATACGCTGAATCCATGTGTATCGCCCTCTTACCGAACGCAGGAGGTAAGATAAACGTCGAAAGTCATGAGTGTGGTACATCTTCATTTCGAAATTGGACATCATGATTACTCGTTTCATCTGGTATCGACATGATTCTACGATCCTATGACCACGATTCCATAGACTGGCGCTCGTAATATCTCTGGTAGCGTATTGTGATGCGTCCATGGCGTTGTGTCAAAGGGCAGCCATTATAAGTTATAACCATATAAAAGAGGATTGGACGAGCGACTGATAACTAGTCTATAGCGTCGTTTGATCCTCTGCAGAAGAGACAGCCTTTGTCTCATCTAAGCGATGGAGGGCGTGTTCGACAACCACCTCTGGGAATTCTCGATGGATCCCATGCGTAGCACCCCGCACTATGCCGGTGTCGAGCCGTGGATTTAGGTATGGCTGTGCCTCCTCAATGCGGAAGCTAGGTTCATGGTCCTTAAGGTGAGGATCGGCGCCAAGTACGGTGAGGTATACGCTATTTTGCATATCGGGCGGAAGTTTGAAAAGGTGGGTGAACGACCAGTTGGAGTTGTCCTTTATCGAAGACTGTAAGTAAAAAGATTGAACAATGGTGTGATAGCGTACATTGAGCAAACGGTCGATGGTCTCGGGGGTGATGAGCTGCTCCCCAAGCTCCTTCCACGCCGCGTCCTCCAACGTCCAACGCGGGTTCTCCGACATGTGCTGGGCCGCAGACCGAGGAGACGCCGCATCCTGAATGCAAAGCTTGCGTAAAAGCTCCAATGCACACGGAGACTGGTAGATTGGTGGGTCGAGCAGCAGAATGCGAGTGCATGAGTCGGCCGGGGCTGCTAGGTGCTGCGAGAAGGGTGGAAGGGTATGAAGGAGCTGGAGCGTAGTGATAGCGCCGAGCGAATGCGCGATGATGAGGTCAAACCGAGGATAGGGCGCAGAAAACAGCGGGGAAAGCGCTTCAGCGAGGGCTGCAACGGACAAGCTCTGCGTTGAACCAGCCATCCCGTGTCCAGGCAGGTCGGGCGCGAGAACATAGTACCCTGACCTCGCAATATTGGCAGTCAGCGCGCGAGGTAACGAACTCTTTTGGTGAAAGACGCACCTTGAGCAGCGAGGTCTCTAGCGACACGATGCCACGTCTGCGCAACCGAAGTGATACCATGAATGAGCAGGGCGTTCTTCGAGGAACTTGGGCTGCCCCATGTTGCCACGCTCAGGGTGAAGGTTGATGGTGCCATCGTCGGATACTGGAGCTGAAACCGTCTCGGAGACAGCAGCTAGAGACAAAAAGGAGAATAATCAGGACCTGGTCCACGAAGGTGAAAGAAATAACGGGCCACTGTCGACGGCAGACAAGTCTTTGCATGATGGTGATCGGGGATAGACTCGGTCAGGACTTAGCAAGACGCTAAACAGGCTGGCCAATGAGAATCAATGGGTTGAACTTAGAAACTCGGACCATTGAGTGGAACGTAGAGTAAAGATAACTCTGCATCGTCAAGTCGCTTGTTGAACGAAACGCTGACGTTAGGAGATTCGGGGATAGACTCGGTCATAGCAAGACTGAGAACACAGCCACCGGGCGCCAGGCGTTTGCTAGTTTCGGGCTATTTACCAGGTGCCTCGCACCACGCTCGTCCAGCGCCTCTCTTCACCACCCCCTTTGGAGCTTCCCACCCGGAAATGTAGCTCGCAGCCACCAGTTAATCGTAGACAATCTTTGGGGCCTGGACTTGCTGTACGCTGCCCGATTTCGACACTCATCTGCCTCCGTCTCTCCATTTGATAACATGCTGCACGCGCTGTAATAGGCTCGACATGAGCCGGCCAACGTTTGCATATTTCATGTATGGCGACTCAACGATACATTCGGCTCCTGCGTGTCGCTGAACGCGAGCTGTCTTGATGAGCTTGATGTATGGAGTGTCATCACCCTCGCTTCCGCCTCGGCCTTTCTAGGCGCTACATCTATGATTAATGATTCCTTCCGCAGTCGCTCGCACGACCGCTTCCCTTCTCTACCGTGACTCGAGCACTGTCACACGTGTGTACTGCATGGAATCCTTGTTTCCTCCATTGACAAAACCACCGCTCCCATAGCGCCCGTCTCAGCATCCTCGCTCCTAAACGTACAGTTGCTGCACTAGCGCTCACGGGACATGACCAAGTTACGCCCTACTAGCCTGGAAATCTGGGTAAACAATATCGCATCGAGCACGTTCTGGGATTTCTATGCTCTGCTCAAACGTACCTCCCGACTTGATACAATGGATGCGAGATGCCAATACAATCGCGGTTAACGAATGGACCGAAAACGCTCAATAACGGTTAGCCTCCCATAGGCAGATCTTTATAGTATCCGGAAGATATAAGCGCCTAGCTGGTTCCGAGTACTGCGAGGATACCTAACCAGGAACAACATCCAGTACATGCCACCTCTGGACTCTGGAGGACGCTAGTAAGTACTTGAGTACCCGCTCGGCCACCCGTTATTCAGAGGCTGACTGCTGCGTTTATGGCAGAACCCCGCCACTGCGTCGATGAGAGCTACCCGAAGTGAATGTATGATGGTCGATCGATCAATGTGACGCGGAACGGCGCCCGAGCTATCTCCCCTGATTTACCACGCGCGCCTGAATCGACTTCCCTCGGGAGGCGTGGAAGCGAAACAGGTGTGCGGATACGGCGCAGTGTATCGCCTCCATCTTTTGGGCCTACCTTCACGTATGTCGTTTCATGAATTATACCCTCATGTTGTTCGTACAGGCCGTTATCCTCGTGAATATGAAACATCATAATCCGGTTTGTGATATTCTCTATCGACGTGTTAACGTTCTGTTGTGCTAGCGAGCCACTAGAGACAGCGTTGACAGGATTATCTAGGTGTCGGCGCACTGGACGTCTCTTTTGACTGCATTCCTACGAGTATTCCGCAGCCTTGAGCGCCGACCAACAACCGTCACTTGCCGGAAGATGACGTCTCTGCGAAACCTATGAGGCTGGTATCATGCTCAGTCTTGCATAAGACGAGCGCAGGTGCAAAAAGTTTCGCAGTCATACCGGCGAGGTCTCGTGTCGTTGTTTGTGCCATGGTTTAGCTGAGAACATGACATCAGAACTCGGCGTAGCGGCTGAAAATCAAACGATACTCATCGTGATGTTAGCCAGGCACAACGTCTCAATGGATTTTGTTTCTCAGCCGCGCTGTCGAGTTTCTCTCTTTCTGTCAGATCGCTGCGTTGTGGTTGCGCTTACCAGACGAAATGACCCGTCAACCTAGTCTCCCTTGCGGATCTTGACGCCGCTTGCCTAAGGATGGTGGCACTGTAGCGTGCAGCCTCGCTCTACATGTCTGTCATGGGTGTCGCATATACATTTGATAATCAAGAGAACGGTAAGTAGTACATGGGTACATAATCTTTCGATTATAGTAACCGATTTCATCACCTAGAAGCGTCATAACGAGGTATCGCGTGCTGTTGGCGACCAGAATCCTGTTCCCTACCGTCGCCAGCATAGGCTTCCAGTCCCCTACCACTTCTCTTCTCTCCGCTGGCTGTGGCCTGTACTTCGGGGGCAACCAGCATAGCTTCCTTTCCTTCTTTCGGAGCCATCCGTCGCCGTCCATCCAGATATCTGAAAAAGTGTGCAAGTCATATACGGCGTCCTTGGAGCTGCCTACGGTAACTGGGTCAAATTTCGGAGCGTGCTGGTTGCCTGAAATCTCACCTGCAACGATCTGTTCGGTTGTCTCGGATGCTTTCGGGTCGACTATGTGGATGTTCGCATCTTCGTCGACGCAATAGACGCGCTCAAACCGCGGAGATGCCACTACATCCACTAGTATGGACTGTCCGACGTCCATCAAGGAGGATAGCCGGATTATTCTGGGTTGGCGCCGGTTGTTCGATGTGGATTCCACTGTCCATTGGAGGTGATCAAGGCAGCTGGTACCGTCAGCAGCGGCCCCAGGTTCGTAGCAGACAGCAGTAGTGACACCATAGTTGACATGATCCAAGGACAGAATCTTGAACGCGGTGACGCTATATGCCAGATTCTGGTAGTAAGGCGGCTTCATCGAGGTTATTTCCGTCAACCGATGTTCATCTGGCTTCATTGCTAAGAGAATCACGACGACTTTGAAGCGGTCTGTACTAAACCCCGCGAGTGCAATCGTTTTGTCGTCTCTGGCGATGTGCAAATCAACGACAGTCATCACTTGGTTTGATAACTCGTGAGATGTTGCTATTCGTTTTGAATGCGTCTCCCGGACTTTGACGCAAAAACTGTTCGAGAATCTGGTTTTTCCGACAGGAACCAAGAATTTCGATGAGGGAGAAAATGATAGCTTCGATCTGGTTGGACATTCAGAACTTCGGTCTCGCTTCGGTCATTCCGAGAGAGCAGAAGTTGAGCAGAAGCGTACTTCCTGACATATTTCTGCGTAGAAAATCGATTACGGCTCTACAATAGCGAACATCGTGTAATATCACAACGAGTATCGATAGGCCTATCGGTATGTAACTCGCTGTAATTGCCCCTGTTGCAGCAGCTTTCGTTCACATGATAACATAGATCCGGTTCAAGAGCTCATACGTCGAGCAAAAGGGTCGTTTTTTTATGTTGAAAATGAAGAGATAGGTGTAGTAGGTAACTTCACGCTTGCTGGACCTAGTGGGGAAATGGCCACCGCACAGGTTTAGCAGTATACACACATTTTGAATCATACAAATATTCTGGTTTTACTGTGGGTAAATGGAACTTCTAGCGCTTTGAGTCCCACTATACATGTTTAGCAGCGTCACTAAGAGGAGGAAGTACACATATGCGCCAGTCCTCTACGAATGCAGGCTCCGAGTCGGGGTAAAAGTAAAATTTAGCAGGAAATGTTCGGAGCGTGTGACTCGAATGGCATAACAGAGATTGTACCAGAGGCAAATTGCCTGGGGGTTGTTCTTCAGTGAGAGTGCCTTCAGATTTGGGCCGGATTATGTGCAGGGGAGAAGCAACCAAAAATTTGACTTGATGAAATCTCCCTTGGAAGGCGATATCGAGATATGGCGGAAAGAAGATAGAGCCGCAGTGATTGGCACTAGAGGTGAAGGCATCGGGGTCGATGATCGTGTCGAGTACGCAATCTATGATCAGCGGCGGCGGAGGTACCTTTTGAGATCTCCTGGCAGTCGCTGGGGAAATTTTCGCGGCGAAATATTAGGAATTCCGACGTTGAGTATAAACCCTAGCCAGACCATTGTTCCGGCCGCTTGTGAGGACAGGTCGAGCACAGACTGAGTGAGCACTCGCTTTAGCCGGGGTCTTAGCCTCTGAAAGCGAGTGACTTTGGTGACTAGGCACATAAGCAATCGACCCATTCAATAGCTTTCACAGTATAGCTCACCCAGAGCTGGCTCCTAAGAAAGCATGTGCATACGTGCTATAGCAGCGAGAGGGCATGTTCCTAAGATTTGGCAAGCCGTCTAGGTCATCTCGCCATCAAAAGCATAAGAGGCAAATAAGAGGCTGTTAACAAGCAGATATGCGACGTCAGTTGTGCAGTATGAAGACAAGGGTGCATCTGGCTTGATGGCAAGGTGTTCCACGCGGAATGAAGGAAGGGACTGTCGAAGGTGAGCGAGGAAAATAAGGTGTTCTCATAAAAGCATAAAGCCCAGCCGGGGTCGACGCGTGTTGGATGCAAATGAGACCTGAGAGCACACATTGTCGCCTGCAAGTGAGCCAGCGCCTCTTTCGAACAATCACTTCCTTCAGTCTTCTCCTTCTCCTTTCATACGCCTGCGTTCGTGCATCTGCATCAAATTTCAGGGTATGCGAACAGCGCGCAGATGGCAAGAAAAACAGGGACTCAGGGGCTTTATTCGCTGAGTCAGATAAAGCATCCACATTATTCTGTAGCCCGCGTACAGCATTGTCGTTGAAACGTTGAAGTCGAACGTTAAGCGTTAGCACTGAGCGATGCAGAGCTCTAAGACCGAGAAATTTCTGTCTACAATCCGTCTATATGCGTAGCAAGGGACGCAGCATCATGCGATGGCAAACACATAGGTTCGAAAGACTTGAATAAAATTTATTACACGCACACGCACATATTGAACATCTGTACACCATGACGAACAGCAGTGCGGCCTTCCACTAACCCAATCCTTTTTCAGACCTTATTATTAACACTTCCGAAAAGACAAAGACTGACTCCGTTTAGTCAGCGGCGAGTTCAAGCTTGATCTTGGCGATGGCTGCAGCGGGGTTGAGACCCTTGGGGCAGGTCCGCGCGCCTAATATAGATGTTAGAGACGGAATGATAGGATCATGCGGACGCGACTCACAGTTGAAGATAGTGTGACACCGGTAAAGCGACATCTCGTTCTGGAGCTGCTCCTTGCGCTGGGCACCGTAGGAGTCCTGAGCACGGTGGTTAGTTGCCGCCGCCCACACGAGATGCACGAAATAAAGTTAACTCACTCGAGAGTCGGCAATCCAGCGGTACGCCTGCATGAGTGTGGCGGGGCCGAGGTACTCGTCCTGGTTCCACCAGTAGGACGGGCAGGACGTGCTGCAGCAAGCGCAGAGGATGCACTCGTACAGACCGTCGAGCTTTTGGCGTTCCTCGCGGCTCTGGAGGAACTCACCCTGCTCAGGCGGGTTGTCGTTCTGGAGGTAGGGCTTGATAGACTTGTACTGCTTGTAGAAGAGCGTCAGGTCCGGGACGAGGTCCTTGACAATGTACACTGTTGGTTGAACGGACATGAGCGTCGTGCGTGGGAGATAGGAGGGGCGGAAAGAATCGCGACCGGCGGAGTAGAGAGAAATGGGAGGGGTACGCACTGTGAGGAAGAGGGTAGATCTTGGAGTCCTTGCCGGCATTACGGTCGATGCGGCACAGGCAGGCAAGAGTGTTCTGGCCGTCGATGTTCATGGCGCAGGAGCCGCAGATACCCTCGCGGCACGAGCGACGGAAGGTCAACGTCGGGTCAATCTCGTTCTTGATCTTGATAAGAGCGTCAAGCACCTATTCATGATGAAATAGGGAGCGTTAGAGGTCATAGAGCGGATGACGTGCGGAGGAATATACCATAGGCCCGGTCTGGTTGAGGTCAATGGTGTATGACTGGAGCTCGGGCTTCTTTGCTGGTTCATCCGGGTTCTAGGGTCAATATGGTATTTCAGAAATCTGCTGACGAAGACCCTACAAGTTATGACATACCCAGCGGTAAATCTTGAACTCCTTGTTCAGGACCGGCTTCTCGAGGGGCTCAGCCTGTGCACGAGCAGCAGAGGAGGCGAAGGTGCGTGCGGGGAGGCGCCAGGCGGCAGACCTAGAGGCGCGAGCAGACTGAGCGAGGACGGTCTGCATCGTTCACGACTCGGAGGATGGTAGAGGAGAGAGTGAAGGAGCGTGGAGGATGAGGTCGGCGCTGAGATCACTGTCGCGTGAATTCGGAGAATCGCGACCGGCCTCCCTTTGCGGGCGTTGCCGAGGCCCGTCTCCGCCAATCAGAACACGCCTAATTCCATTCGCGAGTCCGATCAATTGCCGCTCGTCCTCCTCATTCCGCTCTCCATCTCTGACATTCATAATCATTACAACACACCGCCTAGAACATTCATCATGTCCGTGCCAGAAGATTCTCGTCTGACGGCCAAGGTTATCCTCCGAATAACGTGGACCTGCTCGATATAAGTCAGCTTAGCCACTGCGTGACTCGACAGGCCCGCAAGGCTATCGACGGCGGCAAGCCCGAAACCCGAACGATGGCGAGCGGGACAAGCAACCTCCTATTTGTAGGGTTCTGTCTCAGAGTAGGGATAGGGTAATAAATAAGAACTCGTCGAGCAGGAAGAGAACAAGCCGTCTAAGGGGTCAAGGAGCCCTCTGCGAAACTGCGAGAAGTCACGAAAGCTGTAAGTACATCACCCACTACAGTTTCGGAGACACCTGATTCACCGCTTCGCCAGGCCACGTCCCCCATTATCCGTCTCGGACAGTGTAGCGCTCTTTTTAAGGGCACCAGGTCAGCCCACGAGCACGGTGCGTGCTTTTGAGGCTGTAGGACAGCACCTCGATTTGCAGATTCTTGGCTTCCTGCCTTCGGAAACGCCATCGTTTCTCCCCTGTCTCCCGGCCTTGTGACCATGCTGCTGTGGTTGGAACCGTCGAGTCTGTGCGGACAAGGGGCGCATTGCAGATATCCGAGCTCGCGAGTCAGACGGGAGGGAGTACCGCCCATGCTTGGCATTTTGCATCACATGCCCACGACATGATGCTTCCGTTATGGGCGCTTATTCATATCCAACGTTGATTTAGGACCTGCAGGGACGGGACCGTGCTCTCGTCTCGACGGGTTCACCTTCCAAGCAGCAGTGGATGGATGACGCCTACGTACCGTGGGCTAGCTGACTGTGTCTAGAAGTTTACCGCCTTCTCTGCATCTATCGGGTTGGCGCATGTGTTGTAAACAGACGCCGAAACATTGTTTGTGCATCAATCAAGCTGAGTTTGACAGAGTTTGACATGCACTGGCAATCCGACGCGTCGAGGCATGCCACTGCGCCAAGCCTTTCCCATTCCGTGTGTGCCTGATGTGCGACACATCCACCTTGCATCCGAAAAACCGTAAGTAGATTTAATGAGTTTTCACGTCACCTTTTAACATTTCTTGGCACAGTGAGCCTTGCGTGCACATAAAATCCAGCGTCCTTCGGCGTCTTGCCTTTGTGCGTTTCCTGCCTTCTGATTCCCAGTTCGCCCAGGGATCCTCTCATCGCGTCCATCGTCTGCACTCATACACGAAGTCACGATGCGTTTCGCTACCCTCTTTACGCTTCTTCTCCCCATTCTGGCCGTCGGCGCCCAGGATATCCCTCGGTCCCAGAAGGAGAACAAGACTGGGACGACGTACAAGTCCACGCTCTCGCTCCTCTTGTACAAGCGCGAGGAGTATCTTCGCGCGACTCGCGGTAACGGCGAGCTCGAGAAGCGCGCTTGCCCTAGCGGATATAGTAAGTAGAGCAAAAATGACGAATGCTAGTGTGATGCTCATGTTCCGATCACAGATCAGTGCGCGAACTACCCCGACGAGTGCGCGCCTGTTGGCTCGTTCTGCGTACGCACCTTATCCGTGATACATATGGAGGAATTCTGACATGTCTTACAGTGTAACTCGTTGTACAACTGTCCTAATGGTGACACCGTGAGCTTTCCTCTCTCAAACACTTTTGTGCGAAAATATTAACAGTCTGTCTCATATAGTGCTACGGCATCGACGAGTGTTGCTCGGGCGGCTCTCAGACGTGTGGCGGTACCGCGTGCTGCGTCTCGGGCTCGGAGTGCTGCCAGGACGATGGGTGCTGCAAGCCCGGCTATTTCTGCTGCAACGACGCTACTGGCGGATGTGCGTTCCTTCTCCTTGACCCCGTTCTTTTCCCCGCTCCTGATATCGATCCGCTGACGCTCGCCGTCACTCCAGGCTGCCCCAACGGCTACACCTGTAACGCCAGCGCCGACACCTGCTCTCCCGGTGGCTCTTCTGGCGGAGGCTCTCCCGGTGGCGGATCCACCGGCAGCAGCACAAGTGCCAGTGGTGGCGGAGGCTTCTCGTCCATGTCGTCCTTCAGCTTCTCGTCGGCAATGCCCACTACCGCAGGCTCCGGCGGCGGCGGCTTCACTGCCCCTACTCCGTCGAGCACTGGGCCGCTGTCGGGAGATGATGGGAGCAACGGTGGGAGTGGCGGTGGTAGCTCGAACCCTTTCGGAGGTACGTTGATCTGTTTCTTCGTTGTGCCTGGCAGGGTTTCTTACACGTCGTGCCTTTTCTTGTAGCTGCTGGTGGCGGTGCGGGACACAGCGCGCATGCCTGTCTTTCAGCCATGATTGCCGTCGCTGGCGCTGCTGGATTTGCATTGCTCTGATTGCTTGAGGAAACGGTTTCGTCTTGGGCTTGTCTCCTTTCATCTTTATTTTGTGATTCTTTGGATTGTTTCTCTTCTACTGGGAACCCTAGGCTCTTTACTATCAAAAGTCCATCAGACTGCCGTTGTCGTATATACAGATATCGTTTCCCACCGAACTCAACGTTTTGTAACGTTTTGTAAGATCTTTGAATGCCATGCAGATATGTCAGGACTCTCGTCGCAAAGAATGCCAGAAGCAACACACTGCGTGTCTGAATGGAAGTTATAGTTCCACAAAATCAGAACCCTGCATCTCCCGCCGGCCCCTGCCAAGCTTAGACTCACTCAACGACCTTCCGTCGTGACACCTACTCTGTGCCTCTACGACGTCAGATCAGGACCGTGGAAATATACGTTGCATCGCATTTCGTGATAAGCTGCCAGTACTTCCCGCAAGGCTCTGTACAGGAAGTAAAGCCGTGTCTTGACCCCATTCTACTCACTCATATAATGCTCCTCCAACGGGAGCGTAACGGTAGCTGTGCACAACTTGAAACTCTGAACCGACAGCGTTGAAGCATTAAAAGGGAATGCCTTCAGGTAACGGTACTCTTATGTGGACAGAGGCGAAGGAGTCTAGCTCGGAGGATCGGAGGGTTCGCCAACTGTGGCAGTGCTCGACAAGACGCGCGCTCCGTTGTCCGGTGCTGAGTCCGCCGTCATGGACACAGCCGCGACAAGGACATCTGCTCATCTCCCCAACTCCTCCCCGCCCCCTGTATTATAAATCTCAGCCCACCTTCTGACTCAGACGACTAGAAATGCCTAGAGAGGACACGCAAACACCACCAGCACGCGCCAAGAAGGCCCTGCCCGCCTGCGACTCATGCAAGCACCGACGCGTACGGTGTGACCCGGTGCCTCCTCCCGCGTCATGTTCTCGTTGTATCACAAAGGGAATACGGTATGTCAACTATGTAAGGAAAGTTAATGCCTTTCTGAATTGGATACAGCTGCACGACCACACCTGTGGTACGCAGACCAAGAGTGCGGACGGGGAAACGGATAGAGGAGGCCAAGTGAGTGTCCCTGCAAAACATACTGTCATTTGGTTATCGAGCTTCCTACAGAGAGATGCATGGCACGTCTCAAAGCGTTGCAAGTCCATCTCCAGTTGTCCGCGCCGAGGATGCCATGGTCGACCTCGAGATTACCGGCGATTTGGTTTCCCATCTCCTTCTTCGTGAGTACTTTCTGGGATCAATAGCGTCGCGCGCTCAGCAGGACGCGTACAAGTCTACACGCACACCCCTAGGGCGCAGTTCTTCCCCTGCTTTAGTATGATGGCCGCATTTGAATCGGTCGGTCGTCGTCTTACTACCCTCCCCCCTCGATCGCAAACACTCGCCCTTGCCATTGCCGCTACGGCTGCGCGCATATCCTCACACCCAGTGTTGCTCGGTTCCGGTCCCATGCCACCGGCTTTGTCATCTTTCTTCTTCAATCCGATGTCGATAGCGGAAGACTCGACGTACGACTTTGGCAAGCGACGTGAAAACGCTTGCGAGAAGCTGCGTCAGCTGGCACTCGAGCAAGCCTGGAAGTCAAACGTTTTAGAGGCGGACGGACAGGAAGCGCTCGAGACTTGCTACCTACTTTATGCGCTTGAGAACAGTGAGCGTCTTACGCCGGATGATACGTGTCAACTACTAACCTGTGGTTCTCCAGGGGATCCCACTCGAAGTAAGACTACGAATATATGGGCGACAGCCTTCGTTTCAGTTCTCCGTTTGGCCGTAGGATCACGACAGATACACACGTTCGATCCCGAGACAGGCACATATAAGCTACCCTATTGCCCCTCGGCGCCTCCTGTTCGTCAAGTCAGCCTGGACCAGCTCGATCCCCCAATACATCAACTATCTCTCCAAGCGTCACGCGTTGAGGACATGAACGTTACTGTCAAAGCCAATTCTAGTCCCGATACCTCGAGCAAGTCTCCTCTGCCGCTTGAAGTCATTCAACAAGAGCTTTTCTGGTACGAAGATTATCCTGGACCTTCAGGAATGGCCATCAGATGGGCAATCAATATTGTACGTTCGATAGTGGAGAACATCTTACCGGCGCTTACGCAATGAGCTTTTAGATGCAAGAGGCACTTGCAAGCGCTGCTTATGGCAAAATTTGTCCATAGTGAGCTATCTACCCATGTTGCACTTTCGTCACCGACAACCATGTATGTTTGAAAGTACTCTGCAAGACGAGGTTATGTTGGCCGGACCGCCACCTCCGACGCCTCAAGAGATTCTCACAGAAGAAGAGGCTCTAGAAGACTTCCAATGGTGGGATACCCAGAATTTTTGGGCTGTCGTGAGGCCTTGTAAGTACATGAGCTATAGTCAACGGACATCAGGCTCGATAAAATCGCTGCTTATAGATACGTATCAGATCACCCAGATGGCGCTGAACAGCTTCGATTGGAGCTCCCGTAAGCCTTTCCTTATACTATCAAACCTATCGTTGGCTCGTTCTAAGTCTGACCGACCATCGAAAATCGTGCGTCCCAGGTCAACGCTCCGGCCGGCCCTTCTCCATGACCAGGCTCAGGGAGCACATGTCCGCGCTCAAGCCTCTCCACGCCATCCTCTCCCTCGCGTACACCCGATTTACAGTAGCATTCGGCTCCGAAGCAACAGCCATGCGCATCAACGCGCATCAGCCAGAAGCCATCGATAGACACACTGCCAGCAGGGTGGCAAACCGGCGGGAGTTTTCTGACCGCCAGAACGCGTGTCTTGTCTTGGGCGCGATGACGCATGCCATGGCGCATGTGAACATCCCTATCTGGACGGACGTCGAGATACGACTGCGGTCATGGTCGGGTAAGGGCGATGTGAGCGACGCGGCGAAGTGGGAGTTGGAGCAGGTTATGGTGGGGCTGAGGCGGGCGCTGCTGCCGTATGCGTGTCGGACGCTTGGCGAGGACTGGCAGGGCGCAGGGGGGAGGACGAGCATCTCATGGCTTACTCTACGCTGTAAGTTATCTTCGCAACCCCGCGACTCGATGCTGACTGGGCTCTAGGCTGGGATTTCTCTCAGTTTTGGACAGCTGTCGTACTGAATTCTGTCCCGATAGAGGAAGGCGGCGAAGGCATCACTCGGGTTCAGAAACTGGAGGCACTCGAGACGTACGTCTGGTGTTCTGTACATCCCACTCATAAAAGCCTATATCTCACGTTCGTCCAGGGTTTTGCAAGTCTACAAAGCGACCTCGTGGTCATGGCCGCGTATGAACGATTCCACGACAGCCTCACAGCTCAGGAAGGTTGTCGGGGCTCTGAAGCTCGAACGAATGTTTGACGAGCTCTATGACACTAGTGGCTTTCTATTGAGCAAGGATCCGAGTCACGGAAGCAACGTCGTCACTCCTTCAGCTTGCGATCCGGTTGAGTTGCAGTCCAAGTCCGGTGGCTCCATATCGTTTGACCTTCCTGATGTCGAGGCTGTCATGCGTGCATCGGGCTCGCTGGGAGAGCCGGTGCAGCAAGCATCCTCAAGTAATGGTTGGAGTGACCCGGTTATACCTAATCCTGGGGATCTTTCGAACCTCGCTGCGCTGTATGGTGCTTACGACGAACGGATGCTCACGTCACAGCCCATAGGCCAAGGGTACGATAGTGCATGGGACGCGTCTTGGCTACAATAGGGTTACACATGAGCGACGCACAGACGCAACGTTTCGCGAGTAATTGTATCGGCGCGTTCACTCTTCTCTCACAGATATCGCCAACTGATTGACCACCTAATTCCTACACCAGTATTGTACATAGATGTTATCTCTTACCGATGGAACTCGGAGCTTTACTGTCGGCTCTGGAGCAGACTAGCAGTCTTCCTCTCGAAGAAACGTGTCATAAGATCCTGTGAATGTTTGAGTTACTAACCCTCTTGGTCGGTCGATCCCATCATACGCACCTCGTACCACGCCTCTTTCACGCTCGGCCGCTCGAGAAGACGATCCCCATAAGCTGTGAACTTCGCCAATTCCGGAGATTCCAGCGCCTCCTTGGTCGCAGCTAGTCGCTGCCCGTACAGCTCCTGTCCAAGGCCCTTGTCCACGATGAGCCTGATCAACGCCCATGTGGGCGCCACAGCCGCGTCCACAATCGTGAATTCGTCTCCGATCGCGTACAGGCCCTTTCCTTCTTCAGGAAGCAACACTTGCAGCGCCTTGATCCCGTCGGCAAGCCCGCTCACGCCAGACTCGGAGCCTCGCAGCCACCCAAGAAACGCAGGGGTAAACTTGGAGCCGAATGTCTCGATGAAGAAGCGCGCCTGGGCGCGTTTGACAGGGTCAGAAGGTAAGAGACCAGAGGACGGGTAGAGGTCGGCGATGAACTCGAGGATGATCACTGATTCCGCGATCTTGGCAGATTCGGGTGATGGCTGGTCAGGCGGGACGGAGGGTCCGCCGTAAGTGATTGCTGGGACCTTTGATATCACGATCGAAGCGCGTGGACGTGAATACGGGTCAAAGGCAGGTAACCAATGAGTTTCTGATGGGCAGTGACAAAGAGCGAGGATTTACCTTCCCGGCTGGGTTCACAAACTTGACGTACCAGTCTGGTTTGTTCTCAAAGTCGACATCACAGGTCGTGTAATGAGCCTTTGCCTCATGAAGGGCTATCGCTACCTGCAACGCATTGTTAGGTAACTTTGTCCATCTCCTGGGTATACGTTGTTAGCGCGCGAGCTCTTACCCTTATCGAGAAGACGCTATACTAGATGTACACACGCAAACGTAAACTTAAGTTATCATATCTTCAAGTACATACTTTGAGCAACTTACCTTGCTGCCGTAGTACGTGAGCTGCTCTGGCATGGTTGTTAGATGACGGAAAGTCGTCAAGGTCGGGAAATAGGCGCTCAAGCTACCGTATTTATACTCCCCAACTTGTCCCCAACTGATGCTGAGCGCTGAGCCTTGACTGATATTGATTGACTCATGTTCCTAGCGACGGGTTCGAGTGATGCCAAGCGCCCGCAGCGCCCGCCGTGTCGTCAAACCCCTGAAAACAAGCAACTACTTATCCAAATCAGACTGCGCGCTGAAAGGTCGGATCTCAATCTACAAAGGCGAAAGGGTGGGATGTCGTAGACTTGAAGCTTAGATCATTTCCCGCGAGACCGGATAATAACGCAATAGGTCCGGAGGCAAAGATCCGACGTGAACATTGAACATGACTACTTGTATATTTTATGGGGTGCTAGCATCTGCGTCAGAACAGGCAATTGAAGACAAACGTCGCTCCATCACTTCTTGATGAAACGAGCTGCTTTTCTAGTCAAGTACTCGTTGCAGTCCTCCTATGAATAAATGTCTCAGAGAACGCGCGTTGCATGTACAGCTATCTCACTCACCGGATACCAGGTCGCCTTCACGCTCGGACGCTCCAAAAGACGATTTGCATAGGCCCTGAACTTGGCAAGTTCTGGGACTCCCAGCAACCGTATGGCGGAGGAAATGTGTTGTTCTTTGCCAAACGCCTCCACCCCGATGTCCCTCTCTGTGATGAGCCTGAACCGTGCCCACATCGGCGCGAACGCTGCGTCCGCGATAGTGAACTTGTCTCCGACTGCGTACGGCCCCTTGCCCTCCTGGGACAGCAGAGCCTGCAGCGCCTTCGCACCATCTACCATGTCGTTCGGTGGCGCTCCGCGCATCCATGCGAGCATCACAGGCCAGAACTTGGTATCGAGGGTGCTGATGAAGAAGCGGACCTGGGCGCGTTCCACTGGGTCGGCAGGCAGCAGGTCGGAGGATGGGAAGAGGTCAGCAAGGAACTCGAGGATGACGATTGACTCGGTGATCTTCGCAGACTCGGGCGAGGGCTGATCAAACGGCACCACCGGTCCTCCGTATGTAATAGCTGGGATCTGACCGGGAAATTTAAGTTATCGAATGAACATAGGAAATCGGTTGACGAGGCCGAAGTATGATTGACCTGTGCAGTAGCAGGATTTGCTTTAAAAAGCCACTCAGGCTTGTTCTCGAAGTCAACCTCGCAGTGGGTATACTGCGCATTAACTTCGTGTAATGCGATATTCGTCTACAGCATTGTTAAATACCACTTGCACTCGAGATGATATAGATATAGAGGTGCATACCCTCTGCGCGAAGACGCTTATCTAGACGCCTGCTGTAAATATGACGTCATAAAAGCCCCTAAGGTCCTCTCACCTTATTGCCGTAGTGAGTGATTTGGTTGGACATGTTCGAATTCTCGAGAGGGAGAGGAAATGGGCCTTTGCGAGAGCTGCGAAGTCTGCGTACCCCCGAGTTCTTATATCTCCTGAAGGTTGACGCAGGGAGATCGAAGTCAACTGACAGATCCACAGTTTGATATCAGCGTCTGACCGAATTGTTCCCCAAGTCTATTGTTCTGCCTAGAAATGCTCTCAATCCGGGTCGTAGATCCCGGTAGATAGCCGTATGTTATGCTATATAAGCGGCTTCATAAGCAGAAAGAACTCTGAGGACCGGGAAATACCCAATGTGACCGTTGTTCAGGCACATGTGTTTGTGAACATCAATCGACCGGCACACATGGTTGCCGGCCGAGTAACTCAGTCTACGATGACCGCTTTGCGTAACTTCAGGTTCTTGCTTCTCAGGTAGAAGGTAGCAGACGTACCTGGGGTAACGTACAAGGTTGCCTTTATATTCTTAGACAGCATGCAGAAGGGTGATTGTGCTAGTTACTTGGGCGGGCCAAAGCGATAAAGTCTCTGAGCCATTTCTCCTGCCGCTCCTGCAACGTTGGTCAGTACGCTGTAATTCAAGACCATCTGCAAGTGAATACACACTTGGTCAACCGCAGCATTGATACTGGGCCGTTCTAGCAATCCACTCGCATACTCCCTGAGCCTCGCCAACTCTGGCGCATTGAGAGCCTGAGTAATATCATTCGGCTGCGCAGCCTCATGAAAACAGACCTCCCTCTCCGACATGACCTGGAGATTAGAATAGAACGGCGCGAACGCGATGTCCGCCAGCGTCAGGCGGCCTCCGACTGCGAACTCAGCACCAACCGGTAGAAGGACCTGCAGTGCTATAGCACCCTCGATGATACCTTTCCACGGAGCGCCGCGATAGAACCAGGGTGTAATCCCGGGCGCGAACCTTGTGTTGATGACGTCGATGAAGCGCCGGACCTGGGCTCGCTGCACAGGATCTTGAGGCATAAGACCAGAGTCGGGGTACAGGTCGGCGATGAACTCTGCGATGATGAGCGATTCGGCGAGCTTGACCGAGTCGGGAGAGGGTTGGTCGGGCGGAACGTCTGGGCCTCCGTGGGCCACTGCAGGGACCTGAGTGATGTATGAGCATGAAAGCACAGAGACGAGGGCTAAAACGCGTACTTTTCCTACGCCATTGACCTTCTCGATGAACCATGTGGGTTTGTTGAGTGGATCGATCTCAAAGGGCGTGTATTTGGCGTTCGCTTCCTGAAGCGCTATTCTGACCTGAAAAGGCTGTTAGCCTCTGGAAGAAAAGTGCAAACATATACAAGGCGGAGTTACCCTTTGGGCATACGGACTGCACTAAGCGCTAATGAGCACCTCGATTGTATCGTTTGGCTGCGAAACCACTTACCGGAGCATCGTAAAACACGAGTCGTCGAGACATTTTGATCACCCAATGTAATCTGAGGGTGCAGATGGACAGCCCAAACGTTCGACAGGCATCTTGCCTGTGCTTATATTTGAGCAACCGGTGGCGCGAATGCGCTTCCTATGAGTCAACGTTGCTGCGAGCTATGTCGTCATGAGTCAAAGAGTCCGTATCCAAACTCAAAACTTGGCACGAAACGGAGGCAGCTTGTGCCTGTGGAAATTGAAGTTTAACCATCATTCTAAGATTCGTAAAGGGCGGGATATGGAACACAAACTCGTAGAACGGGGTCAATATGAACATTCAGAACTGAGAACTGACTTGGAGATTGACCAGCTTCTGATATGTTCCCGACGACGACGGACGTGTAAAGTTTGCTTGTCCAGAACGACTCCACACGTCCTGATAGTTTCGTGATTAACACGCTCGATCCGCATCACACGTTCGCGATTCCGGGCGATGGTAGCAAGCTGAGGGACATAGCGAGGATTCGGAATGGTCGCATGATCCAGGAAAACGTCGCCCAACGCGCGCGCCATTTTCCAAAGTTCTCACGCTCAGTGAGGCAAAGTCATGCGCTTCCGAACGCCCTTGCACACTTTGCAGCGTGACACCGGGGCGCAGTTCCCCCATCACTGGTCCAATATCTGTAAGAAAATTCAAATGTAATGAAATTTCACTTAGACAGTTGCTCAAACACTCACGCAACGGTGTCATGCTGGCAATGTAGCGCAAAGCTACCCTACTTCCCCTCAGCCTCAGCGCCTCCTCCCCGTCAAGTCAGCCCTGAACCAACTCAGTCCCTCAAGTATATAGATAATCTTTTGGAGCGTCCGACCGTGAAGGCGACCTTGTATCCGATAAGCGACTCTGATGTACGCGTAACGTTCTTCGAAGCATTTGTTCTGAGGCGGACTGCTACGAGTACTGTCTTTTTTCGACCAAAAGTTCGCGGGGTGGCGTGGGAAGATGACTACCAAATACGGCGTGTCCCGCTTTTTGGTTCGTGAGGGTAGTTGGGTGCGGGACAAGGTTCGTCGGGCTTTTTGGGCATGGGACAAGAGTTCATCGGGGATGGGATACCGGTAGGACCCCCGAATATCCCTACCAAGGCTTGGTGCCGACCGAACCCCAAATGTCCGGACCAGACCACAAAAATAGGACCAAAATGTCCGCCAAATTCCCCTGGCCTCCCAGTATAAATTCCAAGAAATTTGCACAGTTTTTGCATTGGTCAGATTTTTAACTACAAACAGTCATTCAGTCGATGCACGGTCAAGGGAGGCTTCGACCTCTCGTTTGAGTCGCTCTCTAGCTCAGCCGCCCTCAAGATCCTCCGTGATCTCCCCCAATCTAACCCGGATCTCTGGGATCGGATCTCCACACCTCCTGCATCCGAGAAGGAGGACATTGAGGCTCAGGTACCTGACGCCGACGTTGATCCCTTTGAGATGGAGGACGATTCCGATGCCGACGATATGTGGATGGATTCGGCTGATGTTCTGGGTAGGATTCTGTACCCTGACGGCTCAAACGGGGCCGAGAATGGCCTCGACGTCACAGATGAGCATGAAGCGGACGTTGAGGCTGCTCATATGCCTGAACCGGACACTTTAGGCCGTGGTAAGCGCCGAAAGACGTCGAACAAGAACTTCAGCGGGTTCTTCGGGCACTAGGTAGTCTTAGAATGGTTGTAGGAGCTTATTTAATGAATACATATGCGTTTTTCTGCTATTTACGGTGTGTCCCGCTTTTTAGTTCGCGGGCGTCTACAGATGCGGGACAAACTGACCAAAAAGTTCATGTCACCGGTCCGGTGGGACACGGGACGAACTTTTGGTCGAAAAAAGACAGTACTCACATCCATCGTGTTGCCTGTGCTGAAGCAGAAGGCAAGAGCTCGTTATGAGAACGAAGATGCCTACCCCTGTCCAATGCTCGTATAAGACCTTGGCCTCCTTTTTTCATTATGATCTAGACTCACGGGAAATTTTGGAAGCTCAAGCAAAGTTCAAGTGACATCCGTGATTCCGTCCTTTTGCAATGAGTTCCGACCTTTTAGTGCTCAGTCTAATTTGGACTGTTGCTTCTTTTCGGGAGTTTTCCTAGATGACACGGCGGGCGCTGAACGTATTTGATTTAGACCCGTTGCTAGGAACACGGGTCAGTCGACAATAGTCAAGAGTCAGTGAGTATAACTTAGGCTCTCAACCTTGTCGACTTTCCTTCACCTCACAGCCATGCCAGAGCAGCTCACATACTACGGCAGTAAAGTAAGTTCAAGCTGCGCAGAATGCTGATATGAAAACATTGCAACTTACCGTCGTGTTTGCGTGCACGCGACTAGTACAGTGCATTCTCACTTAGAGTAAGATCCCCCGCGTCGATAACTTATCACCAGAGGAAGGTGACAACCTATGACTTCTTTGCAGGTAGCGATAGCCCTTCATGAGGCAAACGCACATCACACAACCTGTGAGGTTGATTTTGAGAATAAGCCAGACTGGTACGTCAAGTTTGTGAACCCAGCCGGGAAGGTAAAGCTTTGCTTTCTCCCGCTCTCATCCAGATCTTCGAGACTCATTGCAACAATCTACCTTGTACTGCATCGCAGGTCCCAGCGATCACATACGGCGGACCCTCCGTCCCTCCTGACCAGCCATCACCCGAATCTGCCAAGATCGCGGAATCAGTGATAATCCTCGAGTTCATCGCCGACCTCTACCCATCCTCTGGTCTCTTACCTTCCGATCCCGTCAAACGCGCTCAAGCGCGCTTCTTCATCGAGACACTTCACAGCAAGTTTATCCCTCCGTTTTTTGGGTGGCTAATAGGTGCCGAGCCTGGCGTAAGCGGGCTTGCTGAAGGGATCAAAGCACTGCAAGTGCTGCTTCCTGAGGAAGAGAAAGGTCTGTACGCGATCGGAGATGAGTTCACGATTGCGGACGCGGCCTTTGCACCTATGTGGGCGCTGATTCGGCTCATCGTGGACAAGAGCCTCGGAGAAGAGTTATACGGTCAGCAGCTAGCTGCGACTAAGGAGGCGCTGGGGTCTCCGGAGTTGGCGAAGTTCACGGCATACGGAGATCGTCTTCTTGAGCGGCCGAGCGTGAAAGCGACATGGCACGAGGTACGATGGGCTCGGTCGGTACAAAGGCCCATATTCTTACACGCTCACAGGATTTGGTTATACGCTACTACGAAAGGAGGACTGCTAGTCTGCTCAAGAGCCGACAGTAAAGAGTGCCGTAGGAGGATTGTACTAGTTACTTGTGCGGGCCCAAGCGAGAAGGTCTCTGAGCCATCTCTCCTGTCGCTCCTGCAACACTAGTCAGGATTTTCTTATCAAAGACCCCCTGTGCGCAATTACATACCTGGTCGACAGCAGCCTTGAAACTGGGTCGCGCTAGCAGCCCATTAGCGTACTTTCTGAGCCTCGCCAACTCTGACGAGTTGAGCGCCTCAGCAACATCCCTCGGTTTCGCAGCTTCATGTAAATAAATGTCCCCGTCTGAAATGACTTGGAGAATGGAATAGAAAGGGGCGAATGCGATATCCGCCAGCGTCGGACGGTCTCCAACTGCGAACGCGGCGCCATCTGGGAGGAGATCCTGTAGCGCTCTCGCGCCCTCGATGATCCCTTCCCACGGAGTGCCTTGGTAGAACCAGGCCCCGATCACAGGCGCGAACTTTGTGTCGACGACGTCGATAAAACGCCGGACCTGGGCGCGTTGAACAGGGTCGCGGGGCATAAGACCAGAGTCGGGATACAGGTCGGCGATGAACTCTGCGATGATGAGCGATTCAGCGAGCTTGACCGAGTCGGGAGAGGGTTGGTCTGGTGGGACGTCTGGGCCTCCGTAGGTCATTGCAGGAACCTGGATCATGTATGAGCATGCATACACGAGACGAGGAATCAGACACATACTTTCCCTATAGGATTGATCTTCTCTGTGAACCATGTGGGTTTGTTGAATGTATCGATCTCAAAAGATGTGTATTTGGCGTTCGCTTCATGAAGCGCGATTCTGACCTGAAAAGGTTGTTAGTGTCTGAAGAAAGTGCGAACGTATGCGAGGCAGAGTTACTCTTTGTGCGTAAGCACTGCACTAAAAGTAGCTGATCAGCACGTCCGTTGCACTATTTGATTACGAAGCCACTTACCGAGGCTTCGTAGAACACGAGTCGTTCAGACATCTGGCTTCCTAGTGCAATGTGAGGGTGCTGTCGGTCAGAGCGGCTATTCGAGACGCATCGTGTACGGCTTTATACTAGAGATAGAGAAACATCGGTGCCGATGCGCCTTCCTATGAGTCAAGTCATGTAAGCTTTGTCCTCATCAAGACGACAGTACCGCCGTGAGAAAGCGGGGTTTCAAGTTGCCCTTCTCGATCGGCATCTGCTCTCGCCTGTTTCTCATGTCAGAGTATTGCGTCGTTTCTTCCTGGCTCGCTGCACTTGCGCATGCAGACAAGTCTTCCAATATTCTTCCTCTACGGTGAATTCCTATACATATTAGTAGACAGCATAAAGACATCATTATGCCTTCGAATTTTGAGTCATAGCCACAATGTTCTGAAGACACTCCTTGGTGGAGTCCTGTTTCGGGGGTTAAAATGATTAAAAATCATAGCTTGTTACATCACAAGCACATGAGACGTCACATCTCATCAAATGCAGCCCTCATACTTGGACACGCGAGCACGTTATCCATGTACGCCCGTGTAAGCTCCCGGGCCCCCGTAGCAGGATACGCTCCGATCCCATTCTCGTACATCAGCCTCAAAGCGCCAAGAATGGCATAATAGCGGATGTCCTCAATTATTAGTTTATCATCGACCCCATTGGCTGCGTCGATGATATAAGTTGTACTTTAGAAAGTAGTCCAAACAAACACTTGTTACGTGAAATTTCTCGATGAAAGCCCGCCACGAGGGCTACATATTTGTGGCGTAACATGAGCTAACCGCATCGCGACCACCATCGGTTGGTAGTCATGATATGGCAAGCGTGACTGAAGCAGCCGACAAAGCACTCGTAAACACACGGAGGAAACGATTTAGCTAATCGTGTCGGTGGGCCCCAGCAACAAATTTCCTCAGATACTTTTCCTGTCGCTCCTGTAGCACGAATCAGCATTGTATAACCACACGAAACTCGTACACTGATACACACCTGGTCGACCGCAGCCTTGATGCTTGGACGTACGAGCAGTCCGTCCACATACGCCTTCAGCTTCGCCAACTCTGGCCCGTTAACTATCTCAGCAACATCCCGTGGCCGCGCAGCCTCAGCAAGACAGAGCCCCTTCTCACACATGATCCAGAACATGGAATACAGAGGCACGAACGCGACGTCCGCCAGCGTCAAGCTCCCGCCCACCGCGAACGCAGCATCATCCGGGAGAAGATCCTGCAACGCCACCAGGGCGTCGACGATCCCTTGCCACGAAGCGCCAGTAACGAACCAGGGTATGATTTCGGGCGTGAATTTTGTATTGACGATGTCGACGAAGCGGTGGACGTGGGCGCGCTGCACGGGGTCGCGGGGCATGAGGCCGGAGTCGGGGTACAGGTCGGCGATGAACTCCGCGATGATGTGTGACTCGGCGAGCTTGACCGAGTCGGGAGAGGGTTGGTCGGGTGGGACGTCAGGACCGCCGTATAATATCGCAGGGACCTAACTATCGAGTGAGTACGTGTGTTATAAGGCGAGGAGTGTGACAGACTTTTCCTATGGGGTTGATTTTTTCGACGAACCATGCCGGCTTGTTTGCTGTGTCGACTTCAAAGGACGTGTATTCGACGTTTGCCTCCCGAAGTGCAATCCTGACCTGAATTTGTATATCAGCGTCCCTGAGCGAAGGACGATAATGCAGAACCTAGTTACCCTCTGTCCGAAGGGACTATTCTACGGATAGATAGTCAGTATTTCTAAGCACTTCATTGGGTGTGGTGGTACTTACCGCATTATCGTAGAGTACGAATCTCTGAGACATGTTGATCAACAGATACGAATTGAACGCGCCGGTAAATGACCCGAGCGTTCCAGAGCCACCATGCCTCGCTTTATACCAGCAAACAGCCCCTCGTCGGAATTTCTGCGCCTGGCCATCAACAGGAAGTATATCGCCGTGAGTGCGGACACCCATATTGATCTGTCAGAGCCCGCGTCAGAGACCAGCACGAGACGGGAACAGCGCAGACGAGCTCGACAGAGCTCGAGTTCGGACATTACTGCATCAGCTATTCGCCGGGATCGCTGGAAAATTAGTAGTTTTGACATGGGAATCGTACCAAATTAGCCGAAATTGGAGCGGAATATGCTAAGAAAGGGACCAAGTTCTGACAAATCACCGGCGACTGCGGGCTCTCTGACTGCAGCGAGCAAACGACATAGTCTGCGGCAAATTGAGCGAGCCTTATCAAGCCGCGCCATTCATGGTTAAACCAGTGCGACGGAGAGGTTGGCTAACCAAGAAACGAGCGCCGAGGGAAACAGTGGGGTTTCGGTAGTGATTACAAGCGCCAGAAGGGACGAGCTGGAGACGCGAGTTGAAACGTTGACGCGAGGTCATTTTGCGAACATTCTCACGATTAGCCCCTGAGTCTAAGGTGACCGTAACATCAGAGGTTCAAAGAAATTCATGTCATTCATCCCGTCTCGTCTCGTCTCGTCAGAAAAGAAGAAGAAAAACAGCAGAGTACAGTACAGTAATATTACTCAATAGGATATCCAGAGCCATGCTAGCAGCGCAGTGTGCAAGTGTGCAAAAACGAGGGAGGCTACAGTAACTAACAACAAACCCCGATGTCCCAAGTAAGAAACGAAACCACCAAAAATAAGAAGCAAAGTGCAAAAGGCAGCTACTTTTGTGATTCAACAAGAAGGCTAGAGCTTCTCGTCAAAACGGGCCTCGGGAAGGTTGTTCAGCGCGTCCTCCTGCTTGTCGAGCTTGCGCACCGCGATCCAGAAGACGACACAGCCGACACCAGCGAGAATCGTCGCGACGGCGTAGTTCCACACGAGCAGCGGGTCCGTCGCGAGCGGGTTGAACGCCTCGCCGATCGCGCTCGCGAACGCGCTCTGGAAGAGGAAAATGGACATGACCACGGAGCGCATGTTCCTGGGCGCCTTCGTGAACGCGTACTCGAGCCCGGTGATGCTCGCGAAGATCTCGGAGAACGCGATGAGCACGTATGACCCGGTCTGTGCCCACACGTTGATGGGCGACACGAGCGGGTTGCCGTCCGCGTCCACGCACGTCGCGGCTTGGTGCCCGCATGGGTTCGTCTTGTAGAGGTAGTACTGGATTACGCACGCCCAGATCATGGCGAAAGAGGCGGTGCCGAAGCCCCATGCGATCTTCTTGAGCGCGGTGAACTTGATGCCGGCGCGGGCGAGGGCGGGGTAGATGAACAGGTCGCAGATGGGGATGAAGATGATGAGCGCGAAGGGGTCGAGGTTGTTCAGCACGTCGTTGGGCACGCCGTGCGTCGACATCGTCGCCGCCTGCGAGGTCAAGTTACTCGTAAGCTGGTTGTATGCGAGCCCTGTATAATTTAGGGGACAAAGCGTGAGCATTAACAAACACCCCGACCAACGGGCTATCGACACGTACAGTAAAGCGGGTACCAGAGGAAGACCGCGCATGCCTTGACGCCACGGCGGACCTCGTCGACCCACACGTCGTCGAACGTCATCCAGGCGGGGCGCGTCTCGACGGTATGCTTGCTCGGCTTCACGCTCTCCCAGAAGTCGTCCGCGCGCATGTTCCGCATCGTCGTCACGGGGTTGAGCGACCAGCGACCCTTGGCTGCGTAGCGCCAGAGGCGGAGGCACGCGGCGAGGACGGAGCCGGTGGGTGCCGAGCGGCGATAGCGGGTCTTGCCCCACATGAGGACGGGAATGCAGAGCAGGAAGACGATGGTGGGCAGCGTATATGCGAGCCAGTAGCCGACATACTTCTCGGCGTAGACCATGCCTACTTGGCCGATGAGGGCGCCAATGTTGATGAACAGGTAAAAGTACTGTATTACGTTAGATTTTATCAGCGCTTAATCGAACTGAGGTCTCTGCGGTACATACCATGTAGATGCGCGAGACAGTCATAGTCGGGTCGACGATCACGCGCTCGCCGCTGGGCAAGACCTTAATGAACAGCTTCGTGCGGCGGTACTGCTCAGCAATGAGCGGAGAAATGTTGGCCTTGAACATGCCCGCGCCGAGACCGGTGACAATCATGGAGAGGATGAAGACGCCGAAGGATGCGTTGCCGCCGATGATGCCGGGGATGGCACTGATGATCATGAAAACATGGCCAAGCAAGGCGATGGCGACAGAGACACAGATGGTCTTGTAGCGGCCCCAGTAGGTGTCGGCGATGTATGCGCCGAAGAGGGGGACGAAATAAGCCCAGAAGCTGTAGAAGGTATTCAGACCGTTGGCGGCCTGCTGACCCTTGCCGAGGGCACCTGCTTGACCGTTGGGGTCGGAGGAGGAACCGGTGGTCGAGCCCGGAGGCATGGGCTGCTGAATGTAGTTGACCTGATAGATGAATAATAATAAAAAGCGGGTCAGATCACGAGTCGAGACAAGTGAGAGTTGGTGAGACTCACAAAGACGATACTGGAGCCGTAGTATGAAAATCGCTCAGCGAGTTCGACGAAAGCGATCGCATAGGTGTTCCAGGGGATGGCGTCCTGGACGCGACGAAGGGTGGCGAGCTCCTCGACAGTGGGGAACTCGAGGCCCTCGTGAGCGCTGTCGGTCTCGAAGGAGTCATCGACGTCAGAACCGAGATCCTTCTTCTCGAGGGAGGCGTTGTACTCGGCCTGGTGTTTGAGCATCTCGCCGGTGGCCATGACGGCATCGGTGTCCTGCTGGAGCCCTGCCATCTTGTCTGGGCTGCTGACAGAGGGGAGAGGATACTGGCAGAGACGCAGAGGAAGGGAGTTGGGAGGCACGATAGGCACGAATGATGGGATTTTATAACGGTGGTGTGGGGAGGAGGATGTCGAGAACGCATGATGGGTGGAAGGTGCAGATGCACATGGGACACGACGCGGGCCGATTGGGTGATTGATGGGGCCGTACGGATGTTGTACGTTGGTTTGACAGGATTTCAAGCCTGGCCAGCTCCGATGATTGGCCAGGCCATGATAGTTCTCGAGTGGCCTTGTATTGGAACGTTCCAATCTGTTGTCGAGACGCGTTCCATCTGGACGACGGGGGTGTTCCGTTAGCCCCAGCGGTTAGGTAGAGCGGTAGGACGAATGGGCAGATAGAGAGAAATGACTGCTATAGATAGCGACAGGATGGAGGTTGGTTTGGAGACCAGATGGACGCATTCCTTGGCAAGCTTATCATGTTTGAAAACCGGAGGCGCTGTGCCTGTCTCGTCCAGCAGATTGCTACTCCTGGCGTAACTTGGTCGCCTCTCCAACGGAACAAGCACTCTCCTCTTCTCGTCCCGAGCACGGAGCGACCTAGAGCGACTAGCAAGATCCGTTGCGGATGGGATGAGTGCACAGGCGGTCGAGCGTCACATGAGATGGTTGGACATGGTATAATTAACCGGGAGAGAAGGAAAAAAAATGTCGAAGGTCCAGTTCGCGGAGATTCAATTGATGTGTGCCTCGCCGTGCCTGAATAATCCAGCTCCATTACAAGCTTTCGGCCACTCTCATAACTTTATCCCACTCATCGTCAACACCATGATGCCCAATTCACAACCACACCCGCCACCACTAGCCGACTTGTCCTATGAGCCTGTGTGATTTGACGCCATTCACTCTCATCTCGCCTCTTCGCCCCCCCTCGTCGGCCAACGCGGTCTTTAGACGTACCATTTTTCGTTGACCAAGGGCTAACTTCTCCAATCTCGGTTACAACCTTACCCTACCTTACCTGCCCTCCGTTCTTTGCTCCAGACCGATCCCCACGGGCAGACGTCCCTCGGCAACCACTGGAATGCTATCGGGGTATCCTCTTAGCCGTCCGCTACAGCCCATCACTGTTAAGTATGAGCCGCCTGGAGACTGTCAGTAGCCGTCAAACGCTTTGCATTGTCCAAAAAACAACAAAAAGACGCGCGGCACATGACAGCGTACATCGCGCCTTGCGAGCACAACGCACACGACTCCAGCCACTGACATCGGTACTAGTGCCAGCAGACTCTTTTTCTTTCCTCTTTTTAAGTCTTTTTACCAATTTGTCTCTCCACGGTGACGTCGGCTCGTTATCAAGGCACGTTCGGCATCGGCGCATCGGCACTCGTGTGCCTCGCTGGTCTCCATATTCCTTATCATGCCTATCTCCCCGCTATGTGTATGTTTTCCGGCTCTCTCCGGGTCCCTAACTGATCACAGCGGGCCCGAGACCATGTTATGCCGTTGTGCCTGGTCAGTGCCTGATCACAAATGATCGCAAGAGCGCAAACTGACTTTCAAGGTTGGGTAGGGTTGGGTGTCCTGAGATGCCTCCGCCTTACAGTCTTGTAGATTCCATCACCCGATCTTGAACCTTTCCATAGCCCATGTGATTCAGCTGCGACACCTTGCGACACTCGATTGCGCTCAGGGCACCCTCATATTACTCGCTCTGCTAGAAACACTTTCCGAAATACCTACGATCGACGCCGGTCAAGTTGGGGACTACTACCTCTATGAATACGCCCATGGTTACTGCATGACTCTCCATCATGATCGCCTGCTTTCCAGCTTCAGTATTTCAACAGCGAGTGAAAAACAAACACTCAACACTTTTTGTCCGAAACCTCGTCCTAGGATGACTAAGCGTTTGTTCTAGCCGGCTGGTTTGTTAATCTGCTGGTTAACGCTCACCGAGAATTTTGGCGGGTAAGCGCGCAATTTGACCCAATAGTATTTTTCATCGTAAGCACTCCCGCTTATGCCCTGGTCAGCGATGACTAACATTGGTCACTGAAGAATAGACTTTTGTCCTTATTCTGGAGATGACTCCGGGTATATCAGTTTCTCGTTGTCCCACTTGAATGACGCCACCACTCCCTCCCCTGTCTCCGTTTCGACTGTTCTGATACTGAAGCTTGAAAGTCACCATGCCGGAGTAGTTGACACACTACGGTGGGAAGGTGAGGAGTCCTGGACTTTTCGGCTTGAACAAATTCTTACATACGTCCTCACAGAACAGCTTATTCGCGCAAAGAGTATGACTGTGCCCTGTTGGTCTCTTGGTTTCGTAATCTGTTCACGGTCCTTTGATTGTAGACGCTCGTCGCACTCCGCGAAGCCAACGCTCAATACACGCAGTGCGACGTTGACTTCGAGAACAAACCCGACTGGTTCACCAAGGTCAACCCAGCAGGAAAGGTTCGTCTTACCACTCCACACACGCACTTGCATCCGCCCTGCCATGCAAGCTCGCTCATGTCTCCCAAACACCCAGATTCCCGCAATAACCTACGGAGGCCCCGTCGTCCCACCCTCAGACCCCTCCCCCGAGTCGATAAAGCTTGCTGAATCCTTGGTTCTGCTCGAGTTCATCGCGGAGCTGTACCCCGCCGCTGGGCTCATGCCCTCTGACCCCGTGCAGAGTGCCCAAGTGCGCCTGTTCGTGAGCACGATCGATGGTGTCTTGTTCCCCGCGATGCTCGCGTGGATCCTCGGTACCGGAGCCGTGGAGGGCGTTGTGAGTGCGCTGAAGGCGGTGCAGGCCGTGTTGGAGGAGCACGGGCAGGGACCGTATTTCTTGGGAGAGCGGTTCTCGATCGCGGATATCGCGCTGGTGCCGTTTTATAAGCGTTTGGTGCTCATCACACAGAAGCGGATCGGGGCGGACAAGCGCGGGGAGGAGCATACGGGTGTGGTGAGGCGGGCGCTGGAGTCTTCAGAGTTAGCGCGGCTAAGGAACTATGCGGATAGATTGATGGAGAGGCCGAGTGTGGGGGAGAAGTTTGACGAGGTGAGCACGAACGACGATGGTTCTGCACGCATGTTTTGCTGAGCAGTGAATTGTAATAGGATGCCGTCACAGACTTCTTTACCAGGATCATTTATTAGTCCCTACTATACCTCACTCCAGCAAATCGCAGCGGTTTTCCGAGTGCGCTCTTCGGCTCGCCCCGATCTGATGGTCAGCACCCAAGCATCGGACAATGACAGAAGGTTTTCTCACTGAAGGTGGTCCCTCTCATATTCCATGTACTGAAACCACGAGCATTTTCCCCTTATGAGAGTTTTGATCCGAACGTCTCGGAAAACTCGAGCGTCATTCTGGCGAATTGAAGAAATTTAGGGGGAAAGCCCAGCCAAAGTTGTCGAAAACTGATCCGGCTAGAGCTGAGGCAGCATGTCATCGGAGTTTGTCAGAAAAAATCGACCACCTGTCTTCTTTCCCCCGACGCATCGCGCATGAGCTTGAGAAAACTTGATCGATCGAAACTAAGTATCTCTGCAGATCTGCCTTGGCGAGCTTCTGGGCATATAAATGCTCGGACATCCAGCAGCTGAGACGGAAGACTCATCTCGACTTTGATTTTCTTACATCGTATCGCACCTTTTCCGATCAATATGCCCGAGCAATTGACTTACTACGGCAACAAGGTGAGAGGTCGTGACTGACCTGTGGTATGGTGAAAGTTATTTGTGCTGATGAAGTCTCTCGGTCCGATTATCCTTAGATTAGTCCCTTTTCGCACAGGGTAATATTCTAACCTTTTCGAGAGTTTTGACTCAACTGAACGAATCGTCGCGTAGACCGCGATAGCTCTGCAGGAAGCCAACGCCAAGTATCAGTACTTCGAAATTGATTTCACCAACAAACCAGATTGGTTTGTCAAGGTCAACCCTGCGGGAAAGGTATGTCCTCGTTTTCTCTCCTTGTGTCAATTACCATGTCCACCGTCTGATTAGAAGCCTACCAAAGGTGCCCGCGATGACCTACGGAGGTCCTGCCGTAAATCCCGATCAGCCCTCGCCCGAATCTACAAAACTCTCCGAATCAGCTGTCCTCCTCGAGTTCATCGCAGATCTCCACCCTTCTTCGGGCCTCCTTCCCTCTGACCTCGTACAACGCGCCAAGGCCCGCTTCTTCACCACTGTCGTCGATACCGTCGTCGCGCCCGCCATGATCGCGTGGGTGACTCAGTGCGCACCGGCGAGCACGATCGTGGATGCGTTCAAGAAGCTGCAGGAGCTGCTCCCTGAGAACGGCAGGTTCGCGGTCGGCGACGCGTTCACGATCGCGGATGCGGGATTCGCGCCGCTGTATGTGAGGGTGCTACTTTCAGCGGAGGGAGGCGTGCATAAGGGCGGGAAGGAACATGCGAGTGGGGTGCTGGATGCGCTTAGCTCGCCCGAGCTGGCCAAGTTCAAGGCATATGGAGACAGGTTGGTTGCGCGGCCGAGCGTGGATACGACATGGGATAAGGTGAGAAGGCTCGGTTATGTCGTTTATATTAGCGTATCGCTGAGGCTCTTTGAAGGAAGCATCCGCTGCTTACTTGTCAAAGTTGGTTCTAGGAAATTGAAGTTTCGTACTTCACCTATGTAATATGCGAGTAGTTTACCATGGGACGCCTGGATACTATTGGTATCAATCAGCATGCTATTATTACGGAAGTAACAAAACAATCTAACAGCAATCACACATAATTTTTGGGCTAAACATGGGGTGGCGTCTCTTCTTTGGTCCGTATATCTGACAATATGTATCCACGCGTGCCATGACGGATCCCAAAAAAGCCCTGTAGTCTCCGTCAAGGGTGTTCACATGCCTTACATTTGGCACAAGTCGACGCATACCGGCCACAGCCTTCTCCACGCCCTCGCCCTGCACCTTTTTGTCCTCGTTCCGGAGATAAGGTCCGTTCAGAGGTATACACGTTACGAGTAGTGACCGGGGTAGGAAGAGAGGCGTAATCAGGATGGGCATTGGTGGATGTGTGGAGCTCTCGAAGAAGAAAAGTGCGCACTATAGGACCTGGGCAGTTGTGTCATAGGGTGAGTACCTGCAAATTTGGGAAAAGCAATGGCGGAGAAAGGCCAGTGGTGCCCATGAGCGCATCAACCACCGACTGGCCGAGCTTGTGTTTCCTCCCCCGAGTACCCTCAAACCAGCTGGTCGATGGGTTATGATCGAGGAAATCCCACGACTCCAACCCACCATTTCAGCCTTTCGCGATTCCTGTTCTCCAAGTCTAGGCCACATAGCCCAATCGTGCGAACGCTGACGGCACGACGCATAAGCGAGGCCCAATCGCCAGCAGTCATGTTCCTCTGGAACGACTACATTTTTGTGAATAACCTTGAATAATGTTGCACCCTCAAAACAATCACGTACGATTATATAAGTTGGTCTCCAGCCATTACCACACTGTACACGCTCCTTCTTCTGTTTGCACTTCCTCAAATCATGGGGCAGGCACTTGAGGATCTCGAACCAAAAGGCAAGGTGCGCGTACATAACTTTCATAGCAGGGTCTTGAAACATTTTCGATGTCTGTGCCAGATGCGTCAGGGCCTCCTTGTCGTGAACATGGCTGGCTGTCAGTCCAGTATCTCTGTGATCCCAAGTGCGTAATGCATAGCTAACTACCTAGTTAATGGCAAGTAATTATTCACAAGGCACGAGACTCACTATTGCTAACACACAATAGCTAAATGTGTGGTGCACAATAAATGAAGTAGCTTTATCAATCCAAGAGATGGTAGTAGATGAAAGGGAAGGGAATCTGAGAACATTGACGGAAAAGCGACGTGGTCGGAATTTTATGGATCCTTGGGTTATTCTTGATCGCCGAGCTAATGCTTTACTCAATACACATGACACTGCCTATGATCAACCTACAGAGTAATACTCGCATGCACAGGACCTCGTGGACGTTATGGTGTGAGATAAGTGTTAATAGGCGGTGAGTACTGTGCATTGATGTTGATGCGATGAGCTAGGCTGTTCGTATATCATGAAGCAGGGAATCATACACATTCATCATCAAACTCTGCAGCACTAAGGATCGTTCACCCACGCCCATGCTTCTCGAACCTTGCTCGAACCTCCATTTAATATCAACAGTTCCTTCGCTGACACCGGCGCCCGCCCCCGCTAGCGTTACCTCAAGTGAGCTGAAGATGTTGTCCATATTCAAACTTCGATCCGTCTGTGGCTTGAAGACAGCCGCGTTCGTCACGTCGAGATCCAGGGATAACTGTATATATATATAGCGCGCTGCATAATATGTTAGCAGCAATGAGAAGGGAAGGAGGGTGACCAAAGAAGTCATCAAAGACCCAAGAACACAGACCTGCAGAACATCGGCATCCAACACCACAGGACAGTGGAGAGTTGAGTGTCAAACTGACCTCCGAGGCTTGAAGACACTCTGACTCACGCTGACCGGTGACCGCGACGTATGGATGGGCTACTGGCGAGTTTCATAAGGACTGGCAAGTTCATGAAAGATGAAAGTGAAACCCCAGGGATGCGTGATACCAAAAGCGGGTGTTGGTACTATGGAGTATTCAAGTTGAAGCCAGACTCTGTTGCAAGGATGGAAATATACAGATGGATATGACGACGGATATGGCCATGTCGCCTCACTGGTACCTGACGTGTTCGCGTCGGCGAAGGAGCGAAGGGGCGTGGGAAGATAAATTTCCGAGCATCTCGGGCTCTGCTTCCCAGTAAGAATAGCCTCTACTGGTAGCTACCGGATAATACCGACATGTACAAATCAGGGAGCTCACCAGAGAAATATGTCAGAGTAGCTGTTGGTAGACATCAGTACGAAAATGAGACAAATGGTAGACAACATGTACCGCGGTGTACCGAGAGCTAGTCAATATATGATCTGATACACCAATATATACTACAGTATCAGCAGCTTCATCTCGGTAGATTCACGCGTCATATACTGCACGATATCAACATCTGCATTCGCATATCGTACGCTACACCATCGTACACGCCATGTACACGTTCAGATACCCTCCTCGTCCTCCTCCCTGTCCCTCGTGCCCCCCTCGCCCTCCCCTCGCCTCCTCGCCTATACTCCACATTGCTCCAAGTCGTAGAACGTTCCCAGCGAGACGGCGGCGACGACGGCGGCGGCAGTATTGTTAATCCACGTATTCTCCGTGATCTAAAAGTAGGTTAGTTTGGTTCTGATCATGAGCGAACAACTCACAAGTGCTTCAGCGTCCTTATTGTACTTCTATAGCATATGGTAAGCATGTAACATTTAATGCAAAACAATGACCACGTACCTCTCGAATGTCGTCGCTGAGGCTCTTCCACCACTTGTTGAAGCCTTCGACGGTAATTTCACCCTTGCTCTTGAGGTAACGGAGCTGTGCCAACGTTCTCGACATATGTGTGAGCATATATGCGGCACAATATAACATGAAATGACGTACCTTCCAGATCGCGTTTTGGCCGGCTTCATTAGCCTTTTCCCAGCGGTGGACCCAGTGCTGACTCGAGCGACTGTGCCTGACCGCAGAGTGGGCGCGGAGGCAAGCTCGGAGGCGGGCTCAGAGGCGGGCTCTGGAACGAGCGCGGAGGCGGGCAGGGAATCGGGCACGGATGTCAAAAGAACCGGGAGAGGTACCGGGAGAGGGGCGGGGGACGACAGAGGAGCGACCGAGGACCTTGATGCCGTAGATATCGACGAGCCGGGCGCTTGTACTGAACGGGGCTGACGTCGGCTTGGCCCCGCTTCGGGCAGCGCTCCTGAGGGAGCGCTCGAAAAAAAAGGCATGATTAGCAGTGAGAATGAGACCAAGAGAAAAGGAAAATATGTACAAGGGGCTGCCAACCTCAGGGAACAACTCCTACAGGAAGGCAGTGAGTAATAAACACAGAATGTCAGAAACTTGGACGAACCTGGTCGCCCGCGTCATCCACATCCACTCCGTGCAACTGAGCCTCGGCGGTGTTGAGGGCAAAGTCCTCCGCGTATGCGTCGTCATCTGTTGCCTTCGCCTTCCCTTTGTCTTTGGCCTCTAGCGGCTGGACCTCGGCCGATGGAGAAGACACCGGCTCTTGTTTGACTTGGACAGCGACAACAAGAGCGGCGGCGGCAGCGGCCTTCTTCTTGCGGTCGCGCTGGTTCTGCATGAATGAAGGGTACCGGATTCGCGCCAGACGCACGATCTTCCAGTTATCGTCCGAGGCGAGGATCCAGGGGAAGAGGGCGACGAGCTCGTCGGTGAAGCGGCCGAGTGCGTGGCTGCTGGCAAGGCCCCAGGACTCGGGGGCGATACCCTCGACATCGAGGGTATGCCAGATGGTCCTGCATGCCCGCATGAGCTTGCCCATCTCCTGCTTCGAGATGGGCTTGCCGAGCTCCGTCTCGAGGAAGGGGAGCTGCGTGTCGAGGATCCCTCGGGATACGACCGCTGCAGATTCGATCCATCGATCATAAACGTCCTCTTCCCACCACTTGACGTTGGGGAAGTCGGCGCGTGTACGTTTGGGCGCCGATGGGGCTTTTTTCTCGAGCTTGATCCGCTTTTGAGGTGGGCCTTCGGTGACAGAGAGAGAGGTGGTCGAGGACGGTGGTGAGGATGATATGATGATGGTATCAGAAGAATGGGGTTCAGACGGGCGTTTGACGCCATGGCCAGAGTTGGGAGTTGCAGAGAGCCTCGCCAACGCGTTTCTAAAAATTAATCAGCGCATATATGCAACGATAATGAAAGAATAAAAAAAAACTCACGCAAGAGTTTGGTTACAAGAGATTAGAGAAGCGTTCTGCTTCTCCAGGTTGGCTTTCGCCGTCCGGAGAGCATACGTCTCATTTTGAAGTAGCATATAAGCCGTCTAAAAACAGAAAATTAGTAAGTAAAAAAGCAAGAGAGCAGCAAAAACTCACATTGAAAGGGACGTTAGATGAATTACTGTAAGACTGATACTGGTTCTGGTTCTGGTTCCAAGATCGAAGCTGATTACCATAGCCGCCGACAAGAGAGTCGCTCGGGGCGACTGTATTAGCTGGCAAGAAATCTTGATGCGCGTTCAAGGCAGGGAGTTGGTCGACAGAATCGAACAGATTCATTTGCGGGATGTCGTCCATGTTGGCGAGGGGAATATATAAGAAGCAAGAGTGGGGGCGATGGTCGAAGGACGGTGGTTGTATGCAGGGACAGGAAGAAGGAGGGAGAGAGAGATGGGAGAGACAAGATAAAGATGTGAGCCCAGACGCGACGCGACTGACATTATGTAAGTCCCCTTTCCCATGCGCTTCGATCGAAGTCCTCGAGTCGGACTTTGTAATTAGCTTCGGCTAGATACATTAAAGTCCTCGACTCGGCTTCGCTTTCTCGCTCCCCCCACTCCTTGCCTCTCTGTACTCGACAACAAGTTCAAGGTAAGTCTGTTATACTATCAGTGACAGCCATAGCTAACATCTTCTGAAGCTCACTATGCCTGCGCCCGATATCCCCAAGCTCGCGCCTCTGGAGCAGCCCACCCGCTCGGTGGTCTCGGTCGACACCAGAGACCCCGCCGAGAACACCATAATTGTTGACCTGTCCAAGGGTAACAGTCAACTGGTCTCCCTGACCGAGGCGCACAAGAGGAACGGGGTAAGTAATCATGTACACGCTTTCATTTCGACCCCCGAGCTAACTGTTTACAGGATATTCTGTTGAAAATCATCGACACCCGCCGGACTCGCCGCCATGCACGTGTTCTTGCGCCGTTTCCGATGAGCAGGCGTACATCCACGCCGATGCCTGCCCACCTCGTGCGCTTTATCCGCCAAGTATCCCTCGAGGTCACCGACTGCCCCTTCCGGAGGTCGAAGAGGATCGCACGCCAGGGTCCGATTGACTATCCCGAGTAGAAAGCTAGGGTATATGCATGTATACTTAATCTCTTGGACACTTAACTCATGTAGCATCGTTTCTAATGTAGTACTGACCTCGTTTATGCTCAAATAACATGTATAGCTCACTGTATGTCCGAAAAAAAAAAAACCATGTCTTTGTGATTCAAACGAACAAGTGTGATCACAAGTAAAACTAATAATCTTCGTCTCGAATCTCGAGACTATCATCAAGGCCCGTTGCCTCAGGCTCGTCCATACCTCCAATAGTCAAAACATCGAGCCCTAGCTTTTCCATTACAAAATAGCGTGTCATTTCGTCGTTGAAAGCTGTGAGTTTGTGAGGAATCATTGCAACGACTGATCGGATGGTTTTGACATCGATCAGTCGAAGTGTTGCATCACCCGTGTGTATACACGTGTAGAATTGGCCGTGCGAGAGCCCGAGAAGAACTGCGTGCGGTTCAGAGTAGACAGATACAAGGGCCATGCAGTTAGTGTCGTCCAGATGAAACGAACCGTCTGGGAGCACGACAGGAAGCTGCACAAAGAATACAACTTCTGCAAACCGGTCTCTTCCCTCGTATACAATCTAGAAGGTGTAAGGAAGTGAATATATGAAATCATAAATTATACCTTGACATTGCGAGACCGGCGGGTGCACCGAGAGTTGGCCGCTTCTCCCCATCGTGAACGAGCAATCTGTCCAGTGGGGATCTTGAGTCGAGCCCAGCGTAGTATTCGCACCAGAGGAGCACCAAAAAAGCTCAGAATTGCAGCACGCTCGCTTTCACGCAGGGACAAGAGATTCGTGCGTTCCTTTTTGAAGAGGAACACATAGCCTCCGCCAAGAGAGATCGATCCAGAGGGATCCTGGTCATCCTTGGAGGTCTCGAGCATGGGATACATTGCCTTCAGAGCATTCATTTGAGCACGTAAGAGGCCTCGCTGAGCGAGGTTGGCGAATATATTTGAAGGCTGTCGAAGTTCTTCCTTCAGATTACCGATAGTTCGTTCCATTGGATACTGGGATGAGCACATGGGAGATCCAACTCGAGCTGCTTCAGCAGCTAAGTGATGTGTTAGATGAACGCATGGACGGACAAAGTGGAGACGGTTTTTTTGCCGCCGATAGTAAAGCCGTTCGAACTCTAGCTCCCAGTCGACCAGAGTCTGCCTAGCGTCGTTAAGCTGCGCCGGAGTGATACTATACTGATGCATAATACGAATGCCCTTGACAAATCGACAGAAATTCTGCCAGTACTCGAGAGGCAGGACACCGAACAAGAGCCCCGGGCAAAGGCCATAGAGCCAGACATTATTCTCCTGCGCTTTGTAGCCCGAGTTCCAAGCCTGCTCAGGATTACGTGGAAGCTTGCCATGAGATGAGGGAATGTGCTCATGCGCTGCAATGACGAGAGCACCGTGAGCTATCCAGACATCGCCAGTTAGAACACGCCAGTCCCAAGTAGATACGTCGTCAGTAGTGTGTACGAGGTCTTTGCTACCTCGCCATAGATTCACCCAGAGACTGGGCATGTTGGCTCCCGTGTAGTGCATGAGCTCAGAAGTAAAATTCTCGGGGATCCCAAGGATTTTATCGGGCTGCAGACCGAGGAGAAGACTCGGTCCAACAATCCCAGTCTCAAGGCGATTTTTGCGGTAGGTGCCAGCCGTTTGAGAGCCCAAAAGACGCCGTAGCTTGTCGATGTATTGAGCTGACGAGATTGCGCATATCGTCCTGGGATCGATGTCGCCTCGAGTATCCGCTGTCTGTGTCCAGTTAGAAGGCTCCAAGAGGGCAGGGTAGTACACAGAGCCGGTTATGCGTCGCCCATAGAGATCGCAGTTCATGCGACAGCCGTACTTGCCTCCGTGTCCGACCATATTACTATAGCAGAGAAGTCCTGGGCCATCCGCAAGCACTAGGACAAGGAATAAGTGAGACTGAAAGAGGCGATCCTCGGATGCGTCCCAAAGACGCAAAGGTTCTTTTTGCAGCGCCGATATGTGGTGCATACCTGTGAATAAGAAAGAGGGAAGGTATTTAGGTTTGTTCGGCCCTGGGATGACACCACCGGGAAGAACATAGCGTTTTTTGTAGCGATGCTCGGGGGAAAGGTCGATGATAATCCACGTGTAAATATGGACCATAGATCCCTTCTTATCCGAGAGCTGGGCGCCATCTATTGATAGCATAACCAGAGTATCTGTTGGTTTGATTCTTCCCTCACGAAGAGCGTTCAGATATGCAGAACCTTTGACATGTTAACTATACACTTGAATGTGGAATGTATGCGTTTCTTACCGGTCAAGATATCGTCATATGCATCAGGAACGTGCCCCGGGTTGCGTCTAATTTCCTCCAGAATTTCGCGTGTTCGTCTGCGCTTGTAATGCATCTTGAGGGCGGTTTCTGTATGGCGCCAGAGTGCTTGGACTTGTGGTCCAAGAAGGTATGTGGTCATGACAAGGCGAGGAGCCTTGGTTCGACCATGAGACTCTTGCAGCTTCTTCTGGTCGTACCGCGGCTCCCCGCAGTCTGGGCACTCCTCTAGGTGGGCGCTATCCCCCGTGAAAGCGACACAGGACGCAACACACATGTCATCGTGTACCGCCTGAACTCCAGAGATGTCGGCAAGGCAGTCCTTTGTTTTATGGAGGGAGGGGATTGACGTTGTAAAGCACTCGTTTATGGCATCCCGTACTTTGTTGTAAGCCTCCTCGGGAGCATGTTCCATGGCCTCGAGCATACGAAGAGTAAGCAGAGTTTCAGGGGAAAGGATCTCGATCGGTCTAGTAGGAGGATTTCGAAGGCGAGTTAGTGCGTCGCCTTTGAGACCGATGCCTTCGTCTAGAGAAGCGCTCCTGATGCGCATTATGTACGACATGTCCCTCTGTAAGTTCTCTAGAGGGGTGCGAGTGGCAAGAGATGCTAGATCCAGAGATGCAAGAGGGTGTGGGGGGACGTGGTGTCGCTGCTGGGATAGGATCCGTTCGGTTTCCTGAGGTAGTGTACGGACTACTGGTCGTTCGTTTGGCGGCTCCAATGGGCGTAAATCGATCTCGTTTGGTTGCCGCTGGTCTCTGGAGATAGACTGACGATCTGTGGGTGGTGGAACGTCTGTCTGTCTTGTTTCCTGTAAACGCAATTGCACAGAACAGTTGTACGTCAAATATCGGCTATGATTAAATCAATGACAACGTACCTCTGTCCCAGAATTCCTATCTGATGCTCTCCGCCGTCTCCTAGAAGGTCCGGGGAGAGGTTGACGACCTCTGACCGAGTCGAGAGCTGCATCTGTAAGCATAGCCGCACGAATGAGCTCTTTCTCGTGCTCGGGGGCCTGACCGAGGTGTCGGTACCACGTCGAGCGGGTTACTGGCGTGCGTCTCGAGTGGCACCATCGCGAGCATATGCAGACATGGTCTTTGTTTGCGGATTCCCTGGCCATGCGAGCGCAAGGGAGGTACCTAGGCTGGGGAGATTGATACGTCTCTGAGACCAGACTCGCGACGCGTCCCTGTGAGTGTATGCAGGGCACCGACACACGAGCACGCATACCCAGCACAAGGACGCTGTGCGAGTATGCGTGTTCGCGTGCCGTACCTTGGCGCGCGTATGTCGAGGAGGGAACTCATATTCAGGGGTATGTGCCATATACGCGATCGACGTCGACGTGTCATCCATATTTAGATTTAATACATCGGAGTATCGGCTAGGTACATGACGGTATCCCGGCGGTATTTCGGTATCACCCGGTAGCTAATTCTAGATGCCGTTCTTACTGGGTCTGCTTACTCGGTCTCGTCTCGCCCCTCGACTCTGTTTTCATCGCCAGCAACCATCTGCAGGTTGCTGGAGTTTACTCAGTTTCGTGCACGAACCTCGCGTATGGAGCTTGTCAAGTTCCTGACATTTTTCCGCACTCCAGACATCGTCACATCATGATTACTTGATCCTAGCCAAGTTTTTGTCAGCCCTACAAGTTTTGTCCCTGATCTATGGCCTCGGAGCCGTATGCGTCGCCCAGATCTCGTCTTCGGTCTATCGAAATGCTGCTGACGAGAGAAAGGTACACGCTTCTCACTTAGACCTATAATCCTGCTCTTGCGTGACGGTCAAGCCGCGTAGCGTATATAATCATACCAGGACGGGCATCCAGGACATCACCCATACCCCAAACCATCTCGTCAACACCACCGCTTCTGTTCTCTACTGTTAATTCTCTGTACTATGCCCGAGAAGATAGTGTTCTACAAGTATGGGGTGCGTGCTAGCCTCTTCGGGTTGTCCAAATCGTCCAACGCCGACCTGTCCGCTGGCCTATAGCAGAGCCCGTTCGGTCAGCGAGTCGCCATCGCCTTCCTCGAAGCGCAAATCCCCCACGAGTCCTGCGAAGTTGATGTGTGGAATAAGCCAACGTGGTTTGTCGAGAAGGTCAACACCATAGGCAAGGTCAGCATTCCGTCGTACAATCGCTCTTCCCCGCCATCACATATGCATCAACTGACATCGAGGGCACAAGTGACTTACCATTCCCCTTAGATCCCCGCTATCACGTACGGTAGTCCCTCCGTCCCGCACGATCAGCCCTCCGTCGATGCATTCAAGCTAGGGGAGTCGCTTCTCATACTCGAGTTCCTCACCGATCTGTACCCCTCCTCTGGCCTACTTCCCTCTGACCCCGTGCAACGCGCTCAAGCGCGGTTCTTCATCGACACCGCGGAGAAGCTCCCGCTGGCACTCATCGGATGGTTCATCCAGGGCGCGTCATGGCATGGCATCATCGACATGGCCAATGCGTTGCAGGCTCTCCTTCCCCAACCAAGCAAATTCGCGGTCGGTGACAACCTGACGATCGCAGACATCGCAATTATGCCATTTTTCGCGTTGTTGAGGCTAGTGTACGAGAATGGGATCGGAGCGTATCCTGCTAAACAGGCGCAGGAGCTTAAATGGGCACTTGAAGCCCCTGAGTTGGCCAGATTCAAGGCGTACGTGGATAACCTACTCGCACGTCCAAGCATGAGGGCTGTATTTGATGAGGTGAGCCGTCTCGGTTGGTTGTGGTATGAAAGACTTAGTTTCTGACGACTGAAACAGGAAGCCACGAAGGAGTATCTTCGAAACATGGTCGCCATGAGTTTGAAGCCATAGTATAGCTACGCAAAGTTATGTCCTTCAATGCTGTCTGGCAAATTTATACATATGATCAAGAGAAGAGTGCCAGTGGCAAGACGGCAGACATTCATGGCCTAAGTAAGCCACGCTCGCTGGTGCTCGTTGACGAGGCAAGAGGCGAACGTCAGGTCCATGCGATCTCGAACCTAGTGGAAAAACATCGTATACGAAGACGGCTCTTGGATGGGCTTGGGAGCATGGCCATCTATGGTGCAGTTCACCTAGCCACCGCTACCTTTGTGCACGCGCCAAATCGGCGGCGGAAAATTCAAGTTCGAACCCTAACCTCATGGTCGATATATATGGAGTACCCCTGATTAGTCAGCACAACGCGCGTAGCAGTAGGATTACATCGCGATAATTGAGCATACTATGCATGTGCCCCCGATGAAACAACGCGCCTGTCGTGAAACATCCTCGATTTGCACTCAATCCCTTGACCACATACTCCTATGATGACCTTCAAAATCATGATATTCATATATCTCAGTGTCTTCCGTAGCATGAGACAAAGCGACAGACTTGTCTGTTGCCTGGGAGAGATGCCAGCGAGATGCTGGCTTCCACCGCGCTAAACCCCCTATCTTCCATGTACAACATTCCAACGTTTATATGTTACATTTATCTAAGCATTAGTGTGCACAATTAGTGTACAGTGCTCTTTGGGTACCAGTCATGGCGTTACCGAGAGCTCAAAGTGATTGGGTAGCATTTACCCCGGTGCCCTGAGCGGATAAGCATTGAAGGGGAGAACACACGACAGTCTTTCGAGCCGTGTTTACTCAATTTTAGGATCTAGCTTCTGAGCTTCGACTATGCTATCAAATAGACCTAGAACAGTCCACAAACAAATTTTGGGAGGTAATGGTTGAGAGACGCGTTCAAGATACTCAAAGTACATGCATGTTACATGACGGGCATGTTGTTTCATCGGGGGCACAGGCATAGTACTCTAGCTATGTCCAAACGTCAGAAACAGCAGCGTGCGAGCAAGTGTGTTGTTGATGCTACCTAGTGCTGTTTGCACCGCATTCTGCAATTCCAGCCTGATTTTTGAAGAACAGAAATCACTTGTTCGCGAGGTTATTGAGGCAGCCGGTCACTTGTGCCTTTTCTTACCCAAGTTTCATTGTGAACTCAATCTTATCGAATATTTCTGGGGCAAGGTCAAGAAGTATATTCGCGATAACTGTGATTATACCTTTGCCACTCTCAAGGTCAATATCCCCAAAGCAATGGCCTTTGTCGACATTTGCACAATCTGCTTGTGGGAAAATTGTACCCACCATTGGGATAGAGGCATACAGATCTGGTTTGGATGCCAAGGAGGCACATATCGAGGTTCGCAACTTCAGCTCAACACGATACAAGTCCCATCGACCAGACTCCAAACCAGTCGGTCAGACGGGATGACTCGGCGCCGGAGTTGCCTTTTTTGGAACTTGTTCCAAGGTCATTCGTCTGACCGACTGGCAACACTTGCCCTGCCGAAGATTTTCCCATCTGCTAAATGACCCCCAAATCGCCGCTTTTTG